GTTACTAAATTGTGTGTGTGCGCATGCACACGCACACACACCTGTAAATCAGGAAAGCAACTCGGGTATCCATTATAAGGTAGATTTTTTTTAAAAAGTTATAAAAAGTTGGAAACGTTTCTCATTATAAAGCCTTGGGTCCCAGCTCTGCTAAGACCAATTTACTTGTGATGAAAATATAATCTTTGGTTAAAGGTTTTAATAATACAAACATATTAATTGAAGATAATGTGGCATACTGGAAATTGACATGCTCATTTCAAAATTATAAGACTATCTGTACAAATATGCAATATAAAATATTAAGTTCACTAATTTATCTATGAATTATAACAACATGAGAGTTGCCAGTTTTGAGTTTAATTTATTAGCTTTATGAAAGTTAGTGAAGTTGCCATGCAATCCATGGCACTATGATTAACAAAATACATGTGAATGGTACTTTTGGGATTAAACTGCCTAGTGAGATGTAGAGCTTGTGTTAGTACACCCCAGAATGATCACACAACGACTCTGGTTTAATGACACACATTTATGAATACATTCCCATCATTTAATGACATATAATTAGACTGCCAATGTTTGGCTTAAATTAGGCATCTCATTTAAGTACTTATTAAAGTTGAATACATTCGAATTATAAATGCAGTACTGAATTAAAACTATTTAACCACGGTTTTTCTTTTTATGGGTGCTTTTAATTAATTTTGTAGTCTCCTAAAATCATGTATACAATATTACTCTGACCTCCACTGTTTCTATCTCCCTTCTTCCTGCTTCCTCCCTAAAAATCCATTTCCCACATTCATGTCTTCTAAAGGAGAGGAAACAGATTTGTTCAGGCAAAGTGTGAAGGAATGACTAAGAACAGGGAAGGCTCCCAGGAAGACTATCCCTAACGTTTAAATGTAGCCAATTAGAGTTCAGTCTTTTGGAGCTGTCATTTCCAAAGGACCTTTCATCATAAAGTAAAGATTATTAGGTTCTAAAGATTAAAGAATAAAGAATATAAAGTGTTAGTTTAATAAAGTTAGATTCATGGCATCTATAGTAAGGCATGATTTAAAAATTATGGTTCTTTTAAGTTACAGAAGTTCCATTTAGTAATATAATGTTTAGTTCTAATGTAGTCATCAAAACTCTGAATTTGATTAACTTTGAGAACTGCTCTCTCCCTATGATCTGAACTCCTTCATGTAGACTTGGTATGGTACTTAATATTCTTCTCTCTCTCTCTTTCTCTCTCTCTCTCTCTCGCACACACACACACACACACACACACACACACACACACACTTTGCTATCAATAATTTTAAGGTAGAATAAAGAGACAAGGAGAACAAAAAGTTGCTTACTTGACTACTATGTTCAGACTCTTACGGGTGTTTGAGGGTTCTCTGAAGACCAAAACCCCATATAAGGGCAGGGAATGTAGTTCAGTAGTAGAGTGCTTTGATACCATATACTATGTTTTGTTTGTGTGCATGCATGCGTGTGTGCGTGTGTTAAACAATCTCATTATGTAAGCCAGTCTATTTATCTCAGGAGCCTTCTGCTTCAGTTTCCTGGCTGGGATTACAGCTATGTACCATTGTGTCTATTTTTGCTGCTACTAAAAAAAAAAATGTCATCAAGTAAAGTGAGATCGGGAACAGATGCAGGGCAATTACAAAGGGGTTAGGATACAGGCTTTAAAGACTTCCCAAAGGCATGTAACATGGAGGGGAGAATTGGTCCTAGTAGAGGGCCTGAGTGCGGTCATGGCTTTGTTCAACTAGACAAGATCCACTGGGGATATTAGTGTATGTGTATATATATATATGTATATATACATATATATACATACATACAAGCAGCAGAAGCAAATGGGATGCCAACTTGTTTGCTTACAAAAAATAGATATCAGCACATATATATACATACATACATACATACATATACACACACGCATACATACATACATAAAATCCAATGCAATCGAAGGTCACTTATCAGCTATATTATAGATATAAGTTCAAGTCCTTCAACTAAATCACATTAAGTTCTTCTTGGGGTAATAATCTAATGATATACCTGGGAAGAAATACAGCTATAGGACAAAGCTAATTCCTTCCAGTTCTGTTTCTTGGGAAGCCAACAACATCATGCAGACTTTCTCTATAGTCCTCAATTTATTACCACCCCGAAGTCTACACATGCAAAGCTTCTGTATGCAAAGTCTGTCTTCACACTGAACCATACTTATCCTTCTAGCTGCCTTGTGCTAAAGAGAGACAAGTATCTGCTTGTTATACACGCATTCCTTTACCGGAACACAAAGTTCCTCCTGGAAGAAAAAAAATCGTGAAAAACATCTTTATCATAATAGGCATTAGTTAATGCACTGTTTTAGAAACTAGAGGGGTAGGTGAACAGCAGACAGGTAGTGAACTGAAGTCCACTGGGACAGAGCACACAGGTAACAATTACAGAAAGCAAGGCTTTCTCACAGACTGATTTTGGTTAGATAAAACTGGTCATACAAGCCCAGGTTAGAAAGAACACAGACAGGTCCAGGCATGCGCGCCTGCGACCAGGCCATTTACAAAACTCTCACATAAAACTCGTTCTCGGAAAAATTTGAGAAATACAGAAATTCTGATGAGAAACTATCTTCGCCCTTTTAAAATTATACATCAAGCTGCAGAATTGGAACTTCAATGTCCTGTTCATAATATATGAAGACCTGGCTCACAAAATCATGTTTCCTGCTCTTGTTTCTTGTACTCTTAGGTCAAGTATTGTTCAAAATTCTGTTAGGACTAATTAGACAATGGAATTTAAGAAAGCTTACACTTCAGTTATGATTGTCACTGAGATCTACAACCTTAGCTTCGTCAGTTATTAGTTAACTACTTCTTCTGAAGAGAATAAAATTTATCAAGACTATCCACCCTTGAAGCTATTACAAATATAAACTAGAAAAAGAGAAATTAGTAAAGAAGTAAATAATAAAGTATGTAATAAAAATCAAAAGAAAAATATCAAGGTTTTGTGATTAAAAACAAATTCTTACTATATTACACCAGTGAACTTGTGCTCAATAAATACTGTTTTCTGTTTTTGTTTTGTTTGGTTTTTGAGACAGGGTTTCACCATAGTTTTGGAGCATGTCCTGGAACTTGCTCCATAGACCAGGCTGGCTTCGAACTCACAGAGATCCTCCTGTCTCTGTCTCCCAAGTGCTGGGATTAAAGGTGTGAGCCACCACCGCCCAGCAAAAATACTGTTTTCATCTCAGTATTTTTGACAAAATGAACATGAAAAATAATTCATATTCTTGAGTAAACAAAGCTATAATATTAAAATTTGCAAAACACAATTAAAACTTGGTATTGAAGTTTAAAACTGTAAAAATGAAGTGCAACTATTTCACCAATACTAGTTTCTTTTTTGGGGGGGGTTTGGTTTGTTTTTATTTTTATTTTTTTTATTTTTATTTATTATATATACAATATTCTGTCTGTGTGTATGTCTTCTGGCAAGAAGAGGGCACCAGCCCCCATTACAGATGGTTGTGAGCCACCGTATGGTTGCTGGAAATTGAACTCAGGACCTTTGGAAGAGCAGGCAATGCTCTTAACCTCTGAGCCATCTCTCCAGCCCCCCAATACTAGTTTCTAGAATGTCTTAGTGATGTGACCAAAGCATTAATGAAAAAACCATGTTTAACCTCACCAAGCGGCAACTTCTTAGATGTAGGCACGCGTTTTGCTGTACCTCTATCAAGAATAATGCAGAAATTGAACAGTATTAGGAAAAAAGCAAACATGGTAATCAGCCCGACAAAATCTTATGGGTTTCTTTTAATATTTGTTTCAAATACCATTCTTTTCTAAGCTATTTCTTGTTTTTATTAACCAAACGGTTTGTACAGAAATTTTTTTCAAAAGTAAATTTTAGCTTTTTAGGGATTTTTCTTTTAATTACTCTCTCTCTCTCTCTCTCTCTCTCTCTCTCTCTCTCTCGTGTGTGTGTGTGTGTGTGTGTGTGTGTGTGTGTGTGTAAATGAAACACGCTGTTTCAAATAGAAGCCTACAGCTTCCTAAGTTAAGGCTGGTGCATAATAGCTATGGAATGGGCAGAAGTTGCCCGAGGGAGTCGGTAAACACCCGAGAAGGCGCTTTCACCTAAGAGCCCCCCTCTTGGTACCCGGCAAATGACAGCAGAATGCCTGAACTTGGGGTGGTCCTCGTTTCCCTCCTGTAGAGCTCCCTTTCTCCGGCCTTCGCTGCACACTTCACAACCTAATAAGCACTACAGTTCTCAAGCGGCTGCAGCGGGCGGGCGAGCCTAGAGCCGGCCCCCTCTGGATGCTCTGCTCACCCCAGACCATGAACTTGGGGAGCCCCAGCTTCACTTCCCCAAAGCCCAAGGTAGATCCCAGGGAAGCAGAAACTTTTCTGTTCCCACTTCCCTCTCACCGAAGCCACTCACCGGGAGCCCCCAACACATACCTGAGCAGCGGGAGGAGTCCTCGCCACCACGGCCAGACCCCGCCGGCCCTGCAGCCCCAAGCTGGAGCGTCCCCAAAGCTCCAGTGCTCCCTGGATCTCCTCCCGGCCGCTGACCCCGACCTCACCTGAGGGCGGGTCCGCGGGGAAGGGATGGTTCAGGGAAGCCTCCGGGACAGCGGGCCGGAGAGGGACTCGGCGGAAAGCACTGTCATAGTCCGCCACGCCCGCGATCTTGGGGTAGCCGCACCTCCGCTGCCGCGGCGCCTCCCGCCTCCCGCTCCTTCCCCAGCCTCTCTGAGGCGGCCGCAAGCTGCCCGCGTTGCACGCCGGGAACTGGCTGCTCGCTCTCCGGGACTTCTAGTCCCAGAGTGCACGGCGGCAAGGGCCGAACTGCACTCTGGGACATGGAGTCCTTTTCTCCTCACTTTGCCCTCATCTAGAATAAAGGTCTCGGCGGGGAAGTGTAACCGTAAAGCTTTTCCCACCGTCGTGAAATGTAGTCGCCCCCAGTATCCGGGGCCTAGTTCCGGTCTTTGGCTGGGCGGGGAGTGGTGTCGCCTAGCAGCGGCCGCCGCTTGGGCTCGTTCGGGAAGAAGTGTTTGGCGGGAGCGGGAGTGCGCGAGGACACCTCTTTGGAAGAGGCGCCCGGGCGGCGTCCGAACCCGCGGTGGCGGTCTGTGTAGATGAGCGACTGCCGCAGGTTGCAAGGCTGGGTGTAGGTGGGTGAATTCCTCGTGAGCCCGGAGCAGCTTAGTGTCTGTCACAGGGACTAATCCCGAGGGACAGTATGCAGTCTACCGACCCCGTCCTTCTGCCCTGCCCTCTCCTCTGCAGAGCCTTGGCCTTCTTGATTCAGCTTGGTTCCTCGCACCCATCTTCCAGTTCAGTCTTCCTTTGTACGCTTAAACAGAAATCCTCTCGTCCCTTCTCAGAATCGGGGGACGTTTTCAAACTTCAAACATCATGGGAGTTGGTTTCGTCGTTGCTGGTAGAGGACTGGGAAGAGGACTTGGGAGTTAGGACTTCGTTTTAGCAAGGAAGCTAATAATTTTAGCGTGTACATTATTGGATAGGCTGTGTCTGGTGGACTTATTCTCATCGTGGGTGTTTGCCCATGCTTCTGCTCTCTGTGGTCCTGGAGCCGTAGCTCTTTATCAACACCCAGAGGTAGAATGAGAACGTAAGCAAGCACTGCAATGCCATTTTTCTTGAAGATGCTAAAATCCACCTGTTTTCTTGTAGGAGCTGAAAGGCGGCGAAAGAATTCAAGATGCCACCCAACATAAACTGGAAAGAGTTAATCAAGGTTGACCCAGATGACCTACCACGCCAAGAAGAGCTGGCAGATAATTTATTGATTTCCTTATCCAAGGTGTTTAACAAATAGTTTGTACATAGACAAAACGTGATTAATTGAAATTGTTTTTTGAAATAACTGAACGCTACAATGGGAAGAGTGCTTGTATTTATGGGCAGGGTATGAAATAGTCCATCTTTTTGTTTGTTTGTTTGTTTGTTTCCTTAGGTGGAAGTAAACGAACTAAAAGATGAAGAACAAGAAAATGTGATACATCTATTTAGAATTACTCAGTCATTAATGAAGGTTTGTATGGAGGAGATATTTAACTAACTGTAGAGGAAATGTAGGAATCAATTCCTATGTAAATTCATCTTTATGGAAATATTTGGAATGCCCTTGTCATCCCTCAAAAATAAGTTCTTCAAGTGTATATTTAAAGACTGGTTTGTACTATGTATAGCAAATCTAGTTCCTATTCTAAAAACATATAAAGAGTGTGTAGGGGAAAAAGTACTTTTTAAAAATAACATAGATATAGTCAGAGGTTCAAGTACAAATGCACAATGTCTCCTCTAGAAGCCAATGGTGAAATGGTAAGAGGATTCTAGATTTTCATAAATAAATACTGAGAAAGAATACATACTTACTCTTTAAGTTAGGGTAAATGCGTGTAGCAAGCTGTAGATAAACAGCTATTGTGTTGGTAGTTTGGGATATCTTGTCCCGGGGTTTGAGGCTGTATTTTCTGTTATTAGCAGTCTAGGATTGAATAAAAGTTTTTGAGTCTTAATTGACAAATACAGAAATTTATTTAAGAAAGCAAAATTAGATGTGTTGTATAGTACAGATTGAAGGGGATTGGAGCTGAGAAGCTCCAGTTGTAATGCAGAATTAATAAATAAAATTATACACCAGAAAAGTAACAGTTGGAATGGGAAGAAGATAACAAAACATTTAAAATAGTGGATATAAAATTTATGGGAAAAATCAGAAGTGACTCACAATCTTGCCATTCTAGAATTTACTTTACAGGTTAAGTATCTAGCAAATCTTTACTAATGGTCTGTGTGCTGGTCCTTGTACACACCAAAGACCAAGCTAGCAAATGAAACAACATTTGCATTTTCCCGGTTTATATTACAGTGTAAATAATACAGATTTTTCTCTCTCAATTTTGTATTTAGATGAAAGCTCAAGAAGTCGAGCTAGCTTTGGAAGAAGTCGAAAAGGCTGGAGAAGAACAAGCAAAATTTGGTAAATGTCTTGAAAAAAGAAAACTGTTGTGATTCCATTATTTGTCAGTACAAAATTTATCATATTCTACAAAATGCATTTTCAACTCATATTGAAAGATGCTGCATCCTTGCACCGTTTCAGGGACTGCTGTGGCAAAGGATGAAGAAAAGACAACATAAAGACACACAGAAAAGTTGGCTTCGGGTGAACGAGACTCTCTGATGGAGTCTGCAGCGCCCCAGAAGCTCAGTGTCTTTATTGTATACACTTGAAGAGAGGCGGGGTTCTTGTGTACAGCTGAACATGAAGTCGGGTGATTGCCTATAGATAAACTAGGGGTCAGGGTTTCTGGTATACAATTGAACAAGGAGGCAGATTGAGCTAATCTTTTTTTTAAAATATTTATTTATTTATTGTGTATACAATATTCTGTCTGCGTGTATGCCTGCAGGCCAGAAGAGGGTACCAGACCCCATTACAGATGGTTGTGAGCCACCATGTGGTTGCTGGGAATTGAACTCAGGACCTTTGGAAGAGCAGGCAATGCTCTTAACCTCTGAGCCATCTCTCCAGCCCCCGATTGAGCTAATCTTGGTAGGAGTAGTTGTAGCATGATTAATAAAAACCCAGAGACAGAAATTGGGGTTCATCCTGAAGATCGGAAAAGCAAAACAGCCAGCCACTGGCTTTTCCCTGTACCTCAGTTAGAAATGATGATCCTGCCTCCAGAAATCTCAGGATAAAACTGTCTGAAAGCTGTCTCTTCCTGTCTTATATTCCTCTCTAGTGCTGTGATTAAAGGCGTGCACCACTATTGCCTGTTTCTATGGCAAACTAGTGTGTAGTGTGGCTACTGGGATTAAAGGGATTAAAGATCACCACTGCCTGGTCTGTAAGTTTGATCAGTACAGCTGTTTTACTCCGAAATTCAGGCAAGCTTTATTTATTAAATTATAAATGAAATATCATTACCAGTATTCTCTGTAGGAGAACCATAAACAGGATAGGAAGAAAGCTGTGGTGGGACATTTTCTACACACCCAACATCCACACTCAGATGGAGAGAAGGTTCTCCCATCTGCCATAGTTCTCAGGCTTGGGAATTCCTGACATGGCTTTACCCATTCACGCAAGACTTCACTTACTCAAGCCAAGACATTTCTAGAATGCCTGTTCCATGGATTTGATAATTGCATTATTTTCCAGACATTCATTTAAAATCTGATTGCAGTAAATTTAATCAATTAAAACATTTGTATTTTTCTTTTAATAGAAAATCAATTAAAGACAAAAGTAATGAAACTGGAAAATGAACTGGAGGTATGGCCTTTTGTATTGCTTTGAGTGTAATTGTTATTAATTGCATCATCTTCTGTTATTTTTAGATGTTTCTATTACTGAGCTGAAAAATAAAAGGAAAATTTTGTAGTTGAGAGTTGTTCATTATACAGCGTATGTTTTTGTGGTTTGATTTTTAAGAATTAAGCACTGAATAAAACAAAAACAGTTACCACCTGAGCTTTAGTCCCCAAAAATATATAGAAAGCTTGGTAGTAATTGAGGTGGAGGGGTGTGGGAACTCCATACACTGAGATTCTGAAAAGGCAGGAAGGGATGTGGTACAAAGGATTAGGGCGGGGATGTGTACAGAACTTTTCTTGCCTGTGACCTTAGTGCTTAGAAGTTGAGAGATTGGAAAGGAGATTATCTGTAAGTCGAGGAATGGAGGACAGTATGCTCAGAGTTTAGGAATGTCAGGTAACCTTTGTAGTGCGGTGGAGCCAGGACTGAAGACTAAGGGATCTGCAGTCAGATTGCAGCTCTAGTCCTCGACCTTTTGACTCAGCTCTGTATTTGGATGGGTTATTTCATATTTCCTGCTGTATTTGAAGCTCCTGGAAAAATGTCAAGCACTTTCAGTAAGCATTTCTGTAATAAGTGATTTATGAAGTTGAGCTGGCTCTGTATAGTTCTTACCCAGTCAGCAGATAAGGAATAGAAGAATGTGGCAACTGAGGAGCTTGGTTGGGAAGTGGCTGACGTTTTGATAATGAAATATTAGCTAAATAGGTAGGATGTCAGAATTGGATTTGGGGCAGGGGAAGGTTGGAGACAGGAAAAGGGAAAGTCAGGAGTCTTTGGGGTCCATTGAGTTTGTTGAAGGGAAAGTTGGAGAGAACCACTGAGGAAAATGTCCTTTTCCAAGGATACATTATGGGCATATGACTGGCAGGATGCAGTAAATCAAGAAACAAGTTATCCTTAACTAGTTATTTAAAGTTATTAATAATTTGTGTGAAAGTATGGGATTGTGGAAGTGGCTCAGGTTGACTACTTTCCTTCTTTGTTTCTTTCTTACTCTTTTTTCTTTTTCTTTTTGTTTTTTGTTTTTTTTTTTTGTTTTTGTTTTGGACAGGGTTTCTCTGTGCGTTTTAGTTCTTGTACACCAGAGTGGCTTTGAACTCACGAAGATCCACCTGCCTCTGCCTCCCCAGTGCTGGGATTAAAGGTGTGCGCCACCACCACCAGGCTGCTCAGGCTGATTTCTGACAGAAGACTGAGCTACCATAGCCTAGCTCCCGAGACTGTAAAGCACGAGGAGGAAATTGGTGACTTGCTCTAGTGTGTCAGAGTGGGATAACCAGGTATCCTGTACAATCAAATCAAGTGAAGATATAGAGGGTGGCAGAAGAATGACATGGTTGGTAGCTTGGAGGTGGCAGGATGGAGGAAACCTAGAATAGGGACCTTTTCTTGATCCTGGAAGAGTGAACAACTCCCTGTTGAGGAAGTTCCAAGGGAAACAGTATCCTAAAAGAGCATAATTCCAGCTTTGTAAGAAAATAAAGAAGGATATAGTTAAAAACAAAAGCCCAGGGTGCAATGTGTATTTTGGAAGATGCTTTTAGAGAACACAGTGCAAAGCTTCCTTGAGTAGAGATGACTGAGAAACATTTGATTAGGAGGGACATAGCAGAGACGTGTGGGCAGTGTTCAGTGTGAGGCAGTCCAAGTGACCAATGTTTCGGGCCACAGTGAGGCTGACAGGAACAGGAAGTAAGTTTTAAGGTGATGCTGTCTCGGCCTTGTTATAGAGCGTTACTAACCAGTCATGGTGCTTTACGTTTCTATTTGTTAAACCTGAAAATTCAAATCTTTGCACTTGCTACAGTCCAGCTGTACAGTTGGCTTCTGAACTAGACAAACATGGGCCCCAGAGAGATTTCTGCTATGCTCCCAAGTGCTGTCTGTTCTAAGTAATTCTTGGTATCCGAGAAAGGGCAACTCAAGGCACCAAGGTGGTTTCTGAGACTCCGGAGCAGTCTTCATAGTTCCCAGCCCTTAGTCTCTAAGCCTTTGCAATTTCGTCTGTACTTGTGTCTTGGTGACTGTAACAGACAGAGCCTGCAGCCAATTTTACATGGTTCTTTTGGTGGTTCGGGAAAGCGCCTGGATTTTTGACTTATAATTTAAAGCCTAGATAACTTCAGATTTGTTTGTTGTTTATTATAAAAAACTATTTTAAATTTGAATATATTTTGATCATATTCTTCCCCTCCCTCAAGGCCTTCTAGATCATTTCCACCTCTCTACCCACCCAACTTTAAGTTCTTTTTAAATGGTGTGTACATGTCTGTGATTTTACATATCTGATATTGAAGCATGATGAAAATCTAAAGTTGAGTTCTTATTTGTCGACTCATTTGAACCTTGAAGTAAAAAGGAATTGCTTATATTTTGAAGAATTAATCCTTGGCTTATGACTTTCAGATGGCCCAGCATTCTGCAGGTGGACGTGATACTCGGTTTTTACGTGATGAGATTCGCCAACTTGAAAAGCAATTGGAACAGAAAGATAGAGAATTAGAGGATATGGAAAAAGAGCTGGATAAAGAGAAAAAAGTTAATGAACAAGTAAGACACCTTTATCTCAATCTCAGTGAATTTTAATTGCTAAGATAATTCTTTATGGCCAATCGTGGTTTTTTTTCATAATCTCCTTTGATATCAAGTCTTGATTTTATGCTACAGTTGAGGAATAATGTGCACCTAGCTAAATTTTGTAGCAGTATTCATTGTGTCAGCTCATCTTTAAAATATAATGGAATTACCTACTTCTAATGATATAATTTGGAAAGTAATCCTTCAATTTTGTGGCATGTTTTTCTGAGGACATTACAACAACATAAAATTAACTTTGGTCTTAGACATGAGGATAAAGGAATGTATTTCATGTTCATAAATAAGCAAGTGATTTTTCTTACTGTCAATTTATTTTGGTGCGTTTTATATGAACTAATGAATTTTGATGAGGTGAAATTGGAAACCATGAATGCTTAGCCCCTATCCTTTCTTAGTTGCTAAGGTATAAATTCCTTTCACCTTTAGCCTATGATTATTTCAACATAACCAAAGCTTTGCTGCATAGTACAAAGTTTCTAGTGCTAACAGATACTCACAATTTATATTAAGAATAGCATAGGATAATTTGATATTTTGTGGGTGTATCAGGATATAAGACTGTTGAGATTCGCTTTAGAGGGCTATTTAAACCAGTTTGGGTGTTCAGCATATAATGTATAAACTGAATCTGGAAATAGAGGTGAGTGTAGCCACAGAAATTAAAATATATGTAATGTCAAAGAGCACACTTTGGCTAGAAGGTACATCATTTCCTATGATGAGAAGTAAGAAATTGTCAAGTACTACATGTATTCATTTGACTGTAATGTAGATAAAATGGGGTCTCTGTCATCTGTCAGGTTCTTTGTATGCATTAATTCATCATCCCTTATTTGATACTTTCGTATATGAGGTAGCAATCTTTTCTGATACAGAACAAATGAAGAAGTGACTGGATACAAAGTAGCAGCTAGTGAGGGAATGATAAGAGAGGATTTGAATACGACAAGCCCACTTAAGAATGTGCCATTAACCACTCTCCTTGTCTACGTTCCCAGCTTTAATTTTTGTGAACATCTGGGAAAAGCATTTCCTAAGAAACCCTTCTGACAAGTTAGAAAAGAATGTTTGAATGTAGGATAGGTCTGATCAATGCTTGTAAAGCTTACCCTGTGGAGAGTGAATTGAAGAAGGCATTTGTATTAATTCCAACAGTTACTAATGGAGGCCTTCTTAAGGGACTAACATGGGATTGAAAGACATAGGTGTACTTGAGAGGAAGAGATGTAATCGAATGTGGTGAAGGACTGATGAGGGGCAGGAATGGACAGTCTGCCTGGTTTTTGGTATGGGAATGAATAAATAAATTGGTGCTGTTTGGAACAAAGTGGGATGTTGGTCTGAGATTATTACTTCAGTTATATACAGTTGAATTTGAGGTTCTTGTGTACATACTCAAAGAAGAAATATTTGAATCTCATATTCACAGTAGACACCGGACAAATCATGAGAATGTATTGGTTTTTAGCACAGAAGTTAATGAAGTCAGAACAAAGATTGTAAGATGTATCTCTGACAAATGTTTAATAAAATAATGAAGTCAGTACTCTCAAAGAAAGCCATCAAGAGTGTTGTGTTTGAAAAGCAAAAAGAAACAATAGAGTAGCATTGCATACTTGAGTATTAAATTCTTAACTACTTCAGAATATTATTAGACAATTAATACTAGATTATCATCATCATTTTACTCACCATCAATAAAATTTGCATTGTGCCTTGCATGTTACTCGAGCTTTCTTTAAATATTTTATTTTGGAAAGTACATTTTCATAAATATTTGTTAGAAAATAATAAATATTTATATTATTCTCAGTTCATATTTCTGTCATATCTTTGTACACATAATTCTTCATCTCATTTATTTTTCTTTTGTTGAGTCATTTGAGACTTAATTTTAGACATACTACTTTAAACTGAAATAGGTCTCCAAAAGTGAGTATTCTCTTATACAACCAAAATAGAATTATGATATAATGCTCAAGAAACATGGTATTGATTCAATAGTCTTATCTAATCTTTAATTAGAGTTCCTCTGCTAACCCAATGATGTATTTTATTTTCTACCTGCTGCACCCTCGTGTCTAAAGAACCACCTTATGCCTCCTTATTGAACCTTCTAAGTTTGTTGCATGCTATTGTGATTGGATTTTTTTGCTTGAGTAAGGCAGAAAACAGAGAAGTAAAAGGCCATCAAAAGGGTGTTTTAAGGAGACTAGTTAATAAAAAGCCATCTTATTGGTTATATTTTTTCTTTGTCCAGAAGAAAAAACATACTGTCACAAATAAACTGTTTTAGATGAAGAAAAGAATATTTGACATTTTCTGCTTTTCTGTTCATTGAATATCATGTTAAGGACTATATACATAATATTTCTCATGTCAACAAAGAAGATGAAATGAATTTAAGAGATAGTAAATGACTTTTTCATACTTAAGTAGGAATTGATACTCAAAGGATATAAACCCAGGCCAACATGATTTTAGATTGCTTCAATTAGCTTTTCTTCTGTACTGCTATTTTCTAGGTATTTCAGAGTTTATAAAGAGCAAAGAGCATTTTTTTTTGACATAAGGAAAGACAGAATGATATTAAACATTTAAAAGATTGGGCAGTATAACTTTTAGATGTTTGTAATTTTTAGCCTTTAGTTTGCTTTTGGTATATACAGTTTTTTATTTTTGTTATTATTATTATTTAAAATTGAACTGTTTTTTGTACTTTTTTAAATTCTTGGTTTAAAAATTCTGTCTTATTTGTGCCCTAGTGTCCTATATGAAGTCTTTAGTAGTTCAGTGTTCTCTGCTTTATTGTAAAGGATTTAGAATTTAAACTAACAAGTAGTAATAATAATAATATGTATAATAATAAATATAATAATATCAATGATAATTAATTATAAATATTTTAATATAAATAATTTAATAATTTATCCACAATAATTTAATATAAATTATTAAATAATGATAATTAATATGGAAATAAGCTGTGAATTACGTTTCAGTTTTATCTTATTTTTATTTTATTATTTTAGTTGGCTCTTCGAAACGAGGAGGCAGAAAATGAAAACAGCAAATTAAGAAGAGAGGTTAGTAGAAAATTTCAGTATATGTGGTGGTTCAACAAAGAATTACCTGTTCAAAATGTTCACTTAAGTTTGTATTTTAGCTAGCATGTCCTCTGTTTAACCAATAATATTCATACTAGCTGATTTTCTGATGATTTTTGTATTGGGGAATTACAAAGTCAACCAAAATATGAGGCCCTTAGGTAGTTTATTCCTTTCTGTATCTGTGTGGGTCCGTCTAGTTTTCTGTTACACAGCCACAGCTCCTGATCGGCTGACTCGGCCTTTGAGTAGATTCCTTTCTTTACGACTCTTTGTCTAGCGCCTTCAGAATTTTATTTCTCATGAAATCTTATAAGTTGTATTATTTTTTTATTTTTTATTTTTTGGTTATTTGAGAGGATTTCTCTGTATAGCTTTGGTGCTTGTTATGGAATTAGCTCTTGTGAACCAGGCTGGCCTAGAACTCAGAGATCTGTCTGCCTTTGCCTCCTGAGTGCTGTGATTAAAGACGTGTGTCACCACCGCCCAGCTATAAGTTGTATTATTTTCTGTGTATGTGCTAAATAATAATTTTCTGACTTGAAGCCAAAAAATATTTTAGTTAAAATATGATCACATCATTTTCCCCATCCCTCTTCCTCCTCCAACCCCCAACTGCCATGGTCTCTACTTTTAATTGTTTTATCTAAAATTTTATTTTAACCTAGTCCAAATGTTCTTTCTTTTGGTTCATCTTTAGTCTTTTAATTTCTTTGGCTATTTTAAATAATATATTCAGCTGTCCTAAAAAAGTTCTTTATTCTTATTTTCTTTAAAATGTAAATATTAGTTTTAATTATGTGTTGCCTTTCTCATTTCTGATTATCCTTTTCCTGTCCTTTATTGAAGAACAAACGTCTAAAGAAGAAGGTGAGGCTGTAAAGGGTAGTGGAATCTTGGGGACTTAGAGATGTGTTCTGGGAGCATTAGTTTAAAGATAGATTTTTGTCCTATTATTGTCTTGTTTCCTTTTGACTCTGGATATTATTTTTAATGGGCGACTACTGTGTTTGCTCTAACCTCAGAATGAACAGCTTCGTCAGGACATTATTGACTACCAGAAACAAATAGATTCACAGAAAGAGTCACTTCTGTCAAGGAGAGGAGAAGACAGCGACTACCGGTCACAGCTGTCTAAAAAGAACTATGAACTTGTTCAATATTTGGATGAAATTCAGGTAAAATGGCTAGGTCAGTTCAGAGCAACGGTTTTACAAACTTGATTATCAGGGTAGTTTGAATCTAATATCTCTCCCTCTTGGTAAGTTTTGATTATATGTTTACCATTGTATTTTCAGTGTTTAGTTTGTGTGTGTGCAGGGCTGTCTGTACATTTGTGTGTGTGAGCAGGTGCCTGCCTGTGTGTGGAGCTCAGAGCAGAACCTCTGCTGTTTGCTGTCAGCTTCTGCCCTGTTTGCGGTAGGATGTCTTTGTTCACTACTCTGTATTCGAGGCCAGCTAGCTCAGCAAATTCATGGATTCCCATCTCACAGTAGGAGCACTGCGAATGAAAAGAAATAGTATTGTATCTGGCTTTATGTGCATTCTAGTGACTCAAGCTGTCTCGCATGTTTATACTGTAGTACTTTACCCACTGACACATCTCTGGCCACTCTAAGTACTTTTAAAGCACAAAGTAAATTGTGTCTCTGAGTTTGTATATTTATTTACTCCCTATATATGTCTGTCTTGGGCTCCAAGAATAATTGAGATCCTATGTACAATTTTCTTGACATTTAATTTGACATAATGGGCTAATGCCACATTAATCCTAATGGTCTGTGAAGAATCATTTTTTTCTTTGGAGGGCCCCATGGCTCTATTTAATTTTAACCTAATATAAATTTCAATTTCTTGTAAAACTATTTTAAAGTAATAGCTTATTTAACATTTTTAGACATTAACGGAAGCTAATGAGAAAATTGAAGTTCAGAACCAAGAAATGAGAAAAAATCTAGAAGAGTCTGTCCAGGAAATGGAGAAGATGACTGATGAGTATAACAGAATGAAGGCTCTTGTGCACCAGACAGACACTGCCATGGACCAGATAAAGAAGGAGAATGCACACTTCCGACTTCAAGTAAGAGTCCTGTTGACGCCAAGACTCTCGCATAGCTCCATGTGAAGTCATTGCTGATGATTTGACACTAGAAATACTTTAGTCTTCTAACACGTGGGCTTTGTTGCTTTTCTTAATATAGTAACATGTTATCATCCTGATAATACTTGTCCACAAGGGTTGTCTCATATGTGCCTGGGAGTCTCGACATTTAAGGAATGTCCATGATGCCTGAGTGAGTGTAGACAGCAGTGCTATAAATAAGTGTGGGATATGAAGATTTTTCTGTTAAAAACGTAGCCTCCAGTGGCAATGACATTTAATTTTATGTCTTAAAAACAGTGAAAATATATTCAATATCAATTTATTGTTTTTTATTTATAAAGGATAAACTTATTTAAAATTTAAATAATGTTTACAGATATGATTCTCTACTAGTCAGTACACCACAATTTGTTGAGTGTAGCTTATCTGAAATACTTGGGATCAGACGGTTTCCTAATGAAGTTTTTTTAATCTTTAGATTTTGGAAGATATATAGATTACTTAAGTACATGAGCTATCTTAGGGACAAGGTTAAGGTTTAAATTCTAAATTTATGTATTCTTAATATGTCCCTGAATTCATGTTCATGAATATAGTGCTCATACATCTTTAGTCTTTTGACTAAAACAGAACCCATGAAATATGTGTAATTTTCCACTTGTGGTATATAAAGAGTATCCAGTTTGGGAGCATTTCAGATTTTACATTTTCATTTAGTATTATACAGCCTTTAAGTAGCACCTTTAACTATAGGACTATGCCAGTAATAAATAGCATATGAAATATAAGGCATCTGCAAGCATGTGTTCGTACATTAATAAGTATGCATATATAATAATTATTAGATGCACTGATTTGCACCATTTCATGGACTGATTGCCACTCTTAGGTGCGAGAGCTCACAGATCTTCTGAAAGCAAAAGATGAAGAAGATGATCCAGTCATGATGGCTGTCAATGCAAAAGTGGAAGAATGGAAGGTGCTTTCTCAGTTGATCCGACTTTTTCTTGTTTTCTGTTTTTATTTAACTTCAATTTTGATTTTTAAGGACTTACACCAGGACTTAATCAGGAATGGGATTAGGAAAAGATTTGTCAAAATCATTTGGAAAGCCTTTGCAGAGTCCCCGTTGTGTACCTGATTCCTACTTTTCACTCAGACCTGTTCCAGAACTGTATCCCCGTCAGGAAGCTAGGATTGTGATGGCTGCTGTTTGTGAGTGATGGGAGATGACTGAATTTGTCATTCTTCTTGTAAAAGCTGTCACACTTCTATTGTCTCCATTTCCGACCATGCTCACATAAACCATATGGGTAATTAGGAATTGTTTATTATCCGGGAAGCTCAGATAATCTGTATTTTAAACAAATGTAGTTGCAATGGGGATGAAGCTGAGTGAATCACGTAAGGCTTAGTTAACCTGTGAAACACTAGGACTTAAGTGCCTGAGCTACCCAGGCCTGTTGTAACCTCTCCGCTGCTGTTTCAGTGTGGAACCAGCAGTGACCGTGAGCTGACAACCTGTGAATAAATGAGCACGGCTGCCCTCCATGTCCTTATAGGAGCAAGCGACAGGCTAGAGTTTTCAGCTGCAGGATATAATTTCCACTTTGGAAAGAAACAGATGTTTGAATCACATTTAATCATTTGATTTTTGTCCATATAGTGAATTACTTCCCTAATGTGATGTTTAGGAGACTTATAGGTTTTCTTTTGAAAGCAGTGTTTTAATGAGAAGTTATTCATGCATATATACATATTTTTTGGGAAAATCAGTTGCTGCAAGTGTGATTGTAATTTAAATTGTAACTGTACCTTTCTTTGACTTTTATAATTTTTGATGTGAAGTGCTTCTTTTTATATTGAATAATTAAATTTATTATATTTTAATTCTTTTTGACTTTCCATTATACTTAGATACTCCTAATATTGCTGGGTCAGAGGGCATATGCCTAATCTTATTATTCAGAAGGCTGAGGGTCTTGAAGACCAGCCTGGACTTTTGAGTAGTGAGACATTATCTTCAGATAACTAGATAAGTGGTTGAATATTTATATTGGCTAATACACTTTGAAAAAGAAAGAAGAATTTTTCTCATCTTAATCCTAGTTTCTCCTATCTTCTGGTTTTATATTTTATTTAAATCTTTGAAACAGGTATGTTTTTTAAAAGTGTAATGGATGTAGCTGAATAACTTTTATTCAAATAATATTTCTTGAAAATTTTATCTTTCCCACTATTGTTCTATTTTTATTACGTAAAGACTTGTGTAGGATTTGAGTATTTTCCTCCCTTTTATTCATTTGATTGAGCTGTTTTCTAGCTACATTCATTTTTCCTACATACACTTTAAATTGTTGCATGTCTAAATATCTAAAAACCAGTTCTCATTTTGGTTTTTACTTTTAGACTTCTATGGACAATTTTTATAATTCTTATTACCATCCTTATGACTTTTTGTTTTCTGTAGCTAAGAATATAACATACTCTTCCATTCATTAATGGTACATTGTACTTTCTGTGACATTTTAATGTTTACTTAATAGACCTCTTATATAAAACATTTTGTAGTTGTATAAGTTTGAGAATCGAGGTCAGAGAATTTTCTTTAAGGGTTGAATTGTAAATTTCAAACTGTATTATAGTAGTTGTAGTTACTGACATTCTTTTATTAAATGAATTTTACTTCCTGGGTTGGGGAGATGACAAAGTCGATACAGTAGTTGCTGTGGCATTATGAGGCCCGAAGTGTAGATCCCTTGGCCAGTCAGTCTAGTTAACCTGTAGGATCTAACATCAGTAAAAGACCCAAGCTCAAGAGAATGATACCCCTGTCAACCCCTGATCACACTCATACAGACAAATACCTTGTATACCACACACTAAAAAACAATTTAAAAGCATTTTATTTTTTGTATTGCTTTAAATATATTAAAGATATTTATTATTTTCTATAAATGAAAAATGGTTTGTTAATTTTCTTTTTTAAAATAACATATCTTGTTTTGATTATAGTTAATTTTGTCTTCTAAAGATGATGAAATCATTGAATATCAGCAAATGTTACATAATCTGAGAGAGAAACTTAAAAATGCCCAACTTGATGCTGATAAAAGTAACATTATGGCTCTGAAACAGGTAAAACCTCAACATTTGCAATATCAGCATATCGTGTGAATGTCTGAGCTGGCCTGTCTGTGTTTCACTGTGCCTAATTGGTGGCTTCCATTACCCAGTGTGTAACAAACTGTGAAGTTTCTCATGCACTCCCAGATGGGGGAAGGTGAGACCAGAATTAAGTTTAGAGTGAGACTTATATTTAGATTAGTATTATTTTGCTTTTTTATATTATAATGTATTGTCAGTCAGGAATTACTAATAATCTATTAAAAAATCTATAGATTTTAAAATCTTACTACCTTTTTATTAGCGTTTATTATCATGTATCTTATGCCTGTGCTAAATAAAGTAAACTAAATGTGGTTATATTGTTAATTGGCTACGTAAAGGTTTTGTTTTTAGGAAAACAAGCTCATTCAGAAAAACAACAAAAATCAAAAGATAAATAAAAGTCCTGCCTTTCCCTTATGTGTGTTTTCTCCAGCTAAAGTACTAAGGACAAAATAGAATTTGAGATGTGTTTGAATGAGAACAATGATGAGGATGTTGTTTCTACATAAAGTGCAAAAGGCATAAAAGCTAAACCATGAAAGTCACAGAGAAAACTAACATTACGGTGGTGAAGATAAGAGTCATGGATGGAGGAAACATGTGTAAGAAGTTATAAAAGTCACAAATATTAGGGAGTTCTGGAATACATTTTCCATCTTTATATATTAGCATAACAGTGAGCTACACGCTGTGCGGTACAGTTAGAGGAATACTTAAGAAACATAGTTTGCTGGGTCTGGTGCCACCTGCTGAGGTGGCACAGTGGGTAAAGACTCTTGGTGTCATGCCTGGAACCTGTGTCATGAAAAAGAGAACTGACCCTTATAAGTTGTCAACCTGACCTCCACACTCCTGCCTACAAGCACAGACACACACAAAATAAATTAACTAATATAATAAAAATGTTTAAAAGAACCATAGTTTGGCCACAAGAAAATATATTCTCGTATTAGTTGAAAAAACTATGTTCATAGCAAGAAAGCTTACTTGATACTTTAAAATATTTTATAGGGTATCCAGGAACGAGACAATCAAATTAAGTTGCTTACTGAACAGGTAGAACAGTACACGAAAGAAATGGAAAAAAATACTTTTATTATTGAAGATTTGAAAAATGAGATCAAGAAAGACAAAGGTAATTTAATATTTTATAAGTATATGACTTTCATATATCTTTGTGTTTCAAAATCTATCAAAGTAAAATTGATATGCTACTAAACTATTTTTTAAATTATAAATATTTAATTTGTAAAATATTAATTATATCAGATTCCTATTGTTTAAACTTGTAGGTAATGCATGCTTTTCTGTCATCTTTATAATGCTGAAAATTACTTAGACATTAGTATTAGATAGATTGTACAGAAAGTTAAAATGGTGATATATGTACATGTAGTCAGTCATTTTCAGAAATTATTTTGTGTCTGAAATAATTCTACAAAAATCTCTCATTCTATTCTTTGACTATTATGCTATGTTGTCTGTCACATCAGATCCTCTGAATGGGAGCCCTTGAGAGAAACACTAGTATATCTATAAAAGTACATATTGTACTATACTGAGGCTTAGTAGTTCAAATGGAGTCACAGTGAATTCATGGGCATACTTGTAATTGCTGAAGATAAAAAAGTAGGTGTGAAATACAGGTTGTATTTTACAGTGAAGTGAGATTCTCACTGGACAGGATGGAACGACATCTTAGAGGCAGGGAAGGAGTAAGCAGGGTGTATGGTTGAACCAGCGGGAGTGTGTTCAAAACCACTACCTGTTTAGGAGTCAGCAGATAAAAGCTGGTAGCTGAACAAGACAGAACAATGAAAAGTAGCAGAAAAAAGATCAAAGAGGATGCTAAAGGCCTGCTATTAAAAGTCTTTAGTTTATACAGAAGACTTTGATTTTTATTTTCAGTAAAAGAGATGGGAATGATGTAGTCTCACCTAGACTGTGTCTGTGTAGACGGTAGCGGTTGTAAGGTAGGAAGCAGGGAGAACTGTTTCCACACTGTGGGAATAACCTCATAGGCTGGGCGTTATGCTAACAGAGGTTTTAACAAAGTCAGTTTTAGCTGTGTTTTGAAGGTGAGCGAATTTGGGTTAGTTACGGGGAGGATTTGGGGGACACTCATTAGGACTTTTGATCTGTATCTTGGACAGGATGGTGAGAAAGGCAGGTTTGGAGATGATGAGCTAGTGTTTTGAACATGTTCAATTTGAGATGTTTATTAGACTCCAGCTAAAGATGTTAAGCAGATACGTGTATATGGTTCTAAAGTTCTTAAGCACAATGTAGGCTAAAGACTAAAGTTTGGCATACTTTATGGAATTTCCACAATTCCATTTGGAGTTATGAGACTTGTCTAGGTCATCAGGGGAAGGCTTATAGCTCATGTAAAAATCTCAAAAGGAATCTCCGGGAATACTTCCATTCTGAAGGCTGATGAGGTGAAATGAAATCACCAAAGAAGACTAAGAAGTAATGTGCAGAGAGGTGGGGCACCGTTAGATGCTGAGTCCTGGCAGTCACATAAAATGTCGTCTAGGAAAAACAAACTGTTCATTTCTGCGGTAGTTCAAGATAAACACTGAGATGATCATCAACCTTAGTAATGTCCATGCTTGAATACAAAGCAAACAGAAAAGGAGAGAAAAAATGGGGGAAATCTTTTTAGTTGTTGTTGTTTGGGTTTTTTTTTTGGGGGGGGGGAGAAAGAAAGAAAAGAAAGTAGTAGGCTGAGGAGGGGAAAAGAAACTTAGAAAAGTTTTTAAGTTTTGTAGACCGGTGGAAAGATTCCATTGGTGAAGAGGAGGAGAAAGAGGAGTTCTGGATCTTGAGTTTGGCCATTTTTCCAGCTGAAAAATCTATTCTCCTGTTAATGGTGGTCAAAAAAATGTTGATTATTATAACCATTAAACATCCTCTGTCTTAGTAATATGTCTCTTACAACCATTTTATAATCCACATCCTTCTAGTCAGAGTAATTGTACTCACTTCTACTTTTTAGTTGGTTTTATTAATGAAATAAAACAGTTCCTGGTCCTTGGTTTCACAAATATAAATTCCAACACATAAGAATTTTTGTGCCATACCTCTTCTGCCCCTGTTTGGGAACAACTGATAATAGAAAGGAATATTAATTCCTCAATTCAGCTCACTAATGATTTCTTTTTTCACATGGTTAGGTACTTCAAACTTTAATCAACAGACTCATTATATGAAAATTCACTCAAAAGTACAAAGTCTAGAAGAGAAAGCTAAAGAAGCTGAGAGAATAGCTGAACTGGCTGAGGCTGATGCCAGGGAGAAGGATAAAGACTTGGCTGAAGCTTTGAAGAAATTAAAAGATTATGAATCTGTAAGTATTTTCACCGTCTGCCAAAGAGCTTGAAATCTCCCTGACTCGGGCTCTGCTCTGTGACTGGTATTGTGTTGCATACAAAAAGCATTCTATAGCTCTGTCGCTTTTAAACTATTCAAACTCTTGGACATTTGTTTTATAGCATAGGCTTGTTTCCAAACCTTTTTTGTCTTTTGTAAAAAGTTTATTTTTATTATTTTTTCCTTTAATGTTTGAGATTCTAATTATGGTATTTTTCCATCCTCTCTCCTCCCTCCAACCCCCCCCATACCCCTTCTTATTCTCACTGCTTCCTTTTTCATTAATTGTTATTACATGTATATATGTATATCTTCCTAAATATAATTTTATCAGCATGTATTACTGTTATGTGTTTCTTTGGTGTTGGATAACCAGTTGTGCTTTTTACTGGAGAAGACAATTTTTCCTACTCAGCATTCAGTAATAGCCTGTGGTTCTTTGTGTAGGGTTGAGGCCTCATGGGTTTTCTTCATCTACCTGGGCGTAGCTCTTGTCTTATGTAGGCAGTTGTGTTGATGAGACTTTATGGCATAGCTTCTGACATTTACTAGGCTATGCAATCTCCCTGATTATTGCACTCTTAAGATAGTGCCCCCTCTTCTGCAATGGGCCCCCAGCCTGACTGACCTCCACAACTATGCACTTTGATTGGCTGTGGTTTTCAGTAATGGTCTCCTTCTGCATAGAGAAAGAGGAGTGCACTTATTATAGGTATAGAACAGATGTTTCGACTGTTGTCTAGTAAAGTGGTGCTGTGGTTTCTCCTGCAGTAACCCTGGCTTCACTCGCCCCAGCAGCTTCCCTTAGGGTTACTGTGCCATGCTGGTGCTGGTGGCTTATAAGCCGCAGGAGATCAGGTCTGCTAGTTACTCCCAGCATTGCAAGCTTGCATGGTGCCTGGTACCATGAAACCAGTTATTAGGGAAGGGGCTTAAGAATCAGCTCCAGCCAGGGGTCTGTGGCCCTATTTCTGAAATGCGTGGTGTCCCCAGTGACTGGGACTGGCCTTCTACCTCTGGGGGACAGTCGAGGGCAACAGGAACAGGCTGTACGCTTTGAGAGTCTCTTAGACAACCTTGACCAACAGCTCAGAAGAAGGCGTCTAATGTCTGGTACTGGAGTTTCTGTCAGGTGGTTTGACTCTTGGAGGGAACATCGTCAGCACAGCTAAGAAAAGCTCATTTGAACCATATATGTATGTTTATACACAGAATTATGTTTGTTATAGAGTTTGTCTGTTTTTGTTTTTAGATATGTAGTTGATAGTATGTTTTTATGGCTTTTCAGACCCCTGTATTGTTATTTTGTCCTCCCTCACCCTCCTATATTTACCTTCCTTCAAAACCTCGATGGAAGTGTTCTGTTCAGATCTGCAGCTCTGGTGAGGTAGCAGGATTAACTCCTGCTCTCTGTGTCCTTTGCGCCATCATGGAGGTGTGGCGGTGTCTGACCTGATGAGCTTGTGATAGGGATGGCTGTAGAGACTACTATGTCAACTGAATAAACTTGGACTGTTCAAACAGTTATGTACTCTGATTGGTATGCCTTATTTTATCTTTATGTTTTTATGTCCATACCTTCATGTGTGTGTCTGTGTACTCAGTGTTTCATATGTAATATTCTGAGTCACATTGCCGAAGTGTCAGATGTTCTTATTCTGCCCTCATTACTAGATTTGGTTTATAGATGCTTGGTAAAATACTTCATTAATATATTTTATAACTGATACATAAATATTTTTATGAATCACTTTTATGTATCAGTTATAAAATATCTGCCATATAAAATACAAGTGTGGGTAGGTTTACCCTTCAACTTCATAAAAAAGTAAATTCATACATCTATTTGTTCAAATAAATTATGTTATATTTAAGTTAGGTGTGGTATTTTTCAGGGTGTATATGGCTTAGAGGATGCTGTTATTGAAATAAAGAATTGTAAAGCCCAAATTAAAATAAGAGATGGAGAGATTGAAGTATTGACCAAGGAAATCAATAAACTTGAAATGAAGATCAATGATGTCCTTGATGAAAACGAAGCCCTTAGGGAACAGGCTGGTAAGCTCATTTATGAGACATTTCTTTTTCCTATACCCTGCTTTTCAAGTCTTCTTTGTTACTTTTGGTCTTTTTATACTTTTGTAGGATCAGTGGCCCTGTTCACCCAATCAAAGTCTTCTCACTCCACACGTGTTCTTCCTTCTTCCCTTGTGCGTTGCCTCTGGTATTACTGTAGGTTTGTTTGTTTACTTCTCAGTAGGTGAAGGGAACTTTTCCCCAAATAAATACTTCTGTAGAAACACTTGAAAGTCCAGACACCCTGGGTGAAGTGGGCGAGGGGCATCACTGCGTTGGGATGGTTGATAAGGAACATGGCTTTCATTGGCCTGGTGTGTCTTCACTAATAACTGCTTATTGAAAGGTGAAAGTGCATTTTATTATTTCTACAAATAGGAAACATCTATATGAACTGTTAGTTTACAAACTGATTTTGTTTCAGAAGAGGCCATTTAAAAGTAATTTGCAAACCTTCTAAAGACATAGAAATACAATTTAAACTGCATATGTTTTACTTGGGTATTTTAAGAGTTCCATTTAGTCTAAGATATAATTTCCAAATATAACTTTGGAATTTATATATTTTAGAATAAGTGGTGAATCATTAATATTGCTGGTTTATATTGTAAGTTATAACTAAGGTGCACAATGTAGGGTGCTTCTTTAAAATGAATAGTATAATTTAAATAAGATTTCATTATACTTGCTAAATATCAATTAGTGATTTCTTAGAGTTAAACTGAAAATCTATAAAATTTTTGTGTATAAGAAAAATAAAGCCAGTGATGGCTCACACCTTTAATCCTCGCACTTGGGAAGCAGAGGCAGGTCCACTCAGGTGGACCTCTGAGTTTCAGGACATTCAAGGCTAAACAGAGAAATTCTGTCTCAAAAAAACAAAACAAAATAAAATGAAATTAAAAAAAAGAAAAGGAATACTTTATATGGATTATTTATTTTTGAATAAATAATCTAACTAGAATTTAGGACTATATTAGCCTTTGAAGATTTCTGATTAACTTGACCAGTCAGTTTACAGCTAGGAGCCTAGAAGTGTGAATGGTAACTTCTGACCTATCTAGAAAGCTGCAACAAAAGCCTTGGTTTCTGCCTTTAGGAGTTTAGCTTTTTTTTTTTTTTATAATTATTTTTTCCCTAAGACAGGGTTTCTCTGTGTAACCAATGGCTCTGGTTGTCCTGGAACTCTATCTATAGTTCTATGGACCAGTCTGGCCCGAAACTCAAAGATCTACCTGCTTCTGCCACTTGAGAGCTGGGATTAATGGCATGGGCCACCATTGCCTGGCCAGGGGTTTAGCTTTTATTATCAAAGTGTGGTTTACAGTTATTTTACACTGTCTTGATCCTGATTTTCGCCTCAGTAATGAAGGCAAATTAGGAGACAGGTTAGCCGAAAGAACTAGACCAATAATAACCATATTAATTAAGATTGCTACCTGCCCAGCACTGCTCTAAGCATTATGTTAGCATAATCTTACTATACTCTGAGCAGATAAAAATAATAAATAAACAAATAAATAATGTTATCTCTATCTAAGTTACAAGTTGAAAGTGGGAATGGAACCAAGTTTATCTCCTGACGGGGTTCTCTAATGAATCATGGCACCTTTGTAACATCCCATATGTGTTTGTCAGGGTTTTCGTAATTAGTTAGCTTTTAGCGTGCTTTGTAGTTTAACTGTCTGGAAAATTCTTGCATAAGAAATCTCCAGATTTCAAATGATACCTGCTGGTGTGTAATCCTAGTTACCCTGATGTTCTATGAAGATTTTGTCACTTGCTTGCCAGTTTTTAAGTTTGTAATTATATTACCTTCTATTTCAGGCCTTGAACCAAACACAATGATTGATTTGACTGAATTTAGAAACAGTAAACGCTTAAAACAGCAGCAGTACAGAGCTGAAAACCAGATACTTTTGAAAGAGGCAAGTGACGCTCAATTGACGGTTTTCTTGTCTGGATTAAGGGAAACTACTAATAATGCATACTTTGCAGATTGAAAGTCTCGAGGAAGAACGACTTGATTTGAAAAGGAAAATTCGCCAGATGGCTCAAGAAAGAGGAAAAAGAAATGCAGCTTCAGGTATTCTCAGTCATTCTGTACTTGTGAGAGTTTCGGGCGGGGAGGACTCCCTGGAACCGGGATGTTCTGGATGCGACAGTTGATTTTGCTCTGTTGTGCTCTGTTGTCCGTAATCTGGACCAAGTAATAGAGAAAATGGTATCCAGAAAAAAACGATAGCTAGGTATTAATTGGTGTGATCCTAGCTTGAAACAGCTAAACAAAACAATAACCAAGTTTAGGAATTATACACTTTTGACAAATTCAATGTACAGTCTGTTGATTTTTAGATAGCTCCACTGTGTTGTGGCTAAGCTAAAACAGTAATTTTTGTGTCACTGTATGTCACCCTAGAATGACACTTGGTTGTGAAAACTGTACATTGGAAGGTTATTTTTATTATTTACTTCAATATTTTCACTGAACTTACATTTGTTTGTTTACCTTACTTTTAGAAAGGCAATGTAGTCTTTTTAAAGTCCATTGAAATTCATTTTTGAGGACCATGTATAAAGTGTTTCTTTACATTTTTTTTAGTTTTAATTTTACTTTTGTATGTATTTGTCTGCTCCATACACATGGAGTGCCTATGGAAGCCAGAGGAAGGCTCTGGGTTCCCTGGAGGTGGAGTTGTAGGCAGTTGTGAGTTGCTTGGTGTGGGTACTGTGAACTAAATTCAGGTCCTTTGGAGAAGCATTACACACTTTTGTAAAATTAAAATATTATTTTATTATTTTCTCCTCCCAACTCCTCCCATAATCCTCCCATGTTCTTCCCCCTACTGTGTGTGTATGTGTGTGGGAGTGCGTATGTGCACACGCATGCAAATAAATTGTAAATGCAGCCTACTGAATCCACCTTGTGTTCTCCGATGTTGGTTTTTAGGGCTGACCTCTTGGCACTGGTAAACTGGGTAGGATCCTTATCTAAGGGAAAATTAATTCCTCCTCTCAGCAGTCTGTGATTTCCTATAGCTTTTCATGTAGTGGTAGCCCTGTGCGATTTCTCATGGTCGTGGTAAGATGTTAACTGGTGTTAACTGGTTAACTGGTCTTGTTTAAGCAGATGTCTTGTTGCGATTTCCCTGTCATTCACAGATGACTCAGTCTTTCGGCAGACTCCCTGGTCCTCTGACTCTTACCATATTACAGTCCTGCAATGTCCCATGAGCCTCAGGTGCAAGGGTTATGTTACAGTTGATCTCAGTTGGGGATGGGCTCCCCACAGTCATTATTCTCTGTATTTTAACTAGTTATGGCTTTCAGTAATGGTGTCCATCTGCTGCAAAGAGATGGTTCTCCTTTATTTATTTATTTATTAAAAATTTCTACCTCCTCCCCTCCTCCCATTTCCCTCCCCCTCCCACTCCCTCTCCAGTCCTAAGAGAAGTCAGGGTGCCCTGCCCTGTGGGAAGTCCAAGGCCCTCCCCTCTCCATCCAGATCTAGGAAGGTGAGCATCCAAGCAGACTAGGATCCCACAGAGTCAGTCCATGCAGTAGAATCGAAACCCAGTGCCATTGTCCCTGGCTTCTCAGTCAGCCCTCATTGTCAGCCACATTCAGAGAGTCCGCTCTGATCACATGCTTGTTCAGTCCCAGTCCAGCTGGCCTTGGTGAGCTCCTATTAGATCAGTTCCATTGTCTTAGTGGGTGTATGCACTCCTCGCGGTCCTGACTTCCTTGCTCATGTTCTCCCTCCTTCTGCTCTTCACCTGGACCTTGGGAGCTCAGTCCAGTGCTCCAATGTGGGTCTCTGTCTCTATCTCCATCCATCGCTGGATGAAGGTTCTATGGTGATATGCAAGATATTTATCAGTGTGGCTATGGGAGAAGGCCAGTTCAGGCACCCTCTCCTCTGCTGCCCAAGGATCTAGCTGTGGACATCTCTTTGGACACCTGGGAACCCCTGTACAGCCAAGTCTCTTGCCAACCCTAAAATGGCTCCCTTAGTTAAGATATCTTCTTCCCTGCTCCCATATCCACCCTTCCTCCATCTCAACCATCTCATTCCCCCAAGTTCTCCCTAGTCTTCCCCTTCTCCCTTCTCTCTCCCCATTTTCCCTTCCCCTGACCCCACCCCCATGCTCACAACTTTTGCCCGGCGATCTTGTCTACTTCCAATATCCAGGAGGATAAATATATGTTTTTCTTTGGGGTCACCTTCTTATTTAGCTTCTCTAGGATCATGAATTATAGGCTCAATGTCCTTTATTTATGGCTAAAATTCACTTATGAGTGAGTACATACCATATTCATCATTTTGGGTCTGGGTTATCTTACTCAGTAAAGTGTTTTCTATTTCCATCCATTTGCGTGCAAAATTCAAGATGTCATTGTTTTTATTCGCTGAGTAGAACTGTAATGTGTATATATGCCACACCTTCTTTGTCCATTCTTCTATTGAGGGGCACCTAGGTTGTTTCCAGGTTCTGGCTATTACAAATAGTGCTGCTATGAACATAGTTGAACAAATGCTTTTGTAGTATGTTAGGGCATCTCTTGGGTATATTGTCAAGAGTGGAATTGATGGGTCCTGAGGTAGGTTGACTCCCAGTTTCCTGAGAAACCACCACACTGATTTCCAAAGTGACTGCGCAAGTTTGCATTCCCACCAACAATGGATGAGTGTTCCCCTTATTCCACATCCTCTCCAGCATAGGCTATCATTGGTGTTTTTGATTTTAGCTATTCTGACAGGTGTAAGATGGTATCTCAGAGTTGTTTTGATTTGCATTTCCCTGATTGCTAAGGAGGTTGAACATGATCTTAAGTGTCTTCTGTCCATTTGAACTTCTTCTGTTGAGAATTCTCTGTTCAGTTCAGTACCCCATTTTTTATTGGGTTAATTAGAGTTTTAATGTCTAATTTCTTAAGTTCTTTATATATTTTGGAGATCAGACCTTTGGCTGATGCAGGGTTGGTGAAGATCTTCTTCCATTCAGTAGGTTGCATTTTTGTCTTAATGATAATGTCCTTTGCTTTACAGAAGCTTCTCAGTTTCAGGAGGTCCCATTTATTCACTGTTGCTCTTATTGTCTGTGCTACTGAGGTTCTACGTAGGAAGTGGTCTCCTGTGCCAATGTGTTGCAGACTACTTCCCATTTTCTCTTCTGTCAGGTTCAGTGTGGTCAGATTTATATTGAGGTCTTTAAACCATTTGGACTTGAGTTTTGTCAGTTAACACCCAGAGAAAGAAATTGGGGTTCAGCCTGAAAACCAGAAAAGCAAAACAGCCGAGCCACTGGAGGAGTCTTACCTCTACCGACCAAGGCTGGGCAACCACAGACTAAGCTGACTAAGCAGCTAGAGCCTCTCTCTCCTCCCGTTTTATATTTTCTTTAGTGCCGTGACTAAAGGTGTAAGTCTCTCTAGAACTGAAATTAAAGGTGTGAGACACCACCACCTGGATTTGTTTCTGTATTGATCTTGTGTAGTCCAGGGTGGCCTTGAACTAACAGAGATCCATCTGCCTCTGTCTCCCAAATCTTGGAATTAAAGGTGTATAACACCACTGCCTGACTCTAGTGGCTTAGCTTTGCCCTTCTGATCTTTAGGCAAGTTCTATTTATTGAAACCTAAATAAAATATCATTATAGGAATTTAACTCCTTCTATCTTCTGCAGACATCAATCACACCTGTGATACACAAACACCCACGCACATAAAGTAATAATATAAAGACAAATAAAATTGTAAATATCTTTGTAAGAACTGCATTGGAGGACTGAGACCTCAGCCCTCTATTAGCACACTTGCCTGGCATGCACACAGCCTGCACAAAGTCACTTCCCAGCATCGCGAAAAATAAAGTCAAATAGAAATATTGAAATAAATGCATGGCTTTTAATTGATTTCTTTGTATGTTTAAATATTTCTACAACTCATTATTGGATACTTTAAAATTAGCATAAAAATGATAAGGAAGGTACAATTCAAGTCAATCTCATTTTATTGATAGCTTATTAAAAGTAAACAATATCAGAGAGTTTTATTGGCTACATGTTGATCTAGGATTTTAGAAACATTGGACGTTTTGTTTGAATTAAAACTTTGTTCTTGCATTGGATTAAAAAAGAGGGATTTTTGTTTTGGTTTCTTATTTGTTAATTCATATTGTAGGATTAACCATGGAAGATTCAAACCTAACTGAAAAGTTTTCTCAGGAAGATAAAATAGGAGAAAGACAACTAAATTTTATGAGTCTCAAAAGCATGAATGAAGCACAATCAAAGGTAAGCATTATTGCTCTGACAAAAAGAATAAGGGAAATGCTAGCAGTACAGGTTTCCTTCGCTTTATCTCATTTAGCACTTTTGCTCTTTTTAGCTGTTAAACAACTTGCTTAAATAACTTGGTGTCTCAAGATGGATTAACAAGACATTGTTTACTTTAAATACAGATTAAGAGTTCAGCTACAGTAGAGCTGCTGCCTAGGAGACCATCTTTCAGTATTCTGCGATCAGATCAGAATGAGACAGAGGAGAATATGATCGTACAGTCATTATCGAGAATGCTGCCTGGAATTCATCGTAGCGTAGAAAGTGGAGTGCATCCTATGGTCTCTTTAACTAGAGGTTCCTCATTTTTGCAAATGAAAGATGATACTACAGCTCCAGAAGCTATTACAATAAGGGAGATTTTTAAAGCACCATGTCTGCAGTCTTTGAGAAATCTAGAATCGTTAGTCAGCGCGCTTAGTAAAGAGAGCAGTAAAGAGATAAGTGATTACCTATGCTCTCTTTCCGAGGAGTGTATGAAGAAAGGGTCAGGAAGCCAGCAAGCTCTAGAGGAAACCATATTCTTAGAGAAAAGCAGTTCGTCATTTCAAGCATCACCAAGAGCTTCAGAATTAATGCAGAAATTATCACATGGGCAAAAGTCCGTAGTATTTTGTCAACAATCGTATGACCATGGTATGGAAAAAGTAACATCAGAAGATGAACAGGTCCTTTATGAAGTAAAGTGTGCTGAGCTCAGTTTAAAAGACGGTAAAAGACAGAGTGAATCACCCTCACAGACTGGGAAGTTGAGAAGTGCAGATCCTGTGCCTGTTACCGCACAGCCCCGATCACCTCAGCCAGATCCCCTTGAAAATCTTATAGAACAGCTCCAGAAGGAGCTGGTATTCCTTAGAGTGCAGGTGAGCTCTCTTCAGATATATTCATGCAACCCTCTTATTTTCTTACCAGAGTTCTAGAAACAGTTCTAATAATAGTTCCTTTAATTTACACATTAAAACTCATTTTTAATAACAGAGCTGTACTTAAAAAAACTAAAAAATTGCAGTATATTTGCTTTGAACTTGTTGACTTGCCTAATATATTAAATGTTTCTTTAGAATGCAACTATAGCACAGGATTTATCAATCCAAGAAGAGCAGAGTAGAAATGCAGAAATAGAACTTGACCATCAGAGAAGCCAGGCAGAACAGGTAGTGTAAAGACAGACCATGCAGGGCAACGATTGGTGCTAGGACAGAGACTGCTGTGTGTCCCCAGCCTCCTGCAGCCACGGACAGAGTGGGAGGAAGAGGTGGTAGCATCTCTGGTTTTGTCCTCGGGACTGCATTCTATAATTCCTCTGTCTCTGTAACCTCTTTTCTGGTGTGCTCAACTTGAATTTATAAAACATTGTTTTAACCTGATACCTATTTATTACTGTGATATTTTATGAAACATTTTTATTCTCTTTGTTCAGAATGAATTTCTTTCAAGAGAACTAATTGAAAAGGAAAGAGACTTAGAAAGAAGTAGGACAGTAATTGCCAAATTTCAGAATAAATGTAAGTCACTATTATCGCTTCCTTTTCTATACCTAATTTCTCTACAGTACATTATTATATATTTATCTGTTTATTTATTTACTTTTCGATTTTTCGAGGCAAGGTTTCTCTGTAGCTCTAAAGCTACAGAGGCTCTAAAGCCTGTCCTGGAACTAGCTCTTGCAGATAAAACTGACCTTGAACTCACCTGCCTCTGCTTCCTGAGTGCTGGGATTAAAGACTTTTGCTCCCACTGCCCGGCTCATTAGTTATTTTTTAATCTTTAATTGTCTTTATAATTTTAGCTCAGTCCCTGTTACATATCTTTGTGGTTTACATAGGCATTTTTATTGTTTTAGAATGTTAAAGTTCTGTTTTTTATAAAAATACATCACATATTTTATATGCTTAAGTGAAAATGAAGTTATAAAAATTTAAGGATCTTAATATAACAGAGCTATGACATATGTGTGTGCCTGTGCGTGTGTGCCTGTGTGCATATGTGTATATGCATATGACTAAAATAGGCGTGGTTTTTAACTCAACTGTTCTTGTTCCATTTATAGTTGGACTTTTTATTTACATTTTTGTTCTCCAATTTTTTAATCTGAAATATCTGTCGTGTACATAGAAAATGTAAATTGTTAAAACAATATATTTATTCAATGTAAAAAATATAATTACAGTAAAAGAATTAGTTGAAGAAAATAAGCAACTTGAAGAAGGCATGAAGGAAATTTTGCAGGCTGTTAAGGACATGCAGAAGGACCCTGATGTGAAGGGAGGTGAAACATCTCTAATCATCCCCAGTCTGGAAAGACTGGTTAATGTAAGTTACGTGTGATGATAGTGTCTGCCTGCAGCCAGCCCTTCTTTAGGGGTTTCTGTTTCTGATGCTCTGATAAAATACTCAGATAAAAAGCGACTTAAGAAATAGGATGAATTATACATTTCAGGTACGGCCTGTATGGCAGGACAGTGTCAGCAGCAGGGACCAGAGCAGCTCATCCCAGTGCACCCCAGACTGCAGAACTAACTCTTCTGCTTTCTGGATGCTGAAGGGAGGAAGTGAAGATGTGAGGAACCCAGGTTACTGGCCCAGCTAGCAAGAAACTGACTCTTATATGAACGCTGATCATCTTATTACTGTCTGGCTATTTTCTGCTTTACTAATCGATTAATATTTACTCAATTTTATTTATTTTAATGAAGTAATCACTATGTATAGTAACATAAACTAAATTTAAATTTTATAAATATTACTTTATTTATAAGTTTAAATAACGTTCTTATAGTCAGTGAACATAGGAAATTGATTAAATTATTGAAAGACATTTTTCTTGTCTATGATTTTACTGTTTTCCATTTCATTTGTAATATGTAATATAAATATACTAGGCTATAGAATCAAAGAATGCAGAAGGAATCTTTGATGCCAGTTTGCATTTGAAAGCCCAAGTTGATCAACTTACAGGAAGGAATGAAGAATTAAGGCAAGAACTCAGGGAATCTCGGAAAGAGGCTATAAATTATTCTCAGCAACTGGTAAAAGCAAACTTAAAGGTGAGAGTTTTATTAAATACAAGAAAATATTAAAGCCATGACTGTCTGTTTTAATAGGAAACTTTTGTTTTGTTTTGTTTATCCGAGACAGAGTTTCTTTGTTTAACAGCCCTGGCTGTCCTAAAACTTGCTTTGTAGACCAAGCTGACCTTGAACTCACAGAGATCCATCTGCCTCTGCTTCCTGAGTGCTGGCATTAAAGGTATGTGCCACCACTACTCTGGCTAGGAAACTTTTTTTTAAGTCTTTTTTTTGAAAGGAAAATGTCCTTTGAGTTCTTTCAACCCTAAAACCACCTTTTTTTTTGAAATTTGAAAATGTTTTTATTTATTTATTTATTCTTTGATAATTTCTTATAGTGTATTTTGACCATATCCCATCCATGCTTGATCGGTTCAGAGCCTCTCTAACAACCGTAATTCATGTTCTTTCTCCCTCTTAAAGCAACAACTAAAAAGAAACAAACAAAAGCCTCAGACTTTGATTTGTGGTAGCCAGCTACCTACTCCTGAGCATGGTACCTGCCCTGGAGTATGGTGGATATACTCAGTGTTGACCTACTGAAGAAATGGATTTCTTCCTCTCTGCGCAGTTTTACAAATGTCTGCTTAGCTAGGGCTGGGACTTGGTGAGCACATCGTTTCCTCTGTGCTGTTGTTTGCCAGGCTTGATCTTGTGCAGATGTGTGTGTGCTGTCAGCACAGTCTCCATATGGGCATCTGCCCTGCTGGGACTGGAAATGCTATTTCCTTGGAGTCATCCACAACCTCTGGTCCCTAGCATCGTTCTGCCCCTCTTCCACATATGTCCTTGAGCCCTATTCATGCTGAACACCCTGATGTCTCTCATAAAGATCCTTATGAGGCTATGTGGAAAAGTAAGATCCTTGTACTTTATAAGAGAACATAAGAGCTCTAAATCTTGTATTAGGGATTTCGAAGTAAAAATTAAAGTTTTTATTAATTCTTGTCAAATTGTTCCTGACCATTTAAAAAGATATTCAGTGGAGAAAGCTGAAGAATAACTTCCTGCCTTGTAACTTTCCTAGCATGATTATCATTCCTGGGTTGTTTCCAGATTGATCATCTTGAGAAAGAGACTGATCTTCTCCGCCAGTCTGCAGGAGCCAATGTAGTTTACAGAGGTGTAGACCTGCCTGATGGGATAGCGCCATCGAGTGCCCATATCATCAATTCCCAGAATGAATACTTAATACATCTTTTGCAGGTACTGGTAATCTCTGTAGTAATGACAGACATATTCGATAGTATGTTTCTTAATTTAGTCTATGAAGTCCTGTGAGTTCTCAGAGTAAACAGGCATGCTATTAGTAGATTGTGAGTCAGCTGAACTAATATAAGGGAAGTTTATTCTGTTTACCTACATGTAAATGTTCATGTTTCTTGTTGATCTGTGTTAGTCATTTGAAATGTATAAAGACATGAGAATTATAAGCAAATGCTATAAAGTAGCATCGTGTTGTGTTTATTGCTGGTTAGAAAAGCAAGAGAAGGAAATAGCTTCTCAATGCCTTTAGTAGATTGTCTCTTTTTGTGCTAATCACAGAAAAGCTCGCAAGTAAACCTGACTCTCACTGTTTCTTTCCTGTGTAAATGTTGGTCCACCGCAAATTAGAAAGGGTGCTCTATTCCATTATTTGCCCTGTACTTGCTTTCTCTTTGCCATCTGTATAATGGATTTAAAAATAGCCTGATGAGGTGTCTCAGAATTTCATTTGAAGAGTAATATTGATAGCATCATATAAGCTATAATCGTACTTAAAAAATCTATTCAAAACAAAAATACATTTCTGATTTTAAGCAGCATTGCCTCTCACTGCTAGATTATCCATTGGTGTGATACTTGAGTTATAATCATCAAATGCTGGTTTTGTATTTATATATAACATTACTCTTTATTTGAATTTGTATGATACAGAAGTCATGTAAGGGTAACTTAACATATGGAAACATTTCTTTAAAATTCATCTTATATCACTACTTTTAAATTCATGGCATTATTGATGATTTATATTTGTACATTAAAGGGACATTGTCAACAAATAATGGCAACATGATATACTTGATCTAAGATTTTTTTTTAATTAAAAAAAAGTGGGGGCCTAGCAAGGTGACTCCCTTGGTACAGGCCCTGGTGCCGGCCCTGACAGCCACTGTTTGTCTTCAGTCGCTGCACCACATGTTGGAAGGACAGAACAGACTCCCTAAGTTATCCTCCGGCCTCCAGACTGTATCCTGCACTCACATGCATGCAAATGAATGCTTTAATTAACTCACAGTTTCCCCATATTTAAAAAGAAATAAAAAGGCTAATTTTAGTCAAGGCACAAAAATGTCTGCTGACAAAAGACTATGTAGCTAAATAATAGGAGTTGAGTGTTTGATTGTTCTGTTTGATAAACATTTATGCTCAAGGTGAATACTGTATCTGATAGATGTGGGCTTACTGCAGCTACCATATTTGAAAAGAATAATTTTGCTTGTTTTATAGGACTTTTTATTACCTCATTCTTTGTATCTTATATTAAAATGTTGGAAATATAGAGTTTTAATAATGTTTTTGAAATGTGAATCTGTACCTTTGAATTGAAAATATAGTGTAATGCTATTTAAACTAATTTTTAGGATCTAGACAATAAAGAAAAGAAGTTAAAACATTTAGAAGATTCTCTTGAAGATTATAACAGAAAATTTGCAGTAATTCGTCATCAACAAAGTTTATTATATAAAGAATATCTAAGGTATGTATGTTTTGAAACTTTATAAATTTAGTTGGATATGGTACTGTTCTTTAGTCACAAAGAAAAGTACTGATCCCTTCCACATAACTGTTGTCAAAAATGTGTTTAAGCGTCCTTCTGAAGTAGATCAGTGATCTCAACCCTCTTCATGGCTGGGATTGGCAGAGATGAACCAGACTCTAGCACTGGGTAGATGTGAGACACAGAGAAGATTGCTTTTTCTTTACTGTGTGTTTCTTAGTTGCTTCTAAAAATCTATGATAGCACTTTTTTTTTTTAACCCCAAACGGGTTGTCATGCAATTAAGTGGATAATTCCATAAAATGTTCAAGCTATTGCATAGCACAACTATACACTATAGATAGTCACTGTGGTTAGCAGTACTCATCCTGTCACCCTTACACAACCGTGTTCTTAGGGACTAGTGTGCCTCCCTTACCTCTCACCTCATCACGACCATCATATCTTAGTAGGAAGTAGGCTTCATAGCCAAAGGTGATTCTGAACACTTATGGTAGCATCTAATTGACAGGAAACCCAGAGGTAGTTAGAGGATGGATCAATTTATATGGATTTTTGTTAGCTACTATTGTTATAAAATATTTCTAGACTTTCATAGACCAGAGAGTCATGTTGATTGAAAAAGAGTAACATGTTTTTCCATATTTTGACACATATCTAATCAAAATTAAGTCACGTGTTTAAATCAAAACCATTTACTGGCAAAGGTAATTATGCCACTAAAATTCGCTCATGCCAAGCATAAATTAACAGTTGTATGTCTTTTCAGTTAGCAAAAGTGATTTATATACTTGTAAGACTGATTCATTTGGATTTGTTTTAATTGAAAAGTAAATCTGTATTTGTTTATGCTGCATGCACAAAATATTTAGAATGCAAATATTAGAAATCACTGGATTTGGAGAAAACTGATTTTCTCTTTACCATTGGGTATCAAATGCAAATGGCTTTTGGATAGGGGTGAGACCCTCTGTCCACCTCATGAAGTGACTAAAGTGAAGTTTCAAAGAACCCTTTTCAAATGAATTTTTAAACCTTGGTTTTTTTTTCTATTTAATTTCTATTGACAAAATATTATAGACTTGATTTTTATATTTCAAGTCTAGATGAGGATTGAGGTATTATGTTGCAAATATATTAAAGAGATAGGGCAAATAAAGATGGAAATAACTTGATAAAATTGATACTACTTTTAATTTATTAAAAACATTGAGTGAAAATGTAACTTCTTGTAATTTGAATGTTTGGTAGTATGTCTTTTGTTCTGAGACTATTTAAAGCTTCCATAATCTAAATTTATCCCTTTTGCAGTTAAAAAAATTATATTTATTCTATTTATTATCTTTTTAATTGTTATCGCATGATATTATAGTGAAAAGGAGACTTGGAAAACAGAGTCTGAGACAAGCAAAGAGGAGAAGAGAAAACTTGAGGACCAAGTCCAGCAGGATGCTGTGAGAGTGAAGGAGTACAATGTAAGCCTGACTCCGGATGCTCCTCTGCCAGCACCCGAGGAGAGCTGGTTCACTTAGTAACGCCAGTGTGCTTCTCTGCAGAATCTGCTCAGTGCCCTTCAGATGGATTCAAATGAGATGAAGAAAATGCTTTCGGAAAACAGTAGGAAAATCACCGTTTTGCAAGTGAATGAGAAGTCCCTCATAAGGCAGTATACAACCCTGGTGGAAATGGAGCGGCAGCTTAGGAAAGAAAACGGGAAGCACAAGAATGACTTAGTATCAATGGAAGCTGAAGTTACTGAAAAAATTGGAAGTTTGCAAAGATTTAAGGTATTTCTGAAAATTTTTGGGGGGGGCAGCTTAGGAATTTTTCAGGTCTGCAAACAGTGAGACTCATGCACACCCGTCAACAGTGGTTCGTGTTTACTGACATTTGCTAAAATTACTTTATCCAGTTTTTGTAGACTACTCAAATTGCAGCCATAAATGTTTTTACCATATATCTCTACCATAGAAAGTTTTGTTTGCGTTATTGTAATGATATTATTTTACTGAAATATTGACAGTATTTCCCTAACTTTCCCACAGTGCTGACTATATTCAGTCTCCTTTAGGTCTAGGCTTTGATCATGAATAGTGCATGTATTGAATTTGACAGTTGTGTGTCCTGACCCTGAAGACAGTGACCTGTTTCGCTGTGTTTTGCTCTTCTCTTTAGAGAATATTTAATAAATCTACTTTTTTTGATTTTACCAGGTTTAGCTCTGAGGCCTTTATTTGATTCAATTTGAACAGTTTTAGCAAGAGAACGTCTTAAACAATTATCTGTGCTATGTCACTCCATAGATAGCTTATCTGTCTGGGTGGTGTTTTGTGGAGAATTACGTCATTTTTGATTGATATCTATATTTTTAAGTGGTTAACTGGTAAGATTTTAGCGTGTTATAAATTAAGGATCCTTTGCTATTTTTCCTAATAATTCTCACAGTCATGGTTGCCTGATATGGGTGTTCATGGTTTTCTCATATTATTACTGCTGTCACATTCTTTTGAAAGTATTTCCCACTGTGAAGACAGAATGAGAACTCGGTATTTCCTTTTCACCACCGGTTACAGAAGGGCAGGATGTGTGTGCTCTGTTTCTGGGTGGATTTGTCGTTTTCTCGTGAGAGTCTTCATCTTTGGTTGTCATGATAGATTCACAGACTTATAAGCATTAGCCACATTTCTCTCAGTTGATAATTCTAAACTTTGTTTACTAGAAAGCTTTTTACAATCGTCTCTTAATTTTGTTTTTTGTTTTGTTTTGTTTTGTTTTTTTAAAGCATGGATCCATTAGTTTTTGAACCAAACTTGATTTGTTTTCTGGCATAAAGAAATTTTCTGGACCTAACTTACACACTACTTCTGCTTGGATGCAAAGTAATCCACTTCTTTAAGGAATCCTGTTTCTTTTTAGAGGGTTAACTATTTACATGCCAGAACTGATTATATGATGATGTCATTGCTACTTGTCTCTTTCCTTGGATGATATAGGGAATATAGTGTATAACTTTAGAATATGAGTGCATGTTGTTATTTCCAATCCAAACTTAACATTGTTAGGTAATTATACCACTATATTTTATTCTCTAAACTCATTTAACTTTGTAATGTTATTTTCTTCATGTTTTGCATAGAAAACTAAAATATTAATTATTTTATCAGATATCATCACATATTAAAAATAATAGCATCTGTAACACTTCTTACTATATGCTAAAATTTCTTTGCAGTTGTAATTTTCCTTGGAATCTGTCCTATTGTGCATTGCTGGCAAAAATAACATATTCTAGTAACTTGAAAAATTCCGTCATCTTTTTATTTTCTTTTTGCTTTCAATATTAGGATTTTTCAAAGTGAATTAGAATATATAAACTGTGTTTTGAAAGGTTTAGTGAGAAATGTCTTGCTGCTGCCCCTGCCCTGCTATCCAGGTAACAGAATACTCTCCAGGTAGTATGTCTGCGACAGGAACAGAACCTGGGAGTGGTCACCCATCCACACCTGTCTGTGCCTTCACCTCAGAGCTGTTTCTATTTGGACATGAATTAAGGAAAATTTGAGACTTAGGAATGGTCTTGTTTTTATTTTTGTGGCTTTAAGAAAATTGGACTCTTGGGTTTTACCAATATAGATCGTGCTTAAAATATGAGCTGGAGTTTTCTGCCATCCTCCCTCTTTCTTCAAACATCGTTTTTGCTTTATGTTTTTTGTGTTTCATTTTTTATAATAGGAAATAAGAAAGGGGGATGTTTTCAAGGAAACAAAACGTATTTCCTTGCTTTTTATTCAGCCTGCTTCACAAAATGAAACCAAACCCCTAGAATATGGTAGAATAGTATCTGTTTATTTCCATGAAAGATGCTGTTGCAGTTAGACCAGAAGCTCACTATACCCAGGAATGCATTATAGCTACAGCATCTTCGTCTCCTCTTCGTCAGTCTGGTTATCTACTGCCCCGCTCGCCTCCATCCTGTTACTGTACTCTTTTATATGCCTTTGGCTTATCATAGAGCAGATCACTGGGAAGAACTGAAAGTCCCAGTGCCTTGTTTGTTTTAATAAACCACTTTAGTGTCTCCAATTAATGACTTTTCATTAGAATGGTAGAACATTATGTGGCTCCTCTTCTTAGGGCCGAGCAAATACCTAGTAAACTTAGAAATAGGAAAAGTTTGTTTTGGTTCAGAAATTGGGAGGTTTGAAAATATAGTCTTTACCTTTGACCTGTGGTGCTACAAGTACATCATAGGCCCCATAATCCTTGTGAAAGCACACTCCAGGTGACTTCCCACCGAACCCCACACTTTAGTCCTTTCCGCTCCCTAGCAGCACCCTGCTGGAGAATGCGCTCCTACCACGTGTTTCTGGAGGAAGAATGTTCCGTATTAGATTATAGCAAGCAAGAAATGAGTAACAAATTCTTATTGCTACTATTTAGACATTTTCATTACTCAGTAATGGAAACCAAAAACAAGTTTGTATGACTTCAAGAAAGCAAAAAGGTTTTCTTAGTTTATACTAATTTCGCCACTTAAAATGTCAAATGTTTGGTTGACTTTAATCTTCTAAAATTTAGAGTAGGCAGGCTTCCAAAGGTGATTTCTGAGTGATTGCAGTTTATTTTATTTTCTCAAATTAATTATATTTCAATTTACTATGACAGCTTGTAAAAGGATTCATTTAAATTGCTAATTAAAACTTTCCAAATATTATTTCCTATGTGAAAGAATAGCATGAGAAATATATTTTTCAAATGATTTTAAAATCCATTTTGCTTTTCATTGAAATATCTTCCTTAAAAATGACTAATGCTTTACCAGAAAAGTATGCAAATTTAACTGAGTGTATCCTTTTTTTCAGGAAATGGCTACCTTCAAAATTGCAGCTCTCCAGAAAGTTGTAGATAATAGTGTCTCTTTGTCTGAACTTGAACTTGCCAATAAGCAATACAATGAACTAACTACTAAGTACAGGGACATACTGCAGAAAGATAACATGCTTGTTCAGAGAACAAGTAACTTAGAACACCTGGAGGTGAGTGTGTGTGATCTTTGAACCCTGTTGTTCTAGCCACTTTACTTTGAGGGTATCCTGGGGCTATAAGACTTTTACTGATTTCTAGTGATTAAAGTTGGTTTCTTTTTATGTAACTGTGGTGGAGATATGATCATAGGTATAATCTAGTTGTGGTTTGTCCTGGATATCAGTACATATATCTATATGTAACATACTATGTATTTATAATTGTTGATAACTTAAAGGTGACTTTATCTAGGTCATCCTCTTACATGTCTTGTATGACTTAGCTGGGTCAAACTTCTTTCTTGGCACACATGTAATTAAAGGGAGACATGCTATTAAATATCTATTCTTCTCTTTTTTTTTGCCTTGATCTCAGAGTTCTCAAATTTGGTTTCTTATGATGAATTTATTTGACTGTGAATACATTATTCATGGCAATTCATAGATATTGGATAAACGTTCCAAATCTCCATTCTCTCATGTTTTAGAAATACTGAAATTTGGGGTGGGGATAAAGGAGATGGCTCTGAGTGTAAAAGCTCTTCCTGGCGGGTGATTTGGATCTGTGGAACATGTATGTTTTAGTTTCTTTTGTGTGATGAATCACCTAGCAAAAGCAACTTTAAAAAGAAGAATTTCTCTGACTCCCAGTTCATGGTAGAGTCTGGTATGGTAGGGAAATCCACATAGCAGGAACACGTAGTGTGGAGCAATTCGTCACATTGTGTCCTCCATCAAGGCACGGTGCATGCATGCTTCCTGCTCCTTAGCTTGCTCTCTCCGTTTTGTGTCGTTGTCTCTCCCACTAAGGGAAGGAATCCTGTCCACAGTCAAGATGCGTTTTCCTCCATTAGTTGATATAATCAAGGTAATCCCCCACAGGGGCCATCCCCCTGCTGATTATAGATTCTGTCAAGTTGACAACTATTAGATTACATCATAAAAAAAAAAAACCAGTATGGACCCATAATAGCATCATTCATTCCTACAGCCAAGGGGAGACCGAGAGAGGGAAATGACCTTGCCTGGAAGTTTGTGGCTAGCTAGTCTGAAATATTAACAGCACAGAGGCAGAAACAATGAGAAAATGCCCTGCCTGTATCAGAGTGAATGGCAAGAACAGACTTCCAAAAGTTGTTCTTAGATCTCTACACAAATGTTTCGTCACATGTGTGCCTATACTCACACACATTACATACAGAAACTATGGAAGGTGGAAGGTCACTAGTTTCATTAGACTATTTGTATATATAGTCCTGACCTTTCATTATTCTGCTTCTTAATCTTTATTTCCTCGGTGGAGTGAGTGTGTGTGTGTGTGTGTGTGTGTGTGTATGTGTGTATGTGTGTGATATGTTTACATGTATATGACATTCTTTTGCTTGAATGTATGTGTGTATGTGGATCACATACTTGCTGTGCCTGCAGAGACGAGAAGAGGTTATTGGATCCTCTAGCTGGAGTTACTGACACTTACAGTCCGTGCTCTTTCCAGCCCCGCTCTCTCCATTTCCCATTTCTATCAGATAATCTCTGGAGAAATAAAGGCCCAGGCTTCTACAGACTTCTCATAGAAGTAGAGGTGTATGTCTTTAGACTTAATCTTCTTTAAGATTCTCCCACAAGCATGGAATAGGAAATAATTTGGGGAGCTCAGAATGTCATACTTATGTAGGGGAACACACTGAGTAAATGAAACATTATTTTTCTGATGACTTACGCAAAATAGCTTGAGTCATTATATATTAATACTATCTAGAAATAATCCTAGTCCATTAACTTTTTACTGCTTTTGCTGAAGACCAGAGATAATTATGTTACTGTTTAAAGGTAATTCTATTTAGATGTAGTAATAATTTCCTTTTCCTATTTTCCATGTCCTTGTTCTGTGTCTCCGGTATTAGCAAAGCTCTCAAGAAATCTGCAGTTAGCTACCAGTGAGCTGTTTTTTCCTTTATTTTGTATTGCTAAAACTCAAAACTCAGGCAAGAACTGAACGTCTCAGCTCCATCTCTAGTCTTCAATAAATAGCTTTTTAAGTTTTATTTGCTATTGTTATTATTATTTGTGTGTATGTGTGTGTGTATCTCTGTATGTGTGTGCTTACATGTGTGTTTAAGTCAGATAATATTCAGGAGTCAGTTCATGGTAGGTTCTGGGGATGGAACACAGGTTGTCGGGCTTGCACAGTATGAACTTGTACTTGTTGAGGCATATTGTTTGCCTTCAGTGACTTTTAGTTTAATTCTTCTGTTTCCCCAAAGAACACTTCGTAATCGCCCCTCAAAATTGGTGTATGTCTATGAGATATGGGAAAGCCCAGTAACAGAGCCTGCTGCCCGCTGAGGACCTGAGTGCAGATCCCAGCTCTCGTGGTCAGGTGTCCACAGCTGCCCAGGACTTGGGAGTTAGAAACACTTGGACCCTGAGGCCAGCATCAGCCTAGACTAAATTCAGATCCTGTCTCAAGGAAACAGGCAAATGAACCTGAGAGTGAGTGAGCAAGAATCCTTAGTTGTTCCCTTTGTCTCCTGTTCTTTCTGTAATTCATTTATAATTTTAACATTATCATCACATCTTTTATGCCCTTCTATCTGATGGCACTGTTTTGGTTTTCTTCTTCACCTTGTTTGTTGCAGCCATTATTCACATTGCCATCTCCAGTCGTAAACCCTCCTTGCCGCCTCTAAAATGATAGCTGCGTATACTGTTACCATGTTACTCACTCCCATGCTTAGGAATCACTGGATTGGCAAAAAGTCAAATCCTCTCTCTGTTTACCTTATGATTGTTCTTGCTTTAAGGCAGTGGTTCTCAGCCTCTGGTTTGCTACTGAGATCAAACAACCCTTTCACAGGGGTGACCTAAGACTATTGGAAAACACAGATGTCTACACTCATCAGAGCAGCAAACTACAGCTATGGAGTAGCAGTGAAAATGTGGTCAGTGGTCACCACAGCATGAGGGTCGCGGCATTAGGGAGCTGGGAACCACTGCTTTAAAGCAAGACAAGAGTTTAAAGGCTCAGAGAAGGAAAATGGTGCTGAATTAGGAAAAGATTGGGTGTTTGAAGACCTAAGCAACAGTAAGCAAAATTAGGAGCCTTGTACTACAGATTTTAGAATTTAGGGAATGTGAGTCTCAATGAAGGATTATCAATGTTGGGTTGGCCTCTGGGCTTGTTTATGGGGGGGGGATTGTTTTAACTAACTTTATTAATATGGTAATACATAACTCACTGTGGTGCAGCCACTACCTTGGAGGGGGTTTCTGCTCTGTGTAAGAGTGGAGAAGTCAAGCTGAATACAAGCAAGCAGTCATACATGAACTTACATGTGTTCTTGACCGGATGTGATAGGACTGTTTGAAGTTCCTGTCTTGAGTTCCCTTAATGGTAGATGGAAACATGGGATTATATCCCTAAATAAGCTCACCCTACATTGTTTTTGTGATAGGCTGTTTTATCACAGCAACAAGAAAAGCTAGCAAAGGAGATTCTACCACACTCACATACACACAGACCATAAATGGAGAAGCCTGTGAGATGTGGGATTTGTGCTTTTCTTTTTCCTGCTAAAATCTAGCACCTGTCACAGATGATGTGTTAGGGATGTGCGTGTGAGTGCTTGTGTGAATGAGGCAAATAAGCAGTAGTTTGTGAAAGTTCAAAGCCCCTCTGGATTTCTTACTGGTTAAAATGAATAGGTGTCTTTAGTGGCAAAGGCTAATACGTGGACGTTTAGAGCCAGGTGTGTTATATGCGAGAGTCTGATTATTATTTATATGTGAGATGTGTGAGAAATTATATTTTTTTAATTTACTAAAATTATTTTTGAATATGGTTAATTTCTGTATGATTTTTATCTACATCTTTTAAAAATAAATCTTAAAATTTTCAATTAAAAATTGTGAGTGTTAAGAGATAATGCATAAGGTTGAAGCTGTGAGGTGTTTGTGGTACCCATTCCCCTTGCATTGTAGTCATCTGTGACGTCTGTTTCGTATTCAGTGTGAAAACGCATCTTTAAAAGAACAAATGGATACAATAAGTAAAGAGCTAGAGATTACAAAGGAGAAGCTGCACACCATTGAACAAGCCTGGGAACAAGAAATTAAATTAGGTGAGTCTTAACACAGGGAATACCAAGTGATCAGTGTGTAACAGTGATTGTTTTTACTGAAACTTCCTTTTCTATAGTAAAATATGAGCATGTAGTTTGATTTGAAAAGATGAAGTGTATCCTACAGTTTAGTATACCGATTATAAATAATATCCTGGGTGCTTGGTGTAGAGGTCTCACGTGAGATTTTTTTTTCTAGTAAAATCGTATATTATAAATTTTTGATTAAACACTAGCCATTTTTAAATTATTTTAGCAATTAAAACCTAGTGATAATTTTGAAGTATGTGTTTTTGAGTGCAATGTTTTATGTGTTGTATATTATTTGATACCTTTAAATGAAAAATTCACCACAATATATCAAAGAAAAATTGAGAATTTTTATTTTCTATATTTGCAGAAATATATTGTTATATTTTATGTGTGTTTTATGTACTTTAAATAATAAACATTATTTGTTATATATCAATTTAATACAAATTTAAAATATTTCTGTATTTTAATCATTTATTTTTTAAAAATTCTTGCAATATCCTGTTATTTGAGTGCTTATGATTAAAGTGTTAACTCTTTTATTTTGCTATTATTTAGAATGATACAAAGATTACCTTCATTTATATCTGACTTACCATATTATTTTTTTATTTTTTTAATGCTATTCCTTTTTTGTTTGTTTGGTTGGTTGGTTAGTTGGCTTTTCGAGACAAGGTTTCTCTGTAGCTTTGGTGCCTATCCAGGAACTAGCTCTTGTAGACCAGGCTGACCTTGAACTCACAGAGATCCACCTGCCTCTGCCTCGGGAGTGCTGGGATTAAAGGCCTGCACCACCACTGCCCAACTGACTTGCCTTATTATTCTATATAAAATTTCAATATGATAGTATTTGATATTATGTGTATACAGGGACCAACATAGTGCTCATGATTTGAAATTATACATGTAAAATTTTTTAATCATATAACTTCAGATTTTACTCTTGAGCATGGTGTGTGATAGCGGTAAAAATCATGTCATTGCACTTACATGTCCCAAGTGACGCTGCTGTCCTGTATTGCCCCAGTGCAGTTAGCATTCTTCTCATAGCAAGTGGTTCATTTCCAACTATTCACAACCCTCTAACCTCTGCCAGCTCCCCACTGACCTTCACGTTGGTGTCTCAGTAGCCTTATACTTAGAGTTGGACTTTCCTTGGGCCATCAATTCCCAAATAATGACACAGAGACCTCTTATTAAGTATGAAAGCTCGGCCTTAGCTTAGGCTTGTTCCTAACTAGTTCTTAAAACTTAAATGATCCTGTCTCTATTAATCTACATTCCGCTATGTGGCTTGTTACCTCTCCTCAGTACCTTGCATCCAGCTTCCTCCGTGTCTGGATGGCGAATCTCTTGTGCATCAGATTCCTCCCAGAGTTCCCCTCTTACCCTGGATGTCCTGCCTGTCTCTCCTGCCTAGATATTGGCTGTCAGCTCTTTAATAAACCAATAAGAAGGTACTTTAGCAGAGAAAAATATTCACAGTGCACAAAAAGATTATCTCACAACATAGTTTTTATTGTCATTTTATTGATTAATGGAGAGATTTAGTCTAGAAAGAAAAGGTGGGTAGGCATCAGACAGTTAGGAATAAATAAGTAAATAAAGGGAAGAATGCAGTATGTCTTAATTCAAAAGTTCATTTCTGCCATAGACAATACCACTTTTTAAAAACCTCTTCTGAATTATCTTCTGTGTGGTGTATTATAACATACAGGAAATGAATCAAACATGGATAAGGCAAGAAAATCAATGACGAATAGTGACATTGTTTCTATTTCAAAAAAAATCACTGTGTTGGAGATGAAGGAATTAAATGAAAGGCAGAGAGCTGAACACTGTCAGAAAATGTATGAACACCTGAGGACCTCAGTAAAGCACATGGAAGAACGGAATTTTGAATTGGAAACCAAATTCACTGAGGTTTGTACAACTTTTATCGTATGGAGACTGGAATTCTGAGAACTTTGTACTCTAAGACTGCAATGTGTGCAGCATTTGCATTTCATGTAAAGGATGTACAGACAATTATTTTAAAATCTGAATTGCTTTAGATTAAACCACTTATTTCTATACCCAGATTCTTTCTTGCCAATGTCATGGTATTGGTTTTAATGAACAGAAGGGTGTTGTTTCTTTAAAAAGCAAATTGTCTTCCAAACCCATCTCTTTGTTTAAAATTTACTCATTGTCTTTTATATTCCAGAACGAGTTTGGAATCAAGACTATAGTAAGAGGAAAAATAGTTTAAAAAAAATTCTTCAAAAATTTTAATACGAGGTTGTTGAAGATTTTTAATTGGTCTAAATGCAGTCTGCAAATATTCAACAACTTATGATTAAACAGCACCTTACAGATGTTCTCTTAGGTTGATATACTTTCCAAAACATAAGTATTATTTTTATTTTAAGCCATAAATATCATTACAAATTAATATAATTATTTTTAAAATTTATAAAATTTTAACCCTTTGTAAGTATTTTGTTTATAGTTTAAAGATTTTTAGTGATTGCCTAAAATAAGTAATTTTTGATGGATTTGGACTATTACTACATCTTTTTTATAATGTGTTCTTGATTCTTTCTTTAGTCTGTTCTTACCCCTTTGTACCTGTTTTTGACCTAAGGGAAAGTAAAGAAACTACAGTACTCAGAAGTCTAGATGTTGTGTGTCTAGGCTGGGGCTGTGTTCATTGGCATGCTTAGTTCACACGGGCTCTGGGTTCCAGTTCCAGTGCAAGGTAAAGCAGAATTCATAAGATAAAAGAGTCCTGAGGATATTTTATTGTCACTTCTCCACAGCTTACCAAAATCAACCTGGATGCCCAGAAGGTGGAGCAGATGCTGAGAGACGAACTAGCTGATAGTGTGAGCAAGGCCGTGAGCGATGCTGATAGACAGCGCATTCTCGAGTTAGAGAAGAAGGAGGTGGAGCTCAAAGTTGAAGTGTCTAAGTAAGTGCACACACAGTTCAATCATTTCATGTGTCTAGTGATCTGCCTTTAGGAAGATCAATGATAGACAGATGGGACAATATCCATACTCACTTTGTTTTTAAGAAGATTAAGATCCTGTGACATAGCACTGAAGAGGAAATGACCTCTCAAAGTTTTCCCCACCACCACCTGAAATGTAGGGATGCAGCTGTAGAAGGCACCAAAGCAGAACAGAAACCATGTATGGTCCACTTCTTACTCATGTCTCCTGTTTTTCAGGAGAAGTAGTGAAGAGCCGGGGTCACTTAGTATTTATTTTACTAACTTTAAAAAGAAAGGAATTTTACCTTTTTATAAGGTTGATGTAAACATACTGTAGTGATATTTCATTTGTATTTTAATAGATAAAGCTTGCCTGAAGTTCAGAATGTAAAACAGCCCCACTGGTCAGCCTTACAGACCAGGCAGTGGTGGCACACACCTTTAATTTCAATAACCACACTAGTTTGCCATAGAAACTGGGTGGTAGTGGTGCACACCTTTAATCCCAGCCCTAGAGAGGAATATAAGACAGGAGGAGACAGCTCTCACACACAGTCTCATTCTGAGATCCCTGGAGGCAGGATTTCTGACTGAGGTTGCGTTAAGAGCCAGTGACTGGCTGTTTTGCTTTTCTGACCTTAATCATGCTACAACATATAATTAATTTGTATTTTGATTTAATTAACATTTCTTAGAAACTAGCTGTGTGGTAGGCATTGTGCAAGACGTTAGACATCAATTCATGGACTCTTGCCTACTAACACTTAGGTGAAAGTTTTTCTCATTGGCAGTACTTAGAGTACTGAATATATGTTATGCACTCTCTAATCAGGGGCTCCTTCCATGGGTAGTAAACATGGGGAGCACTGAGTTTATGTGTCAAACACAAAGAACTTTTAGAATTGTGTGTGTGTGTGTGATTTGCTTACAAAATCATAGCCATTCCTTCAGAACATTGAGAGTCCTTTTGGGAAAATCGGTCATTTTTAATTCTTCCTATTATGATTGACTTTGTCTCTTCTCATAAACCTTACCTTGTAAGATGCATTCATTTCATTATATTTTATTAGCCACCAGTTATAGAGACCTTCTAATCAGTATGATGAAACCCAATGTATATATCCGTCTCACTTAGCTCAAATTAATCAACCTCAAAAAAAGACATTTTCATTTGGTTTTGGTACAGAAATTATAAGGCAAATATGTGTAAATGTATAATTTGTTTCTTTTTTTCAGCTAATTGATAAATCAAACTAGTCATACTTTCCATATAACATAACTGTCAAATATAAAATTCTGTGTATGAAGCATATAACATGTAAAAGTTAAAATGAATTTTACATTGATTCTTAACTGTGCTTTTGCAACAGGTTAGCCTGTTTGGGTTGACCTACCATTTCCTAAATATAATAAAAAGTATCTTAGGAAAAATGTGTAGGGGCAGTGGGGGCAAGTGTTTTCTGACCACCTGCATTTGGAAAGTGACATAAGTCATTGTCTCAGTTTCACTTAACAGATGGCGTTATCTTTCAAAATGTGTGTATTGTTCTGTACCACAGGTGTTGGACTTCCCAGAGTAGGGGATGCTTTCATAGACACTTTTTGGTCTGTTATGGAATTAGGTTTCACGAAATAGTTCAAGAGACCCTTGATCTCTTTGGACTTGGTGCAAAGAAGAAATGGCATAGACTAATTGCATTTCTAGAACGATGTCTCAAAATTAGGACTTTTGGTGTTTGCTGAACTGTACCTTAAATATGTTGTCACTTTCTAGACTGAGAGAGATTTCTGATATTGCCAAAAGACAAGTTGAGTTTTTGAATACGCAGCAACAGTCCAGGGAAAAGGAAGTGGAATCCCTCAGAATGCAGCTTCTGGACTACCAGGTGCATATTGTACTGCCTCCCCTGTTTAGTCTGCCTGCTAATTCACCTCAGACTCTGATGGAGCGTGGAGTGCTCAGCAGAACTAGTTGCAGAAATAGAAACCTGTTCCTGTTAGTTAGGACTTTAGAAACCTTTCTTTCTTCCTTTCTTCCTTTCTCTCTCTCTCTCTCTCTCTCTCTCTCTCTCTCTCTCTCTCTTTCTCTTTCTCTCTCTCATATATATATGGATATATATATATCCATATATATATGCACCACCATTAGAAAACTAGAAAATGTATTTTATTTCAAATACCTATAGATTTATTTGACAGGTGCCAGTCACAGTTAACATACTAAGGAGAAATAATTAAGAGCCTTTACTGACTGTATTTTCTCTTGTACGTATCAGCTTTTTATATAATCCCATGTTCTATAGTTTTTAGAGGAGTAAAATATGTGTATATATATATATATATATAGCCGGATGGTGGTGGCCCACACCTTTATTCCCAGCACTGGGGAGACAGAGGCAGGCGGATCTCTGTGAGTTCAAGGTCAGCCTGGTCTACAAGAGCTAGTTCCAGGACAGGCTCCAAAGCTACAGAGAAACCCTGTCTCAAAAAAAAAAAACCCCAATACACCCCCTCATATGTGTGTGTGTGTGTGTCTGTCTGTGTGTCTGTCTGTGTGTCTACATATATCTATCAGAGTTGTGCTGTTGTCTGTGAACTAAAAGGAAAACAGTACTACAAACAACTATCATTCAATTAGAATTTTAAGTATGTTTCATTCTGAATATATATAGTTTTTAACTATTGTGTTAAAGTAAAATTGTTAAAAAAAAACTCACGTGCAATAGTTTTAAATTTTTATTAGTAAACCGTTACTGAACCCATGGTTTATTTATTGACAAAACCCCTGACATTTACTATAAATATGTATTTTTTGTTAGGCACAATCTGATGAAAAGGCGCTAATTGCCAAACTGCACCAACATGTTGTCGCTCTTCAGATTAGTGAGGCCACTGCCCTTGGTAAGTTGGAGTCGGTTACATCTAAACTCCAGAAGATGGAGGCCTACAATTTGCGCCTAGAGCAGAAACTGGATGAGAAAGAGCAGACCCTCTACTACGCTCGCCTGGAAGGCAGAAACAGAGCAAAACACCTGCGCCAAACTATTCAGTCTCTGCGAAGACAGTTCAGTGGTGCCTTACCCCTGGCCCAGCAGGAAAAGTTCTCCAAAACGATGATTCAGCTGCAAAATGACAAACTGAAGATAATGCAAGAAATGAAAAGTTCTCAACAAGAACACAGAAATATGGAAAACAAAACACTGGAGATGGAATTAAAATTAAAAGGCTTGGAAGAATTGATAAGCACTTTAAAGGATGCCAGGGGAGCCCAAAAGGTAAAACTTGAACTGAAATTCAGTATTCCAATGTTATGTAGTAACATTGCTTGTAATCTGTATCTGTGTGAGAAATGTCCAATGTGCATTTAAAATACGAGTTGTAATTAGTTAGATTTTATAAATTTAGAATTTGAACTTTCCTAAGCAAGGATCTTTAGCAAGAATACTTTAAATATTCTAAAAAAGCTCTAAGAAATTTTAAGTGTAATAATTTAAATGATTTAATAGTTATCAGTTGATTTCTACTGTGCACAAATATTTCCTATTTGAATTATTTGTTTTCTGTGTTTTTACTTGTAGATATTCCTTGTGAATACTTGCAGTTTTTATAGTTTCACATTTATTTTATTTTTTTAATTTATCTACTTATTATGTATAGTGTTCTGCCTGTTTGTATACCTGGAGGTCAGAAGGCACCAGATCTCAGTATAGATGGTTGTAAGCCACCCTGTGGTTGCTGGGAATTGATCTCAGTATCCAGTGCTCTTAATCCCTGTGCCATGTCTCCAGGCCTCCACATTTATTTCTTAAAGGTTAATTTTTATCATCATTTGGGAAGAATTAAATGATAAATAATTATCTTGTGGTTAAATCCTGTTCCCTGTGCTAGAAATACTTAGAATTTTTTAAATTTTCATTTATTGGACAGATTTCTCAAAATTTGTTCTTTGATAATTTTATATGTTTATATAATAGATTCTGGTCACACCTATCTGTCTATTGTATCCTCCTCTTCCATCATTCTCCCGGCCCCGACCTTCTTCCCATCAAATCCTTGTCCTATCTTTATGTTTTTGTTTTCACTTTGTTACCGACTGAGCTTGCCCAGCAGCGCTCCTGTGAGCACGGGTGTGAAGCTGTCACAGGAGCAGGAGGCACCAGCGGCTGTCGCTGTAGGCAGGGGTAGGCTCTCTAATCTGAACAGTGCTTCCAGTGAGTCAGTACTGACTACAGTGCCGTGAATGAAACTGAACGCAAATGTTGCAATTTCTATTTATTCATTTGAAAATAACTTGAAGAATATTTTATTTTAATGTTGTACTTACTTTAGAATAATCTTTGGAAATTCTCACTAACTTTGCCATATGCCTTGCCTATGGACTAACTTCCTTCATCTTGGTACAGCTTGTTATTAATTTCAAGTAATATCATGACCAGTTACTTAGCATTTATATTCATATATAATTTAGGTAATCAGTTGGCATGTCAAGATAGAAGAGCTTCGCCTTCAAGAACTTAAACTAAACAGAGAACTAGTCAAGGGCAAAGAAGAAATCAAATACTTGAATAATATCATCTCTGAATATGAGCAGACCATCAGCAGTCTCGAGGAAGACATTGTTCAGCAGAGCAAGGTTTTGTTCTCTATTTCTGTTCTTTTTAAGGCTTTAGACGTCAGATCATTACATTTTAACTGTATTGTTGTGATAAAATATGGTTCCCCTTATATTGAGTAACAAAATAACCTACTTCTTGCTTCTTAAACTCCAAACATAAGAATTGATTTAGTTGTAACAGAAGTCTTAAGCTTAAAGACAGTATGTCAGCAAACTTAGTTGGTCAGTTCATGTTTCTTTTGATGTTCATTATTTGACTCCTTCAGTCAGGTTTCTGCACGTTGTCATTGTTGATTTAGAACCCAGCCTGGGGTAGAAAAAGTAGATGCTGAAGAGCTAGACTTCACTTATAAAACACCCCCTCGCCACAGGCATTGTGTTCCTTGTGCTTAGGTCTTTCTTCTCTGTGTCCTAGCTACTTGTGTTCATACTTTCACTGTCCTAAGACTGTCCCTCACTGCAAAGGCTCCTTGGTGTGACTAGGAAATTGGCCATATGGCAGGGCTTGCTTTCATTCTCTAAACAGTGTTTGCCATCCTCTCGTGTCTTACGTGTTTGCTTGTTATTATTTGTTCCTTACTTCCTGGGATGTAAGTTCCTTGGTGACAGGGACTAAGTTGTGTTTATTGCTATGCTTGCAATAGTACTTTGAAAATATGTGTCATTAGACGTAATTGTGATGGATGGATGGATGGATGGATGGACGGACGGACGGACGGACGGACGGACGGACGGACGGACTCATGACTAGATTGAAATTCTGACTTTACACCTGCCTGCCCCTGTGATCTTAGGAAGTTGCTTGACCTCCTAAGTTTGTGTCTTTTCCCATATTACAAGAGCACAAGTAGTGACGGCAAAGCTGAGGTTAAGTAAGGAGATGCACATGTGCTTGTTAATGCTCAGTGTCACTGTGTATGCGCCTAACACAAATAAATGTCTCTTTCAGTTTCACGAAGAAAGACAAATGGCTTGGGATCAAAGAGAAGTTGAGCTGGAACGCCAGCTAGACATTTTTGACCGTCAGCAAAATGAAATACTCAGTGCAGCACAAAAGGTATCAAAAATGACTGTGTTTGGTGCTTCTCTGATTTAGATAGACTTTTAACGGTAGGGTGTATGCCTTATGGTAATTGTCCTGAGTTTCTTTGTTTAAAGACAAGTTAAATTTAGTTCATGACTTTTTCATACATTATAAGATATAATATTGTTTCCTTAGTACTATACTGCTGTTTTTAAAACATATTATTTCTCAATAGTTTGAAGAGGCTACAGGATCAATGCCAGACCCCAGCTTGCCCCTTCCAAACCAACTTGAAATAGCTCTAAGAAAAATTAAGGAGAATATTCGAACAATTTTTAAAACACAAGCAACTTGCAAGTCACTAGAAGAGGTAATTTGAAGAATTTGTATTTTGATTGGTATATTATTGGGTATGTTTATGGAATTTTGTAAATATTATTTACTAATGTTAAGTATAAAATGGTAGATTTCTTGCTAATTCCACTTTTTCTATTCTTATTTACTATTTCTAATAGCTTTTGATAACAAATAGTCCAGGTGTTTAATATGAATTTACTACTCATTTGTTTACTGCTTTCTACTTTTGGAAACACTGAATGTTAAAGTGAGCATCAAGGGTAATAAAAGGCATTTAATTGTAGCTTTCTGAACAATATATTACCTTCCCTTACTGCTTATTTCATTGTTATTTATTTTATCATTCATTTTGTAGTATATGTTGTAGATCCTTTGTGAGTATGTAAAGTTGAAGCAAAAGAAGTTCTTTAATCTAGGTACAGAATTTGATTAATAGATGGTTAAATCAGCTCTTTAAATTATTTATAAAATAACACAAGCTGACTATTTAAATATTAGTTTACATCTAAACATATTAATAATGCATTTAATAAGAATTTCTTGTGTAAAATTCTGCCTATTTAATCAATTCAGGAAAGTTTAAAATTTTTGGGTTATATGAAATGCTATTAAATTACTAGTTTTAAAGTATTTGTGGTAATATTACTGAATATTAAAACTTCTTTTCTATTTTGGTGAGGTAAACTTCCCAGTGCAAAGTTGTGATTCGTTTACCTGTTCTTTGAAATCCCAGTCTTACCCTCGAGTAACTGCTCTGCATTAGCTTTCTAATACTCTGTTAGTCCCTGGTGTCAAGGAGAGGTTTGATTGGATTTTCTTCCTAGTTCTAGCAGCACCCATTTCTAGGTCTAAACTGCAAGGTATAAATAAAGTCAATTAATTACATGTTATATTCACTCTAAGCAAGTTTTTAACAAGTGAGGATCTTAAGTAAATTAAATAAATATGTAAATAAATGAACTGTTGCAAAGAAATGTACTAAATAGAATTGTATTGTCAAACGACTGTTACCCGTACGTGAAACATGAAGCAAGACTACTTGCTCGCCTGTATGTGGCTAAAATTCATTTGAAGCATTTCAAAGGGCAAGCTAAATGTAATAATTTATTGTGACTTTACTATAGAAGCTGCAAGAAAAAGAATCTGCTTTACGGTTGGCAGAGCAAAATATTCTGTCAAGAGACAAAGTAATCAATGAACTGAGGCTCCGATTGCCTGCCACAGCTGATCGAGAGAAACTTATAGCTCAGCTTGACAGAAAAGAGCTGGAACCAAAGTCTCAGCACACAATGAAAATCGCCCAACAAACCATTGCTAACATGCAGGCAAGGTTGAATCAGAAGGAAGAAGTCCTGAAGAAATACCAGCATCTTCTGGAAAAAGCCAGAGAGGTATTTGTTATGCTGCTGTTTTTCTGATCGTGTATTTCAATCAAACACCACAAATTATTTCTCTTAATGTGGTAGTTCATTTTTGCTTTCAGATGATTCTATTTAGGACTTTTTGCTTTCACATGATTGGATTACAGATCTGTCAGTAAAACTGGCAGTTTGTGTACGTGTCTCTTCTTCCTCTTGTGGACTGAGGTAAACGAGAGTATCTGCTATGGAGACATGGGTGGTTTAGAAAATGTCAGGTGGATTTATGAGTGAAAACTGAAACAGTAAGGTTAACAATACTCCACAGGGGTGGTCTGTGGAGATCTAATTCTCTGGAACAGTAGGAGAGATCTAGTAATTTAAAATGTTCCGAGAAACAAATTAAGGGTGACGGATGCATATTATTTTTAACGTTAAAAATAAATTGTAAGACTTGGGTGGTCAGCATGAACGCATCCTAACAGATGTATAATGGCCTAATGTACATATGCATGAATATACATATGCATATCTTTTCTGTTCTGAGGGTTTGGAAGATTAAAAATTAACTGAGAACATGAATGTATTTCAGTCATAATTTACAGTACAGCTTAACTTCCTGTGAAACAGGAGCAAAGAGAAATTGTTAAGAAGCACGAGGAAGACCTTCATGTCCTTCATCATAAATTAGAACTACAGGCTGAGAATTCACTCAATAAATTCAAGCAGACAGCCCAGGTAAGGTTCTGAGAACTTTGTTCTATTCTTTATTGAGATGTGAGATCACGTAATTTAAAATTTACCTCTTCATATCTCACAGGAGAATACACCTACCATTGTGTTGACAAAATAATATTATGAAAAGCATCTCTGAGCATGAAAACATGATCAGTTTTTTAACCCAAATCCAACCCTCAGCAATTTTCAGTGCTTATAAAATCATATTTCTGTCCCTTGCCATGGACTGAAAGTCTATGTTATGAGTCTACTCTTTTTTTCCAAATTCCATCCATAAATTAATTTGTATTTATTTTCCAACTTTTGAATTAACCTCCTACTTGACCCCATCAATCAATCTGTTCTTTGTGCGGACAGTGGCCCCGATTCTCTTACCCCACAGCTTCAAGCTCCTCAAGCCTCACCTCATTAACTCATCGTCATAGCCCTCCCCTGCACCTACGTGCTGGCTAAAACGCAGGGCACACAAAGAGTACAGACTATATCCTGTCTTCCCTGATCCTTCTTTTCCTCTCAGATAGTAGACTGCATTCTTCATAAAGAAATGTATGGATAAATCGTCCATAGTCTCAGATCACACTTACTCATTACTAATCCTTTCATATCTCATAGGATTTACTAAACCAGTCTCCTGGTTCAGTACCTACCAACAAGCATTTCATCCGTCTGGCCGAGATGGAGCAGACAGTAGCAGAACAAGATGACTCTCTGGCCTCACTTCTTACCAAACTAAAGAAAGTATCAAAAGATTTGGAAAGACAGAAAGAAATTACTGAGTTAAAAGTCAGAGAATTTGAAAACATCAAATTACGGTAAATCTTAGAAATCTTTTAAAAATGAGCAAGTAATGAGCAAATGGCATTAAGACTGTGTTGAAGCCTGTGTGGGCATTGTCGTGAGACCCTGGTATGTGTCCTTTTGTCCACAGGACTCTGCAGCTCATTGCTTTACAGGAATGAGGCTAGGAAGGCTCGGTAATGCGATGAGTGGACATGAGACAATCCCAGGTTGTAGTCAGTCTTACTCAGAAGCCAATTTATTTTCTTCTCTAGAGTCTTATTTTTAACATTTCCACTGCCCGCTTCATCCTGTGTAAATGAAAATGTTTCCTTGGGCTCCTTCAGAGTGCTGAGATGAATGAAGTCCCTATGGTACTATCTACAAGCGTGGCTTGACAATTAGAAGCTCACATATAAATTGCTTTTGTTTAAACACCCAGCAGTATGTGATAAAACAGAGGCTCAATAAGTGTTCGTTAAATAGAGATATCAAAAGCTATAGTGTCAGAATGTTCACAGCATCCTACATATTAAATATTGTAATTTAATTGGGCTGTAGTGGTGCACATCTTTAATCCCAGCACTCTGGAGACATAAGCAAGCAGACCTCTGTGACTTCAAGGCCAGCCTGGTCTACAGAGTTAGCTCCAGGATAATTAGCCAGGGATACACAGAGAAACCTGTCTCGAAAAACCAAAAAATTAAAAAGTTTAAAAACAGATTGTAATCATTAGCCAGCCATTTTTTTAAAAAAATAGACCTTTAAACATAAAATTGGTATAAGGTTGTTCAGTTCCTGATCATAGACCATCTCTCTGGGCCTGAACTCATCTCTGATGAAAGTGAGAATGTTGAGCCACTTAGGATTCTGTTTCCTTTCTGATGGCCTGTTAGAACTTAGGCTGTTTACTCTTGGACCCAAGACACAGTGATGCCCGTGTCACGGGAACCCCACAGAGCTGGTATCCAATGCAAACACACTGGGGTTTATTGATTACAAGTTAGCTAACTTGGACCATAATCCAACACACCGCCATAGGGGGTGGGGGAAAATGACCCCAAACTCTTAGGGTAAGGGGTTTTTAAAGGGAAAAACTGCAAGCAGGGTGGCCCAAGCCTTGGTGTTTTGGGATTGGGTAAAAAGTATCCAACTTTTGAATCCATTGTTTGGGGTATAGGGGAATTTCAACACAGTCAAAACTAGTTAATCAGGTACCTACAAAGATGTTCGAACCAAACAGATGTTTGGACACCCTGGTGGGTCACTTTGACCACGGCAGGCACAGTTTCTTGGGAATGATTATCACCTTGCTGGGCTGCACTCACCCCCATAGTTAGGTCCTATCTAAAATGGAGTTCTTTCTCAAATGGAGTTTGTTTTGCCCTTTCAATACCTCCCAAAGTTACCACGTTTGTGAATAAGTAAGTAGTTGCCACTTGAGATTTTTTTATTATTTTCTTAAAAATAGTATATTATATTGCTTTTGTCCTAGGTTTTCTCATTCTATTGTATATATAGGAGAATTTATGGTTTTGTATTTAATCTAAGCCATGTACTAGGTTATAAAATTACATTTTTTATAATCCTGTTTCATTTCTTTGTTGAGACGTCTCACTAGCGCAGAGAGGCCTAGAAATGTGAGCTGTCCTCAGCTCCACTGTGATTGTCTTGCATCTGCCTCAGTGCCGAGATCATAGACATAACCACCGTGCTGAAAAGTACTGAAGCCTTTACATCTCATTCCTAAATGCCAAAAAATGATACACTTTCTGAAATAACTTGCATGTGTCGTCTTTTACCATATAAACTACTAGTAGTCATGGCTTTATACCTTTGTAAAGTTGTTTTGTTTTTTTTTCAATTAAAATATCACTTGCAATACCCAGTCTGGTAAACACACAGGCTTGTTTCTCTCAGGCTCCAGGAGAACCATGCAGGGGAGGTGAAGAAGGCGCAGGCAGAAGCGGAGGACTTAAGGCGTGCTCTTGTCCAGGCACAGAAGGAGGCTCACAGTTTGAAGTCTGAACTCCAGGCTCAGAAAGAAGCAAACTCAAGAGCTCCCACAACCACAATGAGGAATCTAGTGGACAGGCTAAAGAGCCAACTGGCCTTGAAGGAGAAGCAACAAAAGGTAAGTGGCAGATGTCCTCTCAGGAGAAAGGCCTAGAGGAGACCTGAGCTAGTAAAGGAAGCTAACATAGCTGTTACAGCGACCGGGTGAGCTTTGTCTCATGCCTTCAAAGACGGTTCTTTCGCATAGCCCTGCACTGGTAGTGCTATGTTAAAATGCAGATAAAGTCCAATGTATCTTTTTATGCTTGGTGATTTGCTGAATTACTTTCTCATTTCCCATTGGGTTTTCATGTTGCTGGAACAATTTTGAACAATTTAGAGGGTTGGGGTGGTATGAAGGAAGAAGAATTTAAGAAGTTGGCCACAGTGACTTTGTGGGAAGAGTTGCTCAGTAGATTTAATATGGAGTAGTAGTTTGGCTGTTTTGTTTTGTTTTTATTTATCTCATACTTGATAAGTGGGTTAGAAGATACTACATTTTCCCCACCTTAGTTCATAAATTTTATGGGCAAATATTTTAAACAATGTCTTATAACATCACTCAGCTGCCTAAATTCAGTAATTTCACATGAATGGATGCATAATGTGATTTTTTTCTAAGTGAAGAATTTATTGCTAATATATAAACTTGGAAATTTTCAAACAAAATATTTTTTCTTTTATAATATGAATTGCTTGGCATAATGCTTGCTTCTGAAAATAATTGTCAGTGTTTTGAACTATTTCTGAAGAACTGAAAAAAATTACAAAGGAAATTCAGTTGAAAAAGTTCCGGAGTTTGTGAGTTATATTTAATCAAATTTATTTTGTTACTCTTTCATTTGTTTGTTGAGACAGGTCTCTGTCTGTAACCAGGCTGGCCTAGAACTCCCTAGGTGTACGCTGTTCTCAGGCCCACTGTACTCTCTGCCTCAGCCACTGTGGTGCTGATGAGATCATAGGTGCATTTAATAGAAAAGTAGTAGAAAGTAATACTGCCTATTTTGCATTTTATTTTGCTCATGTACATTGTTAATCTTCCAGTAAAAATGTTTGTATATTGTAATTTTTAGGCACTTAGTCGAGCCCTGTTGGAACTCCGGGCCGAAATGACAGCTGCAGCTGAAGAACGTGTTATTGCTGTAACTTCTCAGAAAGAGGCAAATCTCAATGTTCAGCAGGTTGTTGATCGACACACTAGAGAGCTAAAGGTGAGTACCAGCGCACGGATTAGTATGGCCGGATATGTGCTCAGTTCCGAGGATGTTTTTTGAACTGTTAGATAATTAGACACATACACACACAGTTTTAAGCATTATGTCCTTGTGTTATTCAGGTATTGACTATCATCTGGAGGATTTTGAAAAAGATGGACACTATGAGTTATGCTTACTAATAGAAGAAACAGAACTCATTTAAGAGACATTTTATTTAGAAAATTTTACATCTCAACTATTACTGGGATTAAGGTCCAGTATGAACAAACACTCCACCACTGACCTAACTTCCAGCCCTCAGAATTCTTTTAAGGCTGTTTTGTTGGGATAATTTTAGGATCACAACAAAATTGAGAAGACCAAGAGATCGACAGATACACCAAACATACCTAGCTTCTTTCATAACTGCCGTTCCTCCACAAATATGGCATCATTTTAGCTATAGAGCTGTTGGCTTTGAAGTCTTTTCTTCAAGTAAATTAATTTTTCTTTCTTTGAGAGAGGGTTTTCCTGTAGCTTAAGAGCCTGTCCTGGAACTAGCTCTAATAGACCAGGCTCACAGAGATCTGCCTGCCTCTGCCTCTGCCTCTCAAGTTTTGGGATTAAAGGCATGTGCCGCCACCACCCAGCTAGTAAATTAATTTTAAACAACTTACTTTATTATTTTCTTATCTGGCCAGTAAGCTTAGTGATTTAAACTTTTTTTCCTAATTACTCTTATATTCATAATAACTGTCAATTTGCCTTTTCCTCAAAAAGATTCTTTACAGAAAATTTCATATATATTGAGATAAAATTAAAAATCTAATTGCTTTCATTTTTTTAGTTTTATTTACTTCTGATTTTTCATATATCACTTTTATTTTCATTAAACACTTTGGAAAGTAGATTTTCATTAATTTTTAAAAATAGCCTATTGTACTTTTCAAAAGAGTGATCATAAAAAAATCTGCTAACTAAATAAATGTATAAAAAGGAAGTTATAGTTACTTCCTTTACTGATATAGTTTTAGTATTCATATGAAAGACTGCTCCTGAGTTTTTCATCTTTTTTCATATCCATTTTTCAAAACTTTTTCCAAGATATAATTTTCTTTTAAATTCATTATAATAACATTAATTAATATTGCTAATAATACTATTTGACCTTAATCATTTATCCAATAAAACACATACTGGTTGGTGGTGGCCCACATAGGCAGGTGGATCTCTGTCAGTTCAAGGTCAACCACGTGTACAGAGAAAGTTCTGGACAGCCAGGGCTACACAGAGAAACTTTGTCTCAAAAAAACAAAAACCAAGAAAAAGCAACCTGCTTATACACTTAGTTGAATAAGCCATTCCAGAACAAATAATAACATGTTTCGGCCACTGTCTTCTTTCCGAACAGCTCAGAACTCCTGTGTTCACAGTCATAGCTGCAGTCTCAGGCCGACTCCCGTGTCTTGTCCTTACAGAGTAGTTCACAAAGTGTTGAAGTCAGAGATTTAGGTTATACAAATTGTATGGTTTAGAATCTGTAAAGCATTGTTGCGTATGTTGGAAAGTACTGTTTTTTTTATTGTTTTACCTATAATGAAATATTTTTCAATAAAGTTTTGCTTTAACTGTTGGTTGAAAATTATTTGTTTTGAATTGTTTCCTTTTGTTCTCTTAGTGAACTTGTTCCATTTGGCACAGATGAGGGAAACATCTGCAGTTTCTAGTTTTCCTTTGTGTGCTGTGTTTAAAAAAATCTATAGTGGAATTGTTCTTCTAGTGCATATAGTAGTATAACCATGTTTTTATTGCTTTATCTTTAATACTTGAGGAAGATTTGTGAATAATGATTTTATCTCTTATTAGTCACAAATTGAAGATTTAAATGAAAATCTTGTAAAATTAAAAGAAGCTCTTAAAACAAGTAAAAACAAAGAAAATTCTCTAGCTGACGACTTAAATGATTTAAATAATGAACTGCAAAAGAAGCAAAAAGCTTATAATAAAATCCTTAGAGAGAAAGATGGAATTGATCAAGAAAATGACGAATTGAGAAGACAGATTAAAAGACTGTCCAGTGGGCTACAGGTAATACTGTATTTAATTCAGGTGATGTATAAGGCATGATTCTTACTCATTTTAAAAACTTTTGTTGTGGTGGTTTTGTTTTTGTTTTTGTTTTTGAGATAGGGTTTCTCTGTGTAGCCCTGACTGTCCTGGAACTCACTCTGTAGACAAGGCCGGCTTCAAACTTGGAGATCCACTGGCCTCTGCTTCCCAAGTTCTGGGTTTAAAGGTGTGTGCTATTACCACCCAGCTCTTTGATTAGTTCTTTGAGTGACCTCTTGTATTCTTTGTCTGTGGTGGGCCATGCACAGTGGTAGCTTTCATGTTAGAGAACATGATTAATATTAGCCTCACAAAATTTCTATAATTAGAATGTTTAATGTGTCCTTTGATATTTGTCGTGTAAAGTTATATCTTAATGTTTTCAGAGCAAACCTCTGCTAGATAATAAGCAAAGTTTAATTGATGAACTTCAAAAAAAAGTTAAAAAACTTGAAAGCCAACTGGAGAGAAAGATGGATGACGTCGACATAAAACCAGTGAAGGAAAAGGTATGCGGAATGCACTCATTAATAGTTATAACCTAAATGAAGCATTTACTGATAAACAGAATTTACTCTAATAGTTTGAGACACACTGTTTATGGTACTGAATAAAGCTGAGATGTCTAAGACAGCTTTCTGACCTTTAGAAGAGTTGCACTGCCCTTGAGGACACACCTGCAGTGCACCTCCATGTCGTTTCCTGATGTTGGAACACTGTCTGTGTCTCTTCACATCCTGTATCTTAGGAGTTTACCATTCTCCCCATCTGCTCATCTCATTGCTCAGTCCTAGTGAAGGGTTCCCTTACATGCTGCAGAATTCATTCTCCCAGAGATTATTTATATTTCTGGAAGTCAGATTACTCTCTGAATACATTAAAAAATAAATATCAGTAAATCTTTTGGAATTTCAAAAGGATACTTACAAGCTGTCTTGAATAAATAAGGTTAGAAACTAATTTGGAGAAAGCATATTGAAGGGTATTAGGAGGCTGAAAGACCAGCTCTCAAGGCTACTCCCAGGATTTGTAGAAAACCCCACAGCATAGTGAAACTGAACTTAAGGTTCCTCTATCTGAGGGGTATGGGAGAAATTCATACATGTGCTATTCTGGTCATGCGCTTTATTATTCTACTTTTTGTTTTCTAATTTTCTTCTAAGTTCTAATTCTTTCTAGTTCTCCTTTGTTTCAATTTTCTGTTCCAAGTTTTAGTTTCAGTTCTTTCTTGCTTTTTTGTTCACGTCGCTTAAATATATTTTTTAGACATGACATCCCATTTAGAATAAACATTATATTTTATAATATTTCCCATATTAGTCTAAATGAAATTTAAAGTCAATATAAGCTCTATAATTTCAATAATGTTATAAATGTACTAAATGAAATTGGTAAAAGTGTAAAAAATAATTTATAAAAATAGAGTGAGCATGATAATACATTATTCGTATATCAACATGTATATTAGAGAAATAAGGTAGCCGTGTATTTGTACCTTATGTAGCATTATTGTGAGTTCAGAGCTCTGATAGACTCTGATGTATATTTTGTAAAAATGTGTTCCAATTACAATTTAAATGATCTAAATTGTATTGCTGCTCATAATTTGATTTCCAGTATGGTAAGCAATTATTGGTAGTATTTTTAGCAAAATAATGACTAAGCTTTATTTTGAAAGGCAATTATATTCTTACTAAATTCAAAGTATAAGGAAAACATTATAAAAAGTTTTGGTGGCTCAGTCCAGTGCTCCAATGTGGGTCTCTGTCTCAATCTCCATTCATCATCAGGTGAAGGTTCCCTCTGCTCCTGCCTTCCTTGCTCACGTTCTCCCTCCTTCTCCTTCTCATTTGGACCTAGGGAGTTAAGTCCAGTGTTCCAGTGTGTGTCTCTGTCTCTATCTCCATCCATCACCAGATGAAGGTTCTATGGTGATATGCAAGATATTCATCAGTATGGTTATGGGCCAAGGCCAGTTCAGGCACCCTCTCCTCTGCTGTCCAGGGAACAATCTGGGGATCTCTCCTTGGACCTGGGAACCCTTCTAGAATCAAGTCTCTTGTAAACCCTAAAATGGCTCCCTTCAGTTTGGATGCTCACCTTCCTAGACCTGGAGGGAGGGGGGAGGAACTTGAACTTCCCACAGGGCAGGAAACACTGACTGCTCTTAGGGCTGGGGAGATAGAGGAGGAGAGGAAGTGGGGGGAATGGGAGGGTATGGGGAGGAGGGGTGGAAGTGGAAACTTTTATAAATTAATAAAAAAAAAAGTTTTGGTGTTCATATGGTAAAGTGGAATTAAATTCTTGGTCTATACAATTGTGAGAACTGTTCTAACTATGTAGGCTCCTGGGAGGACTTGTTCAGAACATGGGACTGTTGTGTTTCACATAGCTTTCTTGTGTACTTTTTATTTTAGTACTAGCAACCTTACCAGTACCATCCCTGTTACCAGAGAGCTTACTCCTAGAAGACCCTACAGCCTGCCTTTTTCTATTTTTTAATAGCAGTTATCACCACTTAACTTACTCAGTATATTTATAACTTTTATTGTGTATATTGCCACCACTCAAGTTTGTTCAACAAATAAGAACTGTAAGATTTGCAAACCTTGGCCTTTATATCTGGTTTATACATCTTTTGCTCCTCACATCTAGAATACAGCAGGCACGTGGGCAGCACTAAGTAAATACATGTTGGATGATAAGTAATGTACATTAGACCAGAGTGAGCTACAGTATTAGGAAATTACGGTGCTATTACAAGATTGAAGTGGTCATTCACATAGAATTATTTGTTAGAAGCTTCCTTAAGTAAACCATATATGTGAATTTTCATTTAACTTCTTAAGGTTATGGGAATTAGTTCAGATCTTCCCTGAGACTTACCTGTCAAGTAATGCACAAAGCCTACTTAAATTGAAGGCCTTTTTTTTCCTAATAGTTTGCCATACCTAATGGTTCTAGAATTTATAAAACAGAATGAACTATTTATATATTAACTTGAAAGCATAGTTAAAATGTGGATTAGTATTTAAAATGAGACTAAAAGTAATACCAACAGTTTTATAACCCATTCGTTACTATTTCCAGAGTGCTAGAGAAGAATTAATTAGGTGGGAAGAAGGTAAAAAATGGCAAACCAAAGTAGAGGGGATGCGCAGCAAATTAAAAGAGAAAGAAGGGGAAGTCCACAGTCTAACGAAGCAGCTGACTACTTTGAAGGAGCTTTTTGCCAAGTGAGTTTAAATTTTATTATAAAGTTAATACTGCATAAATTTTTATCCTGAAATCATGTAGTTTATTTTATTTGATAAATGGCAAGTTTGCTAGTTTAGGTTATTTATGATTCACATTTTATTATCTTTAAAAAATGTGGTATGATGTATTTTAACTATGAATGAATTATCTATGATTGTTATATAAGTTCATACCAAGTACAGAATGGTACCCTTAGTGCATATGAAATCGATGATGACTGAACTGCGATTTAATAAACCAAATAGAAATTGTAAAAGATCCATTTTTATTGTTCCTTACTCAACTCTACAGAGCTGATAAAGAGAAACTTACATTGCAGAAGAAACTGAAAACAACAGGCATGACTGTTGATCAGGTTTTAGGAGTGCGAGCCTTGGAGTCGGAGAAAGAGCTGGAAGAGTTAAAAAAGAGAAATGTGGACTTAGAGAATGACCTGCTACACATGAGGTAATCCATTGCGTGGAGTTAGGGAGCCTGTGCTGTCGCGGAGTTGCTGGCTCGTACACGTGGAAATAGAAATATATTGCTTCCAGTACACATAGGCAGCTTTTTACCATTCCCCTCTGGAGCTTCCCATGCTATTTTTGTGATACTTCCGGTGTCTCTCAACATTGTTATTTGTATAGAACTAGACTTTAGTTAAATCCTTATATTCTATTCTTTGGCTGCTAAACACATGTACCTAAGCAGGCACGAGGCAGGCAGAAAAGAGAAGCAAGGGAATTTTGTGTCCAAATTTAAGAAGTTTGAACATCTGAGTTTTATTTATTAAATCCATATATTAAAGAGAGGAAGGATATGGCCTAGACAAAATCTTAGTAAAAATATAGAGACAAGAGTGAAATTTATTGTCTTCACATTAAGTTTGCATTTATTTGTTAAGTGGGGAAAACATCCTGGACAACAAGGTTTCATAGATTTGTTTGTGCCAGAGTAAAGTGGGTCTTGTAGCCAACCAGTTAAGTTTGGACTTGATAGGACAACATATACTGAAACTTTGGAACTTTGTTCGGTCTTGAGCTTTTTGAGAACAAAATACATGGTATGCAATTATTATGTAATCTTTTTAAGATCATGGGTCATGGGTATTTTGGCTACTCTGCATAATTCCATGTAAACAAATGCACTTTCAAATGTTCATGTATTTCTGTCGGGCTATACTTTAGCTGATGGATAAAGAAGTCTCTGTTGAGTTATTTTTTTATTGATATTTATTGAGCTCTATATTTTTCTGCTCACCTCCCTGCCTCTCCCCTTCCCCTCCCCCAAGGTCCCCATGCTCCCAATTTACTCAGGAGATCTTGTCTTTTTCTACTTTCTACTTCCCATGTAGATTAGATCTATGTAAGTCTCTCAGTGTCCGCATTGTTACCTAAGTTCTCTGGGGTTGTGGTTTGTAAACTGGCTTTCTTTGCTTTATGTTTAAAAACCACCAATGAGTGAGTACATGTGATACTTGTCTTTCTGTGTCTGGGTTACCTCACTCAATATAATGTTTTCTAGCTTCATCGATTTTCCTGCAAAATTCAAGCTGTCGTTATTTTTTTCTGCTGTGTAGTACTCCATTTGTAAACATACCACATTTTCCTTATCCATTCTTTGGTCGAAGGGCATTTAAGTTGTTTCCAGGTTCTGGCTATGACAAACAATGCTGCTTTGAACATAGTTGAGCACATGTCTTTGTGGTACAATTGAGCATCCTTTGAATATATACCCAAAAGTGGTATTACTGGGTCTTGAGGAAGGTTGTTTCCCTATTTTCTGAGAAATCGCCACACTGACATCCAAAGGTGTTGTACCAGCTTGCATTCCCACCAGCAATGCAGGAGTGTTCCCTTTTCCCCACAACCTCTCCAGCATAAGTTGTCATCAGTGTTTTTGATCTTGACCATTCTTACAGGTGTAAGATGAAATCTCAGAGTTGTTTTGATTTGCATTTCTATGATGACTAAGGGTGTTGAACATTTCCTTAAGTGTCTTTCAGCCATTTTAGATTGTTGGATTATTTTTTAATATAAATTATGATCCTAATTTATTTCTTGTGAGCTTTGGAAATTTGAAAATTTTAAGTTATAGTATTTATACACACATATATATATTTCTTTTCTGTATCTTAATATAATAAATTTGAGAAAAAGTGAGTTTCCATAATCGTTTGATTGTTGTTCACAGGACCCACCAAGCTCTTCCACGAGATTCTGTTGTGGAAGACTTACATTTACAAAATAAATACCTTCAAGAAAAACTTCGTACTTTAGAAAAACAGCTTTCCAAGGATGCATACCCTCAGTCTTTGGTGAGTATACACCTTCCCTCCCCGCCCCCTCCACTTTCCCAGTGTTAAATAAGGCGTAAAAGGGCAATTACATTCATCATCTGAATAAAAACATTAGATCCTCCTCATTAATGCAGACACAACACATTCACTTCTACTAACTAATGCCGAATCATTGCTTTAGCCCTAACTGATGGAGCAGTGGTTAATCTTAAATGCTTGTGCTTTGTCCAAGCCTTCAGCTCTCGCTAGAGACGCTGATGCGCGCCATGTTTGGTTAGTGATGGTTAGCAAGTGTGCTGCATGCCCGTTCCCTCTCCAGTGTGATCCGTCTGGTTCCCACCATTAGTATTAGTGTTCACAGATACAAAAAAATACAAGCAAAGCTAAGATAAGAACAGACAAAATGCCGTATAACCATACTCAGAACCAAAACTGAGAAGAAATAAATGTCACTGATGAGTTACCTCATTGGCTATCTACAAATATTTTGTGGTATTTCATAAATGTTGTTGATCCCATTGAATTAAGTATGGAAACAATACCAAATAGTAAATCAAGCAAAATTAGGTCAGCTTCACAGATTTTTTTTAACTTGAATTATGAAAATATATCAGTTCCTAAAGGTAAGAAAATTAATAATTTTGTGGAAATGAAAATCCAAAACATCAAACTGAGAACATGAATAGGGCTGGTAAGGATAAGAAAATGAAGGGACATATAGTCAAAAATGTCAGTCACATAACGGTGGTCCAGGTGGACCTGCTGAGGAGGACCATGATGCTGCCACCATGTGGATGCAGGGCACTAGTGTGCTGAGGATGCTTTATAGGCCAGATAGGAAACCAATGTGTCAGTCCTGAGAAATGCCCTGCTCTGAGCACACTGTAGTCCTTCACTTCTTTCTTAGCTGAGCTTCCTCAGTAAAAGCCATATACAGAGTGACAATTTAACAAAGAATGAAGGATTTTATAAAAGGAAAAACACCTATCAATAAACAATTTTCCAGAAATTTGGACAATTTACATAATTGTTTTTAACTCTATTTTCAGAAAATAAGAGGAAAAGTTTCAAATGTATTATATAGTAATTACATTCATGGGCTGATAAGAAATATATTAATATATCTTCGTGTAAAATCGACTGATATACTCTTTTCTAGAAGTCATAAATTAAATTCATTAATACATTAGTAAGTTGTTATAAAGCAGTCGTTGGTACTGTTATCACTAATCAGACCAGCTATCTTCCAGAGGTAGACAAACTTCAGGAAAAGAAAATAGCTTAGAAATAGAGAATTAAAGATTTCCATGTTTAATGGAGACCTTAAAACCATCCAAGATGCCAAAGTTGTCAGCTTTGTAAAGGACAGGATTTGTTTTGTAGTAGACTAATAGTAGAGGAGCTTCCATACACACTTGGGCCATGTGATAGGTGGGATCTGTTACTTAGTATGGCTTATACCCATCATAATAGATAGATTGGATCTTCTTGCCATTGCTTTATGTATATACATCCTGTAACAAAAAAAATTAACCAATACTACCTTCCTGCCAATGTTCTGTTACATGTCTTATCAGAATTACAGATTAATAGTAATGGGTTAAATTAAGATGTAAGTTTTAGCCAATAAGAAATTAGAGCTAATGGGCAAGCAGTGTTTTAATTAATACAGTTTCTGGGCAGCCGGGACAAACAAGTGTCCCCCCTGCGAATACCTCTTAACTTGGTTATTTCTGTAAGGCAAACAAGATCACATGCTGAGATGAGGAGGAACAGTTTCATCCCTCACAATTGGATAACCTTTATTTTGAACTAACAAAACCAATATAGGATAGTTTAAACATTATGAGAAAATCTGTGAAATCACTGTATTTATAGATTTTTTTAAGCCATATCTGACTTTGCTTTTTCTTTTAATTTTTAAAAATTACCTTCTTTGGAGGCTTTTAATCTATCTTTCTTGGTTTTGGTTTTATGTGATGTTTTCCATTTTCCTCCCATATTCCTTTTTAAAAATTCACCTTTGACAATGTTACAGAGTATGTCTTTGCAACTTTTCTTAAATGTTGAACATATTCTAAATTTCATTTTCCAGACTTCAGAAGTAGAGTCAGATGACCGTTCTCAGAAAGAACAAGAGCTGCTGAAAGAAAACTTGAAGTTGTCATCTGAAAATATTGAGCTGAAATTTCAACTTGAACAAGCAAATAAAGATTTGCCAAGACTAAAGGTAAATTTAATTTTATAAAAATACCTAACTTCAGCACACACTGAAATTTACGTACACTACTTTCTGAAATGCATACTCATAAGGTTTCTTCATCTTTGTTATGTTATATTACATACATTTCCTCATTTAAGAAGCATTGAGTCCCCACTTTATATTTTTAGGGGCTAGATATTAAAAATGTAAATTCAAGTGTTAATAAAACATCTTCTAATGAGGAAGATGCCAGTTAACAAGCAAGCAGAGTAGTGTGTCATCCCAGCTGATGGGAAGTGCTGGGGGAAAACAGGGAGCGTGATAGTAGAAAGCGACTAGGGTAATGAGAGCTGGCGTAGAAGGCTGGTGAGTGAGGGGTCATGCTGACGCTAAGAACTCCACACAAAGAGGGTTGTACTGATAATAATTCCAGACAGTAGAGAGAAGTGTCAAGTTCATGTGTTCCAAGGTAAGAAGATATTTTTTATGTTTCATTAGTAATTGCAATACTTGAAATGTAATTGTTTCTTTAGAAGTATTACTTCTAAAATTCTTATCTTTGACTTTCTGTATCTTACCTATAGCTTTTTTCTTGGCTAAGTGTTTCAGTCTTATTTTCTAATCATGAACATTATCATTCTGTCATTTCCACTGGTGGTGATGCAATTAAGCTTCATGCTTCTCATTCTGATTTCTACTCTGAAACATCAGTGCAATTACCTCAGTTCTTTTTCTGTGTAATTGTCTGTGCATGTGCATTGTGGGACGGCAACTCAGAGTTGGCCAATGGCCGCATGCTTAGTAGTCTTTAATTTATTTAATGTGTTGTCTTAGTTGGGGTTTCTATTGCTGTTGTAAACTTCCTCAAAGCAACTGGGGAAGAAAGGGTTTATTTCATTTTAGTCCATCAGGGAAAACCAGGGCAGGAACCTGAAGGCAGGAGCTGAGTCCAAGGAGGAAAGCTGCTTACCTGTTTCCTCCTCAGGGCTTTCTCGGCCTGCTTTCTTGTAAAACTCAGGACCAGCTGCCATGGTTGACACCACCCATAGTGAGCTGGGTCTTCCACATCAGTCTTTAATTAAGAAAACACCGCAGACCTAGAGCCTGTATGGAGGCCTTTTCTCAACTGAGCTTCCGTCCTCTCAGGTTATTCTAGCTTGTGTCAAGCCAACAAAAACAAGCCAGCACATGTCTGATCAAAATTTCTTTTGAGACACAGCTGTTGAGTTTGGTTCTATAGTTGAGACTTGTAACTCAGATTATGCTTTCTTCCTCTGTTTCAAGACTGTTGTATCATCATGACAGATTTCTGTACTGTCTCTTATTTTTAGAATCAAGTAAGAGATTTGAAGGAAATGTGTGAATTTCTTAAGAAAGGAAAAATGGAAGTGGAGCGGAAACTTGGTCAGGTCAGAGGGGTGAGTTTGTGTTCTTAAGAAGCTGGTGCCAAAGCTTTCAGCTCCTTTTGATTTTGGGTGGTAGAGTGGTATAAACTGAAGCTCTCATGAAACAAAAGTTTACTCAGGTAGTTAGTACTATGACATACATGATGCATTCTGTGAAAATACTAAGTATTAATAGAAAGTACTCAGAACAAATATTGACAGTAAACATTTGTTTCAAAGTGAAAATATGTAATCATTTATGCACAATAAATATGCATATAATTTTATCTCTTAAGGAGTATAAGAATAAAAGAATATTTCACATATCTAAGTGTATATTAAAGTTTTATATAAATATTTGTCTTAGGATTTTTTCATTGTATATTATGAATGCTAACTAAAATTTTAGTAGTTTTTTATTAATTCTCTGAAAATTTGGTACCATTTATTTTGATCATACCCACTTCCAACTCCTCCCCTATACTTTTTCCACAGTCCACCCCTTTCCTAACGCTAACCCTCCAACCTTACTTTTTTTCTAAGTTATTAATGCATAGACTCCAGTTTATGCTATTCACATACTTCTGGGTGTATGGTCATCCAGTAAAGCATGGTCAACCGGCCCTGAGCCAGCCCTGTAATGAGAAACTGACTCTCCTTTCCCGGAGCTCATCATGTTTACGACTCCTAGGGTTAGGACCCTCTTCCCACAGCTGTTGTGAGTTCCGTCATTGCAGCAGCCCTGCCCTGCCCTGCCCTGCCCGGAGTTAAGCACCTTCATTTACTCGGCTGTTGAAAATTAACTAAATAACTAGTGAATTATCTTTGTTGATATCCTCACTATTAACAGAAACCAAATTTCTAAGCCACAGCTATTAGAGAAAATTGCCTTCATAGTGCTACTCCTGAGCTGTTTAGACACATTGTTTCTCTTTTGTCATTTTACTCTGTGCAAAGAAGCGTCCTATGGGCTAGAGCAGTGGTCCTCAGCCTTCCTAACGCCGCGACCCTTTCACACAGGTCCTCGTGTCGTGGGGACCCCCAACCAGAAAATTACTTTCGTTGCCACTTCATAACTGTAATTTTGCAACTGTTCTGAATCGTAACGTGAATATCTGTGTTTGCTGATGATCATAGGTGACCCTGGTGAAAGTTCAACCTCCAAAAGGTCATGAACCGTAGGTTGAGAACCACTGTACAGATAACGACAGTTATTAATGATAAGTACAGTAATGTTTTTGGTTATTTTTTTCTCTTTGCTCCTTTGAGGTCTGCCACCCAGCTCTCAAACAAACACACAGAGTCTTATTATTACTTATAAATGCCCGGAATTACTTGGCTTGTTCCTAGCAGCTTTTCTTAACTTAAATTATCCTGTCTGCTTTTTGTCTCTGAGCTTTTACATTCTTCTGTTTCTGTCTTTTCTTTCCTTCTTACTGTGTGGCAGGCTGTGTTGCTGGGTGGCTGACCCCTTTAATTCTCCGCTCCTCCTTTTCTCGATCCTCTTCTCATTCTTCTCTTATTTTCTCTGACTACCAGCCCCACCTATTCTCTCTCCTTCCTTGCTAGTAGCCATTCAGCTTTTTATTAGACTAATCAGGTGTTTTAGATAGGCAAAGTACCATAACTTCATAGAGTTAAACAAATGCAACCTAAAAGAATACAGCACACCTTTGCATTGCTAAACAAATATTCTACAGTATAAAAGAATGCAGCACATCTTTAACTAATATTCCACAACACAGTAATAGACCTCTTTTGGCATTAGTACATCATAGTCTCTAAGATATGAAATTTTAAAAGTGTGTTTATTCCCTTGTAGTCTGGAAGAAGTGGAAAGACAATTCCAGAGCTAGAAAAAACTATTGGGTTAATGAAGAAAGTAGTTGAAAAAGTCCAAAGAGAAAACGAACAATTGAAAAAAGCATCAGGAATAATGACTAGTGAAAAAATGACTAATCTTGAAGAAGAAAATGAAAAATTAAAGGTAATTTTTATTTGATTATGTGAATGTTTTACTATTTTTATTTACATTTTTTAGAGAAAATATTGAATATGCTCACTGCACCAAATGTCCCTAGTGGATGTGGTTGCATTTGACAGTCAGAAATCTAAAGGTAGCTGCAGCGTGGCCCTGTTTCTTTGTCGTTACTGTTTCTGAACCAGTCGTTCTTTCTGGTGATAAATTATGTGTGTCTAATTTAAGTTTGATTTGTAAAGGAGGGATTCTGTGGAGTCTCTTGTATTTCCTGGAAATCTTAACATAATTTTAATGTACAGCCAAGGTTAGATAGGAACTTTGGCTATAGATAAGTCATTTGGGGAAAGTCTTCAACTGTAGTCATAACTAGTAAGGTATCTAAAACTACCTGCCATGAATTAAGTTTTATGAGTTAAATAATAATCTTTACTTTTTATATTTAAGCGAATTAAAATATAATTGCTTCATTTGCCCCTTTTCCTCACCTCCCCCATCACCTCCCTTTCTGCCCTACCTTACTTCCTCCCAAATTCTCTCTTATTTGTTACATATAATGTGAATAAATCCATAAATAAGCTTGCAAAGCCCATTTAATGTTGTATGATTCCAACATGTGTGAATAATCTTTTTTTTGATTTTTCTATACGTTGCTTTATTAATTACCAGACTGAGTTAGAAAAGCTTAAAGCTCACTTTGGACACCAGTTGAGTTTACAATATGAATCCAAGAACAAAGGCACCGAGAAAATTGTTGCCGAAAATGAACGGCTTCGGAAAGAACTTAAGAAAGTAAGACGTTTATGACAGGTTACCTTTATTTTCATTAAGTGACATACCTTGGCAAAATTAAAATGGATAGATTCCTTGATGCCAGTGTCTGTTTACAGTGGATCTTAAGAGTTACATGTTCAGCAGTGGGTACATTTATGTGCAAATTTAGAACTAAGGTGGCATCATGAAGGAGCTGCTCACTCTGGTTCTGTTTCTACTTAGTGGGCATCGTTCCAGGATGGATAATGTCTGTCTGTTCCTCCGGTTCCTCGTATATGAAACTGGGAGTAGTAAATATACCTATGTCTTAGCTAAGCATGGAGTTGAAAGCCTGCCATCCCAGTATCCAGGCAGTGTAAGAAAGAGACCAGCCTGGGCTACATAGGGAACCCAACTTAAAAAAGAAACATACATACACACACTACTGATGTCACAGGGCTGTTGAACAGTTTCAATGAGTTAATATTTATGCATATGACTTAGAGCAATGAACAACTTATAGAGCAAAGAACAAAACCATTTCGTTATTAAGATTCCTTTCTATTTAAATGGTAAAATGTCCCTTACTCCTGACAAATACGTATCATTTTTAACTTACATTAACTAGTGAATGAATTGGGATCATAAATTTAAAGACTTTTAAAGCAGTAACTGTACTGTGAAGCCAGAGCTGTGCTATATTGAATCTTAATCTTTACTACTGGATATAATCTGCCACTTATATACTACGTGTGTTAATGGCCAGGACTCCTGACAGAGTCAAAATAAGCATCCTTTAATGTAGTAGCATTTCATTTGTTATTTTAATAAATAAAGCTTGCATGAAGATCAGAGAGTAAAACGGCCCCACTGGTCAGCCTTACAGACCAAGCATTGGTAACATGCACCATTAATCTCAGTAGCCACACTAGTTGCCATAGAAACCAGGCAGTGCATGCCTTTAATCCCAGTGGTGCACGCCTTTATTCCCAGCCCTAGAGAGGATTATAAAACACGAGGAGACAGCTCTCAGGTTCAGTCTCATTCTGAGGTTCCTGGAAGCAGGATCTCCATTTCGAACTGAGGTAGAGGTAAGAACCAGTGGCTGGGTGCTTTGCTTTTTGGACCTTCAGGTGGAACCCCAATTTCTTTCTCTGAGCTTTTAAGAATCATGCTTCATTTTAAGGTATAACAAGGTTAACTATCTCATTATTCTGAACATTTCTCTGAGAAACAAATGAAGAATTTAAAGTTTCCACTAGATACCTAAGATAATAAATACTTGTAAATATGTTTCTCTGCCTTCATTTATTTTATCTTTTGTACTAATTATTATGAATAGATTGCTATTGTAGAGGAAAACATTTTTGCAGTTTTAAAACAATATAGCTCCAGCTTGTTTTATATTTTCTAGCATATAGTGATAATTTTCTATGCCTGGTGTCTGTGTGAACAGCATTATGTTTTCCCATGATATACCAACAAGCCTTTACTGATAGGAAATGGAAGCTTCCGAGAAACTGCGGATAGCTAAGCACAGCCTAGAGCTGGTCAATGACAAGATGGCAGTTCAGCTCGAAGAGACGGCCAAGAGATTACAGTTTGCAGAAAAGAGAGGGCCGCAGCTGGAAGGCGCCGACAGCAAGAGCTGGAAATCCATTGTGGTTACGAGGTGGGATCAGAGCTTCACACTTGTTCCAAGTTTAAAGAGTTAATAACTCTAGCGTCATTGACTTGAAAGATGACCCAATTATTTCCTGATGAACAGTTTGGTGTTTATCAGTGTCCTTTCTTTCTGACTTAAAATGACCCAAACTCTGTTTCTTCCTTAGCTGGTTTTATTGGCAGGCTGCAGAGGTAAGCAGAGCTGAAGCTGAGCTAACTTTCTGGAGCTCGGTGTGCATCATGAGGCTGGTGTCAGTCACGGGCTAGGCTGATGCTGCCCAGCTTCTGCTGGGTGATGGGCTCCTGCAGCGTCAGCCTCTAGTTTTGTTCATATATTTCTACCGCAGATATGTCCTAAACAGTTGCGTGTTCTGGATCTGGGATGAGCTGCATTGCCTTTAGTTGTATACTGGTCAACTGTCTCTACAGAGAGTCCAATAGATGAATATAGCAGCATGTTAGTATCTTATTGGCCTTCACTTTCTCCTTTCCTGTGAACACTTTCTATAAAGATATTGGGTTTATGCTTAGAGCTTAACTATTGTGGCTGTGAAAGCCAACTTGTCAGATACGTTCTCTAAATCAATACCACCCTTTGTTAATTTATCTAGAAGACATGTTTCTTTCCTCTGGAAAGGTTTGAATACAGTAAGCATCATCTTCCTGTAAGTCTATGCCTGTTAAACTATTTGGATCAACAAAATTTTGAAGATATCTTTTGAGCCTGGATTTTTTTAGTCCATTTGCCATTTTCTTATTGTTATAAATCTGCATTGCCTCATTCCAGAGCACGCAGTGTTTCTCTCACCCCTGCCTCTGAACAGCTTGTTCCTTCTGTGGAGCCCCATGGGCTCTTTCTACCTGAACAGGGGGAGGGGAAGGTACTGGAAGTGGGGGAACATTTTGCAGTCTGATGAATTAGATGTTTTCTTATGCCTGAAATAGGATGTCAACCTAAAAGTTTCACAGTTGCCAAAGTCAATCTCCACTTCAGATCTTAGGCTCTTTGAGATCACATTAATTTTCTATTTTAATTAGCATGTATATTAATTAGGGTGCTTATTCATTAACATCACCTTTTGCTCCTAAATATGTAGCCAAAGGTTTGACTAGAAGAAATAGTATTATGTAGTCTTGCATATTTTACCATGATTTAAGTTGACTTTTAAATTAGTGAGAGAAATTACATATTAATGCCCATAATAATTTTTCTTTATATTTTTAGAATGTATGAGACCAAGATGAAAGAGTTCGAAAGTGATATTGCCAAAAAGAATCAAAGTATAATTGACCTTAAACAGCTTGTACGAGAAGCAACAGAGAGAGAACAGAAAGCTAAGAAATACACGGAAGATCTTGAACAACAGGCATGTAATCACCTCTCAATGATAAAACAATGTAATATATGGCAAGACAATCCCTGAACTGCCTGAAGGTGAAAACAAAGAGCTCCTGAATAATGTTTGCCCTAGGAGGCTCCTCCAGTGGGCGGTCCTTAACCCATCCACTTATGCAAGCTCAGACGAGATCATCACTGCCTTCATTCTCTTACTCGCCACTTCTTCATGATTAATAATGCAGGGGTAATTTTCATAAATGCACCCCAGATCTGGCTAGTGCTCTGCATGGAAGCCATTATCTTAGGCCTGACTGAGCAGTTTCCGGACTGGGCTTCTACTTGCATCCTCTCCCCTTTCCTGTACTACTGGTCTGTTCTCCACATGGTTGTCAAATAGTCCTGTAGGGCATGGAGCAAACTGTAGGAGTTTTATCCCCTTCACCATGAATGAAACTTTGTAGCAGTTCTTTTCAGCCTGTGTACGGATAGAGATACATGTATGTGGATGGCCTGACACTGCATCTTCTACAACCCGGTTCCCAGCATTAACCCTTTCGAACCTTTGAGTAACTGAAGCTCATTTCTGCTTCAGCTCTTTATACCTGCCTGCTGTCTAGAACACTCATCACTGTTCCCTGTATTCTTAGAACTGGCTCCTGAGCTTCTGTCTGTGTTAAATGGAGGCCCTTCAGGGACTAGACCAGCACAGTCTGTCACCCTGTCTTCCCTAGATTCTTCTCCTGGAGAGCGCTTTCTCCCCATGCTGCCGTGCCCCATCCCATCTCATCTCATGACAGCATCACTCCTTTCCCTTCCCCAGGAAAGTCAAACACCTCTGTATGAGATCCCAGCTATTCTAGTGCTGTCCTCGCTGCCTGGGCCTCAGTAGTACGCTGCTCAAGTCTTGATGACTTGGATGCATAGACTAGAACACAGCACTGGGAATTCATGCTTCCAAAGACCCAAAATCTTATACTTAATTAAAAGTTGTTTTTTTTTAAAAAAAAAATCTTATTTCCATGCTAAACTTTTATCTTCTAACTTTTCATTTTGCTCAAAGATTGAGATGCTCAAAAATGTTCCCGAAGGTGTGGAGACAGATGAAGGGCTTATGCAGGAACTCCAGCGCCTTAGGTACATACATATTATGTTTATTTGAGTACTTAAATATTAAATATTTTTAATATCTTTTTTCTCTCTGCGTGTGCATGTGTACACATGTACATTCTGGGTGGGGGTGCGGTACGTGCATGCCACCTGTGAAAGGGCAGCTTCTAAGAGTTGCTTCTTCCAAGAACTGAAATCAGGCTATCAGCTTCAAATCCTATCCACCTGTTTATTTTTAGAAAAATTATTTTACACAGCCAGATTTGCTATACCTAAAGATTATGGTTTTTCAAAGTTGATTATTATTTCATTCTTCTAATATATTCACTATTCAATACTCATATTTCCAGATTGTAACAAATTTTTCTAGCAGCATAGAATTAAACTTCAGCATTGCAGAACCACATCCCAATGAAAGAGAAACAAGGAATTCTATGCTTCTAGGACTTTCTGCAGCTGCTTCTCATTGTAAGAAAAGAACTCTTGAAAATAACATCAGGACTAAGGCTAGGAAAAACTTAGATTTTGTGTTGTTTGGGAATGAAGCAATGAAGCCTGGAGAGGAAAATTTTCCTTGGTGGCCCTGCTGCCATCTCTTATTGGCATCCTCCCAGCATGCACCACCAGAATCAGCTGGGATCTTGATGAAATGCTATTTGAGTACCGTATACCACTGTGTAGGAAATGCCTATGTAGTTTACAGAATGACACCCGTTGTTTGTTTTTCTAACATGCTATCATTGTACTCTAGATTAACCAGTAGTCAGCTGGAAAAAGAAAAGGCAGAATTAATCAATCAGATAGAAGCTAACAAGGACCGAACTGGAGCTGGAAGCAGCACACCTGGTAATGTATTTCATAAAACTTGTTGGCTATCTCAAGGTTTTGATTCAGGGCTTGCCTTTTGTGTGTTTCTATAGCATCAAATCCCTGATGAGAGTATGTAGAGCTGTTCTCTCTCAGGCTGTGACACTTCAAATTTTATACTAAGTGGGCTAAATCTTTCTTCTTGTGATCCATCTATGGGTTACAAGCTTAATCATAGTATATTATCAAGCAATTAATGCTGTCCTTTGCTTCCACCTTCCTTTAAAAAAAATTATTATGTATACAGTGTTCTGCCTGCATCTGTTATTTCTGCAGACCAGAAGAGGGCACCAGATCTCATTAGATGGTTGTGAGCCACTATGTAGTTGCTGGGAAATGAACTCATGACCTCTGAAAGAGCAGCCAGAGCTCCTAACCTCTAAGCCTTCTCTCCAGTCTGTGTTTCCACTTTCGAATCATAGATTCTTGAATTCCTATGGACTTTTTCTTCTGAATGTTACTAATTATCTTAATTTTAAAACTACAGCACTATTTTTTTCTATTGCAAATAGAAATGTTCCTTTTATTCCTTTCAGTCCTTATCCTAGAATTAGCATTCATTCCCGTATATTACAGTTACACACAAAACAAACATGTATGTGTGTGTACACATACATAATACAGTTGACCCATTACTTGCTGATCTGTATTTGCAAATGTAACTGTTTATCACAATATGTTTATAATTCCCCAAATCAGCTCACAATGCTTTTGCAAACAGGCACAGTGACAAACATAATAGCCCCCATATTCCCATTCAGGATCAACAAGGTAGTGCCTGGCATTATTTCAGTTTTCCCACAGAGGTTATCTAGGATAAAGCACTCAGTACCACTATAGCCTGATGGGAGTTTGGATCTTCACTCTGACATTTTCAGTGGGACAACCTCAGAAATGTGACTTGAAACTTCTAAACATTTTCTTTTGAAACTAAAGAAAATGTTATCCATCAGGATGAGTTCTTTGCAGCATCTAAGGTGACAGTTTGAGGTGTTTCCATGCACTTGCATTCTGCGATCTGAGATTTGCTAATTGTACCAAGTTCACAGGATAAAGCTTAACATAGAGTATAGACCTTGTATGTCTATTGAGTTTTTACCTTAACAGTTAGAGTATAGACATTATATGTCTATTGAGGTTTTTTTCTGGATTCATGCTATATGTCTAGCTTCTCTTACTGCTTTTATCTTACTACAGAGATCTTTTAAGATCTGTACATCATTCATAGTTTTACTAATTCTGTGGTATGTTGTTGAATGGATAGTGATCAGTTTACCCCAGGATGGATTCTGGTATAGTTCCAAAGCTTCTGGTATAACTAAACTGCATCTCCTAACATAATCATGCCACTATCAGATAGTTTGATGGAAGTGTCATGTTCTGCCCTACATGATATATCTGAATAATTTTAAACTATTTCACAGAGATACTAATGAGTCCTAATGCTACTTTGCATTAATGTGCAGTGTGATTTGTGGGACGCACTGTGCTAAGGACTTTACAAAATTTTTACTTTATTCTTATGATGCCATAGGATCAATACTGTTGTCTTCATTTTACATTTGATAATGATGTATAATCTATCCTCAAGACCACAACAATTAGGAAGTGGCATGGGAAGGTTAAACATTAATTCTATGAAAGTGTAGAATTCCTTGCCATGCCAGGGTCTTTACCACTGGGCTACTGTGCTTCGCTAACTAAAAACACCATTCATCCATCTGGAGCAGATGTGTGACTGCTAGGGGACAGCTTCGTGTGCTCGCAACACACACAGGACAAAGACCTGTCAATTCTGTTGGCATTAGGCAAGCTCTCTACTTTGTCTAAGCCCAAGCCCTTACATTGCTTATGTTGTAAGAGAAGGGAGGAAAGGTACCGGTCACATTTCAGAGAGTACCTGCTTCAAAATGAACCTGTTTGGATTTTCCTGAATCAGCATTTAAAGATGAAGACATTTACAAAACCTCTGGAAGATGTTCTATATATTTTCTTGCTTCACTGTTCGACCACCAGTCTGTACATAATATATAGGAGCTGACTGTGGATGAACTATAACAGACATGTGCATATCCATGTTTACTGGGGCACTCCACGTGGGAGCTAGTTAGAGGATCAGCCCATGTGTCCATCAACAGATACACTGATAAAATGTGGTGCATATATATGGGAGTTTTATTAATCCGTAAAAACATTTTTAAGAAAATGGTACTACAGATTACCTTGTTCAGTAAAATAGGCCACCAGTCTCAGAAGACAAATATTACATCTTTTCTTTATATGTAGGATCCATGTGACATGAAAATTGAAAGGGGAATTTGACTTACAAGAGAAAATTTTTTTTAATGATTTGAAACTTTGTTTGCCCTTTGTCTCTGAGCTATAGGAACCACGTCAAGCACTGCAAAACACTTTGTCTTTGTCATGAAAACTTGTTTTCATTATTTCCTCAAACTTTACAACAAAACCCTTCACCTTCCGTGATTGTATAGAGCCACATGACACTGTGTGTCTTAACCTTTGTGCTGTGTGTCAACAGCTGATCTCTTACCGAGCCATCAGAACTGTGCTCCTTCTTCTGGGCCACACACATTGTCTTGGACGTTTTGCACATAGTGTAAAACCGACATGGAAAGAGCCAAAGCTACTTGGGGTAGAGGGAGAACACAAATGGCTGGCTTACCGTTTTAGTCCTTTGCCTGTATATTTTATACCTAGCAAATTTTACTGGTTGTAGGATTTTTCTCTCAAAAATAGGAATTTCTCTTTTAAAAAAATAGAAATGTCTCTCATATAGAGGAATAACCCACTTTTCCAATACCTAGCAGCCACCCCTCTGTTTGCTTGCTGTGCATGACCTTACCTACTAGTGATAACATAGACGTATACCTGAGAAGGGCTCCTGCCATATAGGACCAGATGATCCCAGACTGTAGGCTTCATAAACTTCCTGCTTATTCTGAAACAAATCCTCTATCTTTAACTCATTCACAGTAAACAAAAATGTGGGTCTAATTTTCCTGTTTTGGCAGATTCTGATCAACTAAAGGAAAAGATAAGCGACCTGGAGACACAGCTCGGAAAGTCAGACCTAGACAAGCAACATCTGATGGTAATTCTTATGTATATCTAACTTCAGTATGGCCAGGGTTCTGTGAAAACAGCTTTGGGAAACAATTTTTATGATCACCGTCTTGAAGTCTGTACCTAAAAATTCATGATTGATTTCACACTTACCTTAGTAGTACTAAGGATATAATTTACTCGTGACAACTTTGTGTTAAACAACAGCTAGCAGCAACAAAAGATCAGACAAATAGAAAGAAATAGAGAATAAATTTATTTTGAAACCATAACAAATTACCTCTTAACAGATTTTTAGAATTTTTTCTTAATTTGTGGGTCATGTTGAGAACAGTATTTCTGAGTACCTTTTGAAATTATGCTCAGAGATCTTTTCCTTACAACCTTTTTGTGCTCTGCCTTAAGACCCAGAAGCCTGGGAGCCTGGAAGTGAGCCCTGGCTCATCCCTGGGCAGTGTAAACAGCGGTTGGTGCGCATGGGCCCTTCACATTCATTGCTTAACTTTTACAAATCAGCAGTGCCATGATCATATAAAAGTTAAAGAACCAGAAAGTTAAAGAAAATACTGAACTGAAAACTCTTAAGACATTAACTTCCATGTAATGAAGAGCAGAGTCCCTTTGCTTGCCTGGGAATATCTGATGCAGTTCAAAGAAAGACTCCATGTCGCTGCAGACTTTTGTTAGCAAGGGTCCATTGCACCATATTTTTCTTTATATTTTACTGTTTATATTATTTGTGTTTTTATGTTTGTAATCAAATCTTATAAATTTCAAATGAAAAACATATTGCTCTATGTGACTTATAGGAGGAAATTATAAAGCTGAAAAAAGAACTGGAAAATTTTGATCCTTCGTTCTTTGAAGAAATTGAAGACCTGAAGTACAACTATAAGGAAGAAGTGAAGAAGAATATTTTATTAGAAGAGAAGTTAAAAAAGCTTTCTGAGCAGTTTGGATTTGAATTACCTAGCCCTGTTGCTGCTTCTGAACAGACGGAAGATAGAGAAAGTCCTAATAATTTCCCTGTTTATTAAAGACCACATTTAACTGTAGATTTGAAATTATTTTGTAAGTTAAAAAATTTCAGCTGGAAACCAAGCAGTCTCTGAACTACAAAACTCACCTCTCAAAATACTGTATTTTTGCTTAAAGTCATGTTTAGTTTTAACTTGGTAGAAAAGTATATTTTTGAAGATATGAATTATTTATTGCTATCCAATGTACAGTGAGCTATGATTTTCCTATTTTTATAATGTCTTAAATTTTCTAAAAGCATAAAGATGAGCTTCTAACAATTTTACCATTAAAACTGAGGTCTCAGATGTAATTAGTTTATAGTTTGTCTTAAGATATTCAAATCCTTTGATTTTTGATAAACACAGATACATAAATGTTTATAAGTTATAACATTTTGCCAAATAGCTAGCAAAATTAAATAGAACCTTGAGTTATTTTATCTTATGTAAACATATCAGACTCTTCAATATTAGAAAACTGCAATAATCCCAACTATATTTACATTTTATACATCAAATATTATATCTTTGAGCCTATCAAATTTCTGTTTATCTATTTTTGAAAACTGACTAAACAAACACTCTTTATCAAAAGCATAGCCATATTTGTTTAGGTTCATGTTAATAGTAACTGGTTTGGAGTTCATGTAAGTATCTGGAAGAGGCCAGCATAAACCAAGATGATGGCGGTGGACCTGTAAGGAGGAAAAAGTGGCATTAGCTTTAGTCTGTAAATAGAATCTTAATATACCTGTAAATACTTACTTTGGGTGCCTGCTACAGGTACAATGTAAGGTCTACCGTATATTACTCCTATTTTAACTGTCATAGCTGTTCTTTTGACATAGTGCTGTCTGTCTTCCCCTTTAGAATATGAATTTTCCTGGAGGCAGAACATTGTTTTGTTAACTCTGCCAGTACCTGAAAATGCCAGGAACATAATCAAGGGCTCCTTCAAAATTTAATGGATATAATAATTCTGTTGGTGAATACAGAAAAAAGAAAAGAAAAATGTGAGCCAGAATCTAGCGCTCCCAAAAGGAGTAAGTGGTAGCTGGTTAGGACATTATTGTGTAGCTGTTTCCGCCACATTAAAATGTCCCCTCTGGAGGGAGGCTCTTTAAGACGCTCCGTAAGTTTGCAGTAGCACTACCACAGGACAGCCAGCTACCCAGGATGTGCGGGGAGTTCCCAGGATGCTGCTTTTGTGAGTCATCACTCTGGCTGGGGAGGGCTTGAGTGATTGATAGTGATTGATCCTTATCGATCCTCCTGCTTCTGGGTCCTCCGTGCTCCTTGTAAGCAGCTCCTTCCCAGATTCCTGTAATCCCAACAAAGCCGGGGGCTCACTAAGGTCCACTAAGGAATCCTTTCTTTGGTCTGTCTTCAGCACGTTATCTGTGGCAAGTGACTGAGTGTTCCTATCTCCCCGGGACTACAGCACAGTCACACGACAGACAGACAATTATGTTTTCATAGATGGTAATGAAAAGCAGTTAGGGGAGTTAAGAAGGGGCCATACCATGGGAAGGCTCAACATACCTAGCAGCATTATGTAGAAGAAATAATGTTCATTTGTGAAGAATGAGCACAATGGGGTAGACGTGAACGATGAATGCTTTAGGGAGGGCAATGTAGTAGTAACTAAAGCAGGACTCCTGGCCTAAATTACAATGAGCACCTAGCTGAGTGTAAAGAGATTCAGTAGATTAGACTTCTCAAGAACTGAACAACTGGACGCATGAAGTAATGGGGGAGGAAGGCTTAAAAATAATGAATTCAGGTTTCTAATTTCAGTGAATATGTGGAGCCAGGAGTCCTAAGAAGAGATTCAGCTTTGAATGTTATGAATTTCATGTACCAGGGAGAAACAGACACGTCCAGGGAAAAGGGCACAAAGCACAAGACAGTTCCTGCTGTGTAAGCTACTACTTTGCACGTTTTTACTGAACTCCCTACTAAGTTAGTACAGGAAATGCTGAGTGAAAGTAGGCTCCGAACATCTCAGAGAACACAGTGGGCCCCAGGAAGCCCCAGGAGGGGAACGCATTATCACTCTAACTCCAAAGCACATCCCGGATAGCCAGTGCCCGGCCAAACACCACCACTGTATACAGTGCTGTCTGCCCTTCCCATCAACTCAGTTCTGTTTTAGCCCATAAGAACTATAGGGAATTATACTAACTGCATGCCAGAATGAATAAAGTCTGTCCAGAGAGTCTGAGCATCATGTCTTTGTCCTTACCTTAATTAAACAGCCATCCCCGCAGTGCCACACAATCCCTTCGACTTTACCCTCGCTGCAGTCCTCAAACCAGGACAGCAGGTCATTGTGCTTCAGTGTCGGCAGGTTTTCTACTTGGAAGGCTCCATGTGGTATGAGGAAGTGCAACGGATATTTCTTGCTTCCTAGCCCTAAATGGTGAAATTTTCCATTAGCCATTCTCTGTCACATTCTTTTCAGAAAAAGGTACCTCCCCACATGTATAAATGTTTAAACATTTAGGAGCTATGTTAACAAAACGGTTATTTGGTTTGATTTTCTGTAGAGAATAATCCAAAGTGCATTACATCCTGTTCTCACTCAAGTGTGACATTATTCCAAAAACTGTTCTACTTTCGTGTACTCTCTACACTGGGAGCTGGCACCCTGACCTGCAGACCAAGTCCAGACAGACACCTATTGAAGTGATTTCAATGGAATGTAGTCTTAACCATTCCTGTAAGTACTGCTGATAGCCCATTTCAAAAGATACAGTTAACAAAGCTTCAAACATTGGCTATCAAGCATTTGCTAGCATGTGCTATATCATTAGCTACATTCTGCTGTGTTTACCTAACATCGTCTTAATACCCATCAATCAACCAACTTAAATTTGGGTGTATATGTTGGGGAATATTATTTTCAGATGTGTAACTTTTGTTTACACTGCATTTGTTTAATTCTGAAACTGTTACTGTGCCTGTCAAAAACACCTGATGGTCCTAATAAAGAGATAAACAAGGATAAGTGGGGCTGGCAGGCAGAGAGAATAAATAGAAGGAAAAATCTGGGGAGAAGGAGGAGCAACAAGGGAACAAGGAGAGGAGGCCATCAGGGGCCAGCCACTCAGCAGCCATGGAGAAAGAAGTAAAGGAAGGTAGACAGAAATTGAGAAAGACGAAAGCCTAGAGTCAAAAGGTAGTCAGGATAATTAAAGAAAAGCGCAAGAAACAAGCCAAGCTAAGGGACAGCATAACTAAGAATAAGTCTCTGTGTGATTTATCTGGGAACTGGGTGGCGGGCCCCTGCCAAAAACCAAAAGGGTCAAACACCCACAACGTGTATGCTTGAATACATGTTTCTGTGGAATACAGTTGTGTGCATGTTTGTGCGACTGCATTGTGGAGACAGGAGGTCAACACTGAGTACTTGTTCAGTTGCTTTCCAGCTTATATTTTGAAAAAGGGCGTGTCTCCTAAAGCTCAATTAGGCTCTCATCTGTGCCTCTCTTGCTCTTGGTCTGGCATGTACCACCTGCTGCCCAGCTTTTCACATGGGTGTTGGGGATCTGAACTTCATAGACTGGGTGCCTGCCCTACACCTCCAATCTGCTTTTGATCTTTCTAGAGTTATTACAGCTTTAGAGTCTTTATTCTATTTTATGATTCTCCTTTCAATTCTGTACTCAGCATGCCACTGATTTACTCAATTCATTATGGTTCATTCTTTAAACAGTATCTGTTGCCAATTCTTACTCTTACCTGTGTTTACTAATGATAAAGTGATAACCTAATGGAACAGCTCATTTCACCCAACTAACTCCCCTACACTTATAAAGCAATGAAAAGCTACGTCTCAGTAATTACTTTTCATGGGGAAGGATAATTAGATAAAGGCAACCTGTCGCATTAATAAATCACAATGATTAGCCATACATACATTTTCTCTTGAATAGAAGATTTGGATGATGATAAGATTTCTCTTTAACCTAAGAGGATGTGCTCCTAGGAACTGGATGGGAATGCATTTGTTTCTCGGGTTGACCACAGGAAGTTCTCCTTGGAAAACATCCCCACTCACCATATGGGTTTCCATTGATATTCGTTCCTATCAGTTCCAGGGTTTGCTCTAAAAGCTCTGACAGGGGCACGGCACTAATTTCCAAAAGTCCAGGCTCATCGGGATTGTGCCGTAGGACCAGGGCAATTCCCAACTCATAATTCACCACGGAAGAATGCCAGCAATACTGCTTGCTGTTCTTTTCCACTGGTACCCAGCCTGGTATTTAAAGAGAAGTCAGTGCTATCACATTGATTCTGTTAAAAGACACAGGCATTTGTTTGTTTCATGGTTATAAATCTTCCTTATTTTCTAGATTCCCTATCACACAGACACTGAAAATCAGTGGGAAAGTTAACAGTTTTACTGTTTTCCTTGTAATCATAAGGGTTCATTTGCTTACTGTTGGGGTATTACCATGAACTAAACACATTCTTCAGAAAAATCATCTTGGTTCAGGAGCAACTGAGCACTACACTCAGCATTAAAACTCTCTTCTTTTAAATTTTATTTTAGTATCTTTTCTAACGGCCTACTCTCCTCCCTCCTGCCTGATACTGTCATTTTTTTTTTCACTTAATAAAGCAAGTTCTCTGAATCATCCTAAGGTGTCAGTGGAGCTCTATATTTATATTGTTGTTCTGATCCGGCTGAGCAATTTATCAATTCCCTATTTGCTGTTGCTCTTTTTACTTTTATTGCTAGACTAAGCTCCCTCAATGTGGAAAACTTGCTGCATATGAAAGAAATAAGCCACTCTGACCAAACGTCTTGCAAAATATTCTCATCCTTGAGAAAGATGCAAACTCAAAAGATCATTCCTTGCTATGTCTTTATAAACTCTTAAGACTCGATTCAGAAATTTCGCACTATAAAATAAAATGAAAAGCTAGCTTAAGACAATTTTCCGATGAGACCCTTTTGGCCTGTTGCTTACACTAAACACAAAATGATTCTTGATACCGGGAATGTGTCCGTTCTCATCAGGTACTGGCTTCCCATTCTGCCGCTCTACTTCCTTTGCTGGTACCCAGCACTCTGGGACAGGCCTGAAGTCTTCCTCTGTGTTCCACTGATGCGCTGCAAAGAGTCAGTGAAGGCATCAGACAGAGGACAGGTGCGAAGTGGAGATGGGAAACACTACATCGCTGACAGGTGTGAAAGGGACTCTAATCACTGCCACGTGACGACATTCCAAATTAGGGGACTAACATTCTCAACTTTCAGTACACTAACACTTCTGCACAGTACAGTCTAAGGTAGCCGACAATCTGCAAGGATTTATGAGTGTTTAATTTTTTTTATTTTGGGTGTGTTTCGAGACAGGGTTTCTCTGTGTGCCTTGGCTGTCCTGGAATTCACTCTGTAGACCAGGTTGACCTCGAACTCTGTGAGACCCACCTGCCTCTACCTCCTGAGTGAGACTTAAGAGTTTAAATATGTACGCCCTATGCTGTACTTTATATATGTGTATATATGTTACATATATATGAGTATATGTATAATATAGTCATCAATGCAATAATATTAATTATCCTTTAATACCTAATTATTTTTGTCTTGCTAACCAAATAAAAATACATCTTATTACAACACCATATGTTTAAACAGTATAGACTGATACTATAAAGAAGTTACAGAAAGGTTGGGAAAATAGTTTTCAGTATTTATGTGTGTACATACCTATGTATGCATGTGTGTGCATGTCTGGGCACTGTGCCACTGATTTAACCCTAAAAATGAATATTATATGTGTGTGTGTGTGTGTAAATATATGTAAATATATATATAATTATTTCCCCCAAGATATATATACATAGAAGAACCATAGCAATAATTTCACAAATTTCAACTCTCTAAATCTGAAAAGTTTGAAGAAAAACCCACTAACCTTTTGAGTTTTCTTTTGAATGTAGAAATTTTTTAAATCTTTTCTCAGCTTGCTTGTTAGGTTTTCTGTCTAGTCGAGCCCAGAGGTATGGCTGACCTAAAAACACAGGGAAAGTCGAGAGGAAACAAAATTCATCTTGCAAGACATTTCAGAGAGGGAAAAAAAAAAATCAATAAACAGTAGTCTGCTCTGTAAGAAAACACCCTAAAAGAACAAGGAAACACATGATGCTCAGCACTGAGTTTTCATCCCAGCATGTGAGGATGTTCTTTGTTAAATGTGAGAAAAATGCATGGTCTTTTTAATCAGAATGCTCCATGGCTTCTTCCTAGATTCTCCAGATGAGAGCAGAACCAGGTGGCTGTGTTCCCAGCTCCCTGAACATGACAATGCCATGTGGGGTTAATTCTGGCAGACATGGAATAAAGCCGACCTATCTGGTCACTAGACACAGCGAGGGTGAAGGTTGCTTACTCCTGGGTGTGAGCAGTCTCAGGGCACTGACTTAGCTTACTGTTGCCACTGCTTTCTCAGCGGGAAGATGCATACATGACAAGCCACAGCAGGAAACTCCAACTAAGACTCCACCCTGAGTTCCTAATACACATCAGTAGCTCCTAACCTGAGAAAAAGTGTCCTGCTTTTGCTACAAAGCACAACAAAATACAGATTTTTCTCTGGTATCTCCATACCTGTTGCTCTGTAACAGACTTCTGAAATCCTTATTTTATTATGTGTTTATCTGTTTGTCATCTTTGGTCCTGTGAGCATCCTTCAGCATAAAATCTCTAGCTCTCTAATTGCTCCCATCATGCACATCACACATGATACACACTGAAGTTTTTTAATATATGAGCCTGATAAGTCTTACTCATATATAAATCAGAGGCAGTGGGGAATATTATTTTCAGGATAGGCAGGATTAGATGACACAGAGTATAAAGAGCAGGAGACCTGAGAATGAAGGAGGAACAGCAAGAGAACAAGGAGAAGAGGACATCAGGGGCCTGCCACCCAGTCAGAGTAAGAAGGAAAGAAAGATATACAGAAATAGAAAAAGATAAAAGCCCAGAAGCAAAAGGTACTCGGTATAATTAAAGAAAAGTTGGCAAGAAACAAGCAAAGCTAAGGTCGGGCATTCATAAGTAAGAATAAGCCTCCATGTGTAATTTACTTGGAAGCTGGGTGGAGGGCCTTCCAGAAAAGCCAAAAGAGTAAAACATCTCCCACAGCACAGAGGTTATAAAATTGGTAAACACACTATAATACTATTACTAGCTACTCATATACATAATATAAAGAACAAGGTTAAAGATATATTGTTTCTGGTTGAGTAGACTTTTGGTTCTTTTTATTGGTAAATAAACATATAAAATGCATTCCACATATATAGCATCCATTAGGATAGCTATCACCAAAAATAATAATAGTAATAACATTCCTAGTAGGGAAATGGAAAAAGTGTAACATCTGGAAGCTAGAACTTCTGTGTGACCATTATGGAAAATGTATGATGGGTATTCAAATTTTCTAAATTAGAATTAACATATGATCCAGTAATCCCACATTTATATAGGTTCATAACCATCCCCCAAACTGGAGCGGTACTTTAGGAGAGATAATGCATTATTAATTGCATTATCAATGGTGGCATGAAGGTAGGAGCAACCCAAATGCCTATCAGTGACTAAACAGATGAACAAAATGTCCTATGTACATATTAAACAATTTTAAAAATGTGTGCAATCTGACACAATCCAATCTGGTAAAATACTAAACCAGCCACAAAGAGACAATTATATGAGTTACCAATAGTCAGAAAGTAGAAGAAACTAAGAGGCTGTTGTATGAAGCCGCTTGTTTGTTCCCGACTGCTCAGCCCCGAAATAATCACACAGAAACCATATTAAATGCAATACTGTTTGGCCAATAGCTTGAGTGTACTTCTGGCTAACTCATATCTTAAATTAACCCATCTCTACTAATCTGTGTATCGCCATGAGGTTGTGGCTTACCCGGTGAAGTTCAGGCGTCTGTCTCTGACAGAATTTATACAATGAAAAAGATAATACGTTTAGTAAACACAGTAGTTGTATTTTACCTTTGTAGTTAGTAACATAGCAACATGTCCCATCCACCTTTTCTGTGGCAATTGCATTGTACACATCTGCCTCTAACGCCTTTTCACTTAGAGTTTCAGTTGCCAAAACTTTAAATGGCTTAAAAGAAAGAGAAAAAAAAAAACTGGTATAAGATATACAGCCTCTGACTTCACACACAGGCTCACCTGAACTGTGCCTAATTCCCTTAGTTCCAAACAATTGTCTCCTAGGTCTCACTCTGCAGCCCAGGCTGGCCTTGAACTCATGATCCTTTTTCTTTAGCCTCTAGTCCCGAGATTCCCCTCTTGTCCCATCAAAACATCTCTCCCTCTCTGTAGTGTGATCACATTCAAATTGATTGTCCATGCGGATTGTGATCTACAGGCTTGTCCTCCACAATGGAACCAGGAGCTGTGTCCTATGACTGTGCACTGACCACAACAAGCATTGTACCTGACACTGGAAACACAGAGAAGTACCCACCTTTAGTGAAACTCAGACGTTAGAGGGCTATGACAGAAATAAAATGTGTCACATTATTACACAGATGAGTACTAAAGAGAAAAACACGATGGGAAGGCACAAGGAAGTCCTCTAAGGGGGCAGCATCTGAGCAGATTTGACGTGCGGAGGAAAGGCCCACAGTCTGGGCGTCCTGTGTCTGAAGAATGCAAGACAGTCACTGCGTTTGGAACAAAGTGCAGGTAAAACATGCTTACTTCATTCCAGAGTGTGCCTGGTGGATCAACACATGGATTCACCAATGACAATCCTCCAAGACTAAGTCTACTCTTCCATGAGATCTTTACAAAACTGACTTTTTCAAATGGCACTTGGTTCTTAGTTGTGGGGAGAGTCTAGTGATGTCCTCTGTCTTGGCTCACATCTTCAGAAAAACAGACGATGAAGATGGCTCCTAGTTTGAGTTTTTAAAAGAACTGACTTCCAAAGCTGAAATCCACATGCTTACTTTAGATGCCCATCTAAACATCTCTGGCTACCCATCCAACTATGTTTGTGAAGCTTCTTTATGAAATGCATTTTCCTAGTATGCAGGCCAGACCAAGATCCACTGCCGTTGCCTCCTGGTGAAACTTCCAGCAACTACTATGATAAGTCTACCCTAAGTGGTCAAAGATGACCAGGCCTCCTGGGACTGAAACGCCCATTGCTGCTCCTGGCACAATGCCTCTTCAACGTCTGAGGCCGATTTTGTGTTCTAGTTCTACCCCGCCCAGGTTTCACTGTTAAAAACCACCAGTAATAACTTGCCTGCTGTTTCCCTCCGAGGCTGCTTGCTTTGCCAGGGATTCCCTTCCTGTCCTTTTCATATTTATCAGCAATTAGGTGTTTCCCAGTTCCATTTATGACTTTGCTACTGGCAGGAAGAAAATAAAGTGTCGGGGATGGAAGAAGAGACTACTTCTGAGATCCTGACAAGGTTTTAGCTATAATTTTTATTTCTGAGAAAATTTTATGCTACTGTTTTATAGTCTAAATCAGAACATTCACTTTATATAATAAGGTAATAATAACAAACACTGCACAAAGGAAAGGGAAATGGTGGTCCGACAAAATTAGGTACTAGAATACTATACTCATTTCATTGAATTGTGTGAGGCATATGTATGTGTGTGTGGTGTGTGTGTGTGTGTGAACATGTATGTGTGAATACATGCCCATATGAGTGCATGTGGAAGCCAGAGGTTATCACCTTATCTTTGGAGACAGAGTCTCTTACTGGACTTAAGAGCTTAGTGGTTCTGGTAGGTAAGCTCTAGGGCTCTACTGTGTCCCCTCTACAACTCTGAGATTACAGACACATGGGTGCTGGGACCGGAACTGAGCTCCTCCGGCCTGTGTAGCGGCCACCTTCCAAGTTTGTGATATACTACTTCAGTATCGATTTGTCATCAGTGTGTGACAATGGGACGAGGAGATATCATTCTAAATCACTGTGGCAAAATGCTAGCGACAGCAGGTAGGTGTGTGTGTGTGTGTGTGTGTGTGAGAGAGAGAGAGTGTGTGTGTGCATGCACATGCTTGTACTTGTGTGTGTGTGCACATTTTTAAATTTATAAAATTGCAAAGAGGGTGACTACACCCTTGGAGTTGTTAAAGACTCTAAAATGTTCCTTTACAGGGATCATTTCTCTACTACTATTTGCTATTTACTCCTCCACCTGTGACCAAACTATGGCAAAAGCAAGAAACATTTGTGTACATAAACAGGCAATGTGGATTGATTGGGTGGTGTGCAATTTCTGAATACAGCTAATCAAGGGATGACTAATTTAATCAAGTTTTATTAAGATCTACTGAAAACCAGAGTGGTTAGCCTGGGAAAAGCATTAATGCCCAGGAGTGTGCTTAATCTGTTTACAAGATGAAAGATGTTACAAAAGCAAGAAATCCACATTGAGATTTTAAAACAGACTGGGCTAATTAATAAGAGACTTTGGACAATTACTTGGACACTATGCTGTAACCAGACAGTTTAAACTATAAAGAGATGAGAGGGTTTTTTTTTCTCTAGTATAAAGTACTTTTAAAATTATGCCCTACCCACAATATTAAATGCTGAGAATCATGATTAAAATAAATCATCAAGGATGAGTGTTTTGCAGTTCTTGGATTTATTATTATAAATTATTTATTATTTATTATAAATATTATATATTTATAATAAATAAATATATTTTATTTATAAATATATAAATATATATATAAATAAATAAATAATATATTAAATAAATATATTATTTATTATTTATTATTATTTATTTATTAATCCAGTTCTTGGATTTTTGTTCTAAGTAGCCAGCAATACAGATAATGAATACTAATCTTAGAGCTTTACTGGAAAATATAGTGGGACTCATTCTGGTGGCAAGTACAACTTATTAAGTAGTACCGTAAACAACATTATGACATTTTAACTGTGATAACGAGGCAGTAGAAAGGAATATGGAAAGATCAGATGTTAAAAGGAAAAGGTAAGAAAACATCAATGTCGATGGAAAACTGGCACAAAGACTCTCAGAGTCCTTTGAATTAGAATTTGACAAATGTTAATACATGTGTCAGTTCCTACCAGCAGGGGCTAAAAGATAACAGGGCATCTTGTTAACCGCTGTTTAATCTAAAAGACAAGAAAGGGGCCCGAGGGAGAAAAAAATTAAGCTCTAGATAAGGGGGAATAACAGAGTACAACAATGAAAAGGGTAATGGTGTGTGCAAACTGGAGACTTGGGGGAGATATGCAGCCTGTTGATGTGGAGAGGGGACAACACGAACTATGGATGAAAATGCTAAAAGGAGTCGGGCGGTGGTCGCGCATGCTGTGAGTTCGAGACCAGCCTGGTCAACAAGAGTTAGTTTCAGGACAGGAGGACAGGTTCCAAAGATACAGAGAAACTTTATCTCAAAAACAATAAAAAAAAAAAAAAGAAAAGAAAAGAAAAAGAAAGAAAGAAAAAGTCAAAAGGAAAGCTCTAACTTTTTATGCTAACTAAAATAAACAAACAAACAAGCCACAAGAACAACAAAAAGGCCAGAAGGCCAGTCGTAGAGTGGCAATGGTAAAAAAGAATGGAATTGATTTCATATGCACACGCTGATTGTGTCTGAGTTGAGAGGTTAAGAATTTTGCTACACATCAAAAAATCACGCTGATATAAACTATCTATATATTAATTCACTAACCTTCACGCAAGGCTCACTCTGTGTAAAACACAGAAGATGACTAGAAAACCTTAGGACGGGCACTCGGAGTTAGAATTAAGCAAGAAATGACACACGGACTGACTTTAGCGACCTAGTCAGGGTAGCTGTCAACACTGTCATGGGTTTCTAGGACACAACAGGTAAATAATGCTTTCTCATCAGCCTGTTGATCTACAGTCGTTCCAAGGTAGACGACCCTGATATCTCACTCGCTACTCGGGTTTTCCCCTCAACGGTGCTGGCGTGGGAAGAAAGACATTAATTGCGATGTAGGTTTTCAAACCTGCCAGTTTGAATCACTTGATCTGGGAGGGCAAAATAAAAAAGAGACTCTCCCACACTCCTCACAACGAAGAAGGTCCACGAAGCTGGAGCTCAAGGTGTACTTCACCCAAACCTCCCTTGTAAAACCTGCAGGGCTCCCGGGCCGCCGCGCAGCGTTGGAGAAGCCGCCCAGCAGCCCAAGCCGCCGGGTACCTGATGCTCCCGCTTGGCCGAGGGCTCGGCTTTCACCTCCGTCACAAACACGCACGGCATCTTCCGCTGCACCGAGCCAAGGCGGCTCATGGCGCCACTCCGTGTCTCCAGGACGCTGGATCCTGGCCGGAGGAAGCCCTGCAACAGGCAGCCAGAGAACAGTACCCGGTCCTGCCAGGGTGATCCCGCAGCGCCGCCGAAGAACCACCCGGACGAGGGGCGGGGACGCATGCCCGGAAGCGACCGCCTATTCGCGGAGCATTCTGGGAGTTGTAGTGCGGCGGTGAGGCTACCGAGCTCGCGCCTACTCGTGCGTGATTCCCAAATAAAAAGAGAAAAGAAACACGATCCGTTACCCGGTGTTGTGTACTTGGCCACAACTTAGTAACGATGATGTTTTCGGAACTTAATATCCAGTTTAAAATGCAGCTTGACGCGTTTCTCCTGAAAATGACTTGTCTGCTTTTTCTTTAAGAATTTAAAGGGATTATAAACCCAGAGAAGTTTAGAAAGAACTATTGGACATTTCCTAACGTGTAGACAAAAACCCTAATTTTCCAGGAATAACATTAGTGAAACTCTACAATTAACAGAACTGGATTTTTTTTTAAAGCTTCTGTTTCATTTATCACCATACAGTGTCTAATTTGGTTCTTGATGTCCTTTCCAATGAGTAAAATTTAGACAAATCCCAAATCGTCGAAATATCAACAAACGGTATGGTCAAGGTTTCTCTCGGACTCCAGCAGAGAGCTTGAATTGTATTCAACTACCGAGCTGAAAATAACTTGCTTAGCTTGACTTGCTATCCAAAGCGGCATTGGATGATAAATAATAATGCTTGTATAAAAATAAAAAGTAGACCTATCTCACTGAAGCCTGAGACCATAAGGAGATTTTTAACCTTGCCATCTTAGGTAATTGGAAAAGCAAGTTTTATTTCTATAATTTTTTCATCTCAATTTGTATTTCTATAATTGCTTTATCAGCATGTATCCAACTGCCCAGCATTTCATTTACTTGGGGAAATTAAATAACCTCGTCTGCCTTGAAAGTATATCAGGGGACTCTCAGAAGAATAAAATATCTCTAAAAACATGGTTATAGTTTTGTGATTGCTGAACTCACAATGGAGGGTGTGAGTAAGAATGAGGTTGACTATTTTGCAATCTTTCTCTTCTGGCACATAATTTTTCTCATAGGCAAACACACACAATTTTATACAAAACAAAAGAAACTGAGTGGTTGGGGTGGGAAAAGACTATACCCACATGGATCTGGCTCTGTGCTGTTGAAGCCAGAAACTCCTTGGCCTCTTAACTTCAAGAGTTGGTAACTGTTTAAACCTTTAGAGGAATCCTAAGCAACAGCTTGTCTCTTGGGTCTCAGAAAATCAAATGACCTTCCCAACTCTCAACTGTCACTTCCCAAACTGCCACAGAATATTCTAGATCCAACATTCTGCCATTTCTTAGAAAAGATCATCTTCCAGAAACATTCCACTTGCTTTAAGCCTCTCCTCTCTGGAATCACCGGCAGCAATATTTTGGTTCCTTCAATGCTTGAAGCAAGGCTTCTGGCAGAAACAGGATTGACACCAGGAGATCATCCCAGGATCAGCTTCCTACTGGGAAGGATGGCAGCCATCAGCTTCCCCCAGTTCAGACACAGAGTTGGTCTAGGGCCGCTGGCCACCAACTTTAAAGTGGTACTCAGGATAATTGGAAGATTTTTCTTCTCTAATGTGTTAGCAACCTAACACATATCAAGAAGAAACTCCGTCAGAGTCTATCTTGGCTTGCACAATCCAGGATTTCTCGGTCTGTTTTTGAAGACAAATTTCCTAGCACTTTTCATTACAGGGAGAGAAAAAAAAATCGAGTAGAATCATAACTTTCTATAAAAGACTAAGATGAAATACACAACAGGATGGAAATGAGGCGAAAGTGAAAAATAAAATTAGTGATAGGAAAGGAAAGAACTAAGAGAGGAAAGGGGAGGACTCTGGGTATCCCAAGGACTAACAGAACGTGCCCAATTAAAGTTTTACACAATGAAAGAATCTTTTATTTCTTCAAATCTCTTTGTGATTTTGAGCTGATTTTAATGTCTAGTAGAATGTGGACTACTCATCAGCTGTTGAGAGGCAAGCATTTTTCAGTCCTTTCCATGTGAAATCACTTAATTCGGCAATAATAGTGTTTGATAACAGTATTTGAAAGCCATCGAGTGACTCTCCACACTCGGTCATGAATTCATCTGGAGCAGACGCACACTGGAAAATACTTCTTGGGGGTGTTTTTCTGACTTGCCTGTAAAGATGGGCACCTTACTGCCAGAGTTAGAAGGTCAAACCAAAAGGCAAGGCTTATCTTTATGGATTTATCAATAATTTCAAGGGTTTTTGCCAAACTTTTGTCTGCTCTTTTACCTCTAACACTGCCTCATTCCTTTTATTTTACAGTTACAAGCAAATGAACCTAGAGTTTAGCTCTAGATTATTACTCTAGATCTTTGGACTAAAAAAGTTCACGGCAATTTACCCTGTTTTACTAAAAGTGGAGACCAATGTTTATCTTGATCATCTACGATTTCAATGAAAAGACTGCAGTATTTTAAAAACATACTTCGATCCAGTGTGCTCAGTCATCACCAGCCAACTTCGAAGTGACCTATGATGAATATTCTTTATTTCTGCTAGGTTCTGATTCTTATAGGAAAGATGATCAGATGGATACTTTAACAACCGCTCATTGAAATGTTTCCCTCTGGGAATCAGAGGGCTTCATATTATTTTCAACAAATTTTCCAAGGTTTCAAGCACGCTGGAACCCTTTGCTATCAGAAGAAGCTAATTTTCCTTTTATGATGCATGAAAATGGAATAAAGTCCCTGGATGAATAGGTACTCTTGTTTATTTTATTGTACATTTATTACTGTTACAATCTGGCTGTGATTTTCTCTAAGTCAGTGTATATAGCAACAGGCACATATTTAAATAATTGTACCTATTTTTTGGATTGTAGATAGCATATTTACGTTAGTTTCATTTTCAAACCACATATAGAAATAACTTTCCTCATGAAATACTTACCAATTTTAACTTTGAAAATATGAATTTGTGTCTCTCCTCTAACCATAACACTGAAAGATAAAAGACAGTCTTAAACTTACAGATAATCTTTTAGTATATTTGATATATATTGGACAAGGAAAGTATTCCCTTAGGTGAAGAAGCCTACAGTTGCAGATGAGGTCATTTATGGTGAGCAAACAATGGATTGTGTAACAATGAGGAAAATTCTGGAAGTTTGAGTTTGTGTGATTACTAGTAACCACTGTCAACATTTCTGCAAAGCTAGAGAAGGTATCTTCTAATTTAAATTTCTTTAAGCATTATCTATTGTGTAATATACTGTCAACAGGAGGTCAGTTGTCAAGGAATACTACTGATAGCCTGAAAGACTGTGGAAAAGAACAATTTTCCCCCTTACACTCTGATAGTTCTTATATTTGCGTCCTTGCAATTTGTCCATACTTATAAAAAACACACAGTCATTGGATTAGCCGCAAGAGATTGAAAATGGCAGAAGTTGGGAATGACTGCTATTTCTTTGTTAATTCCACATGCATAAAGGTAAATATTGTACAACTTACAGTACCCATGCTTAAGCTTTTTAGTAGACTGAAGGAAGAAGCAGCAATAAAAGATACCTTAACTCTGAAGTAAAAGCCTATATATTTCTGATATCCTGAATTTATGTGAGAAAGTCTGAGTTAATTTCAAATTATTATGTATTTAAAACTATTCATTATATATATATAGTTAATTTCATGACAGTTTTTATATGACATTTGCATATATTATTTCTTTAAATATCAGATTCTTAATTCTGTACACTATATAATGATATTTAAAATATAGAATTTTATTTTGGTGAATATGACTTCAGTCATACATTATTAAATAGTTGAATTCAGATTGCTATTAGTGGTGTAGTATATTTTTTCTTTGAAATTCATTAAAAGTTATTGCACTTCTCCTGTCGGAAGTCTGAGTAACAAGTATTTAAACACCATGTCAAAAGAAGTCGAATGTAGCATACATAAACAAATCAACCACAGTTATAATGTTAAGTGGAAACTGAATTGGGATTAATGGATATTAAAAAATGAATAAATGTAGAAACTCAATGACTGCTCACGTACCAGATGATCCTAAAAAAAGATAGATGTTCTGTCTGGTCAAACATCTTTCAGCTCTACTAGCAACCTGGAGTCCAACTCTTTGGTCACAAGAATTCAGCCCACTTTTGTCACGTTACCTTTCAAAGAGTTCTTGGAAGGCGAACTTCCTGAGTTTTGTCTCTTTCTCTGTTTATCCCCACGAGACTGATGAATATTATCTTGTAAGGAAATGACTAGACAGAATTTTTTTTTTAAAGAGTAAAAACAGAGAAACTGAGTTAACTGTTAATACGGTGGCTATTGAAAAGTAGTGAAGCTATGGGGTTAAATACCAGTTTGCTGACCGCAAACTCACTGCCCACTATCATCCGTGCTCTGAGAGTACAAACTCCATCTTTGATGGGAAAGGAAAGTGAGTAGAGAAATAGAAAGAAGACAAAGAGTCTATGTCAGAGAGAAAAGAATGCAATGGAATGTTGTTATCGCTCGCTGTTCCCCTGTCGGAGACAGTGGCCTACAGTTTTTCCAACTGTGAGTACATGCATAAAAGAATGTAGAATTCAAAAATAAAGCAATAGTAGCCAGTTGACATAATCCACATCTACTTTGGTCGATATGGAAAACACCTTAGTCAATTGTTTGTCTTTGTAGATCAAGAACACGAAACATATATGTGATGTGTGATGTGGAAATTACTTCCGATTTCACAGTGTCTCACGGTTGAGATTCCACTTATTTTCTCGATATCAACACAGTCTGCAGCATCTCCATAGTCTTAATGGTTGGTAGAGTGGGTCTTCACATGCAGAATCCTGCTGCTTTGTAGATACTCGCCAAGTTTTTTTCAGAAAGAGAAGTAAAGCCCCCCTCTTTTTGTATTGCAGTCAAGGGAGTCTCTAGTCTCACATCTTTGCTCTTAGTGAACGCTCACTGGGTGCAAAGCATAGCATTTTTAGAGTAACTTGCGGCGAGTTAACCTGTGGTGTTTGATCATGACATTTTCTTATTACTTTCTCACTGAAAAGAGGCAGAGTTGCTACAACTTAGTCATTACAAGCCTGCATTTGGTAGTATGTTTTCATGATTCCAATTTTATATAGACTCCTTGTTTTTAATTGGTTTAGCATTTTGTTATTAAACACTAGAATTAATATATTGTGTCTTCTGCATTGTTTACTTCTCAGGGTTCCCAGTGCCGATTCCGACACTGTGAAGAAGCCCTTGGCAGTGACACTGTGTGCTCATTATGGAGAGAGAGAAAATGTTTAGATCCACTTTGCAGATTTAGACACATGGAAATGCAGGTAAAATGACTGATCATTTTCACTTCAAGAATTTTCCTTCCATATCACTGAATTTAACTTTTATAACAAAATAGAAGTAGTTCTTCCTCCTAGAAAGTCTTAAGTGTTTATCACTTTGCTCAAAATAAACTTGTAGAAAAATAAAAGACCACTTTATCTTTTAAACGGAAAAGCTGAGAGGTGGCGAAATGTAGGAAACAGTGGTGATTCTAAGCCAGCAATTAGAACTTTTCTTGTCGCATTGCATTGTGTGCTAGCAGTCTGCATTTACTGTGAGTGCCTAAACATTGTATTCCCCTCACTTCCTTTTCATAGCAAAACTGCAGCATTTCATGCTTCTGGGAAACCCAACCTCTTGGTTGTGTGAAGATCAGTTGTATCTTTTACCACAGCAAACCCCGAAATATCAATGGATTATTTTTGCCACCAAGTAGCAGTGAGTATATCTGTAATAACTGGTTACGTGGCATTATAGTCTGGTCTTGGAGTAGAAAGAAGCCTAGGGGGGCGCAGTTGTATACAAAAAATGAGGTGAGAAGGTCAAGAATCTCTTATAGGTGCAGAGAGAGAGCAAAGGCATACTCTTGGTTGCAGGTCTGTTCTGTCACAGCAGTTGTCTGCAGTGATATTAAAATGCTCCCTTTATGTGAGACTTGACACAGATTCTTCACAGAACACACAGGACCTCATATTTAAGGGAACCTTGTTGGAGAAATTGGTGATTTCAAGATTTCTCCGATGCTGTAGCAATCTTATTCTGCAATGGTCACCGTACGTCTCTAGTGGAATGGTCTTATATATGAGCAGAATATGATATTAGCCCTTTGAGAATTAAAAGATTAGTTTCACATAACCTCAGTAAGTGAATAGCTAAGACTTTAGGCCTTTTATTGCATACTTTGGGAAACTTTTGACTCCATAAAGCACATCACATATGTAATACTTTTATTATTGTTTCTCTTTCTCACTAGATTGTAAGCATCTGGAGGATGGGTAACATAATTTTTTGCCTTTGCTTTGCAATGTCTGGACCAAAAATAATGTGCAGTAAATCGGTTGCTTAGACACATGGATGGGGTGTGAAGAGATGAAATCTAAGCAGTAATTTAAGGGGATGAAAGTACCGAAGTGCTGTAATGGATTAACCTGGCTTGCTGAGTTTACAACAGTATGGTTTTTCTTTTTGATCAAATGAAAAACATTCCCATGACATTATTTTTATCTGGTAGTTTAATCCCAGAGATTTCACTAGCTCTTGGAAGACCAACAGGAAACAAAGACCTCCTCTCAAAGCAGGCTGGATAGGATGCCTGTGTAAATGACAATTATTGTCTTCCCCACTGTTAAAATAAGCCCTGTGCTAATTGCTGTCATGTTGTTGGGTGGGTTGCTCTTGTATGTTGTAAATAGAACTGGCCTTTCTGGAAATCTCAGGCTTTCCTGAAAGTTTTTATGGTTTACCCTGACACTCTGAAGAAACCTCCTTTCAGTAGGGTCAAATCTACCCATGCACTGACTGGGATCTAACCCTTTCCCCTAAACATTCTAGCTCATCATGATAAGATACTAAAGGGATGTATAGACAAATAATGCCCAATTTTCTTAAATCTCCTTGGCTCTTTGGAAGACAGGATAGAGACCCCTGCACTCACTACACTATCTTTCCAGCGTCGGTTCATTGTGTGTACTTGCATGTTTTATATTTCGTGTGGAGCTAATTGCATTCTGGCTTTTATTTTTGGTTATGGTCAATCAATGTAAGAGAATCTGCAATGGCCCTCTCCTGCCTTTCTGTCCTTTTCACCCATTCTTCTCCAGTTTTTCTTTGCCAACACAATTCTGTCTTCTCTGAATTTTCCTCTCATCTTTCAGACTTTTATGTAAGAAGTTTCCCTTGAGGACTCTGGTCCTCCTATGGTGTTCTTCACTGATGACTGATCACTCTCAATCCCAATTCTCTCTCTTGCAAATCTCAGGTACCACCAGCTCTAGTGTGAGATGATGGGTTTTCTTGGTCCTTGCTGCCAATTTCAGACTGTTTCTGACACTTCTCTCTAACACTGTCCAACATGAATCTGCAGCTAATTATTGATATTATTTTGTTCCTTAGTGTTGTATCATTGTCTTTTGCTATGTTCATCTACCTCCTTTAGCCTTGTTTTCAACAACATGCAACTTGTAGATCATTGTTACTATATTAGTACCACTTTATTAATCCTTGATAATTTCAGTATGAAAATGTGTCCTATCATTACCCTAACCTTTCTGCTTTTATTTCCTCCATCACTTAGCCCTGTGGTATCTTCTCATGAGTCTCCCTGGCAACCAATGTTTTGCACACACTTCCCAGTCTGTTACCATTCACTCACTGCAGTAACCTCTTCTTACAGCCATAATGTTGGTACATGACTCCCCACATCCTTTGTGCCTGCATCCATTAAGCTGCTCATGGATAAAGAAAACACATGGCCATAATGATGGAGTTTAAATAATTGATCACAGGCCGCAAATGAGTGTATACTACCAACTTCGACCATGCTTCTACCATGTTACCCGCAGGTAGATCTCTTCTAGACTATAATCTTAAATTGTTTTCCTTCTCATTCATCTTCCAACATCTCCACATCGCAGATGGTGACCTTAGTATCTTACTGATGAACTGAAGGGATGAGTAGGGAATTTCTACAAATTTTCATCTCCCCACCTAACTACCATCTGGACTAGTCTCCTCTTCACACGTCCCAAAACGAACTATCATTCATTCTCCACCTAATCTATCTTCCCACTTGGTGACTAAATGAACTAAATTAACTCAACAGTTCATCCTGTGACTTCCACACAACTGTTTTTAATCTTACGGAGCCTTTTCTTTGATTATACAAATATGTATTTATCTCTTTACTAACTAATTAGCATTTTTCCTCAATTCATTCTCCCTAGTAGTTATGCCATATTGTTGTTTCCCACTCAGTGGCACTAAACGTATTTTATTTATTCTCGCTGTAAGTATTTTCCCTCTCCCTTCCTCCCTCCCTTTCTTCCTCTCTTTTCAAAATCAGTTTTTTTTTTTTTGGCCCTTCTACCTGCTGTATGAAGATTATTAAATACACTAGTCAAATCTGAGCCCTTGTGTAACCTGAGCTATTAGAAGATGTGGACACATTATGTTTGGAGACCTCAATACTGTCTTCATTCTGTGCCCCATTTGACTTGCCCTTGCCAATTATACTTCATGAGTAGTGTCCAGGAAAGTTGTTGAACTCCTTTTTCCCCTGCCTCCTCTCTTGTAATGCCATCCAGTCTTATTTTTATTTTTAATGTTTATTATCACACGTTAATTATATATAACAATGGGTTTGCTAGTATTTTCATGCTTGTACATAATGCATCTTGATCATACTCACCTCTTTACTATTTTGTCACCTCTCACCACTTTTGTACCCTTTCATTTTCCCCACTAGTAATTCTTTTAGGCTTATTTTGTTTATTTGTGCCCAACCCATGTCTTTGTGAATATATATATATATGTGTGTGTGTGTGTGTGTGTGTGTGTGTGTGTGTCTGTTCAAGTGCACCTACCTATGCACAAATAGAGCCCAGAAGAGGATGTGAGATATTATATAACTAGAGTTGTAAGTCATCGCAGGACTGAAGCCTGTCACAAAGATCTAGGATCTGAACCCCAGTCTTCATGGTTATGCAAGACACGGCCTTGACCACTGAGCCTTCTCTCCAGCCTCAACTTTGTGGTTGCAATGGCTCTGTTTATATACCACCCCAAATCGAGATCCCCCCCACACCTAACAGCATCCGATGTCTGAATTCATCTTTCTCTTGACTTACATGACTAATGAACATGTCACGCTTAATGTATTTAAGACTGACACCGTGATTTTACCTCTGCCCTCGCAAAGCCTGCTCTCTCCTTTGCTGTTTCTGACTCATCCTTACTGTAAGCCCAGCCTCGCAGTTGCTTAGATCCCCTGAATCTTCGTCCAAATTTCTGCCACATTCCACATTTAATCCATTCAGAAACACAATTCTCCCATCCAGATACATCAGAGTCAGAGTTCATCATCATCTGTGCCATCTCTGCACGGCTCAGGCCTCTATTATTGCCTCATAGCTTTTATTGGTACAGCTGCTCCTGGTTTCCCCTGGCTTTCTCTCTTTATGTCTATTCAAAGTACAGCACCTACAGTCTTATGATCAAGCAGATCTTAGTCCTCTACTCCAAATCCTCTAGTGTCTTTTCATCTAATTCAGAGAGGCCAGAGTCCCAACGAGAGCTTGAATTCCGAAAGTTATTTGATCAAGTCCTCTGCTAACTCCCCGAACTCTGATACTTGGCATTCAGCCCCATCTGTATGTTTCTCTACTTGCCTTTCCGGGAGCATGTTCGCATATTCCCGTTTTCAGGGCTTTGCATGATGTGACTTTTCCTCAGTGTCTTTGTGGCCAGCTACTTTTTCCATCAAAGGTTTGCTCAGATATTGCCTTTAATGAGCTCGGTACCTAGCGCCATGTTTGAAATGTAGCCTGTGGTTCCACCTCCTTCATATACTCTTCCAATTTTCCTTGCTCTCTTCTATTTCCTGCTTTCCATGCCCCATTAACTTCTCAGATGCAGGATAATTTGGTTGCTCTGTGCACTGTTTATTGTCTAATGAGTCCTTGTAGAATAAAAGCTCTATGAGACCAAGAATCTTGGGTTTGTTCACTTACCAATGTCCTACACTTCACAATTCTGCCCTGGGAAATCTTGGATATTAGTTAATCATGTTGAGCTGAAAACTCAGTCATGTTAAGTTTTTCTCTGCTCAGACACAGTTCTGTACTCTAGAATGAGAATTCAGTTTTTTGGAAGTAGGTGAATGCTTGTTTTTGTCTGTTTATTTTCGTGTTACAAGGTACCAAAGACTGAGTGTGTGTGTATATATATATATTCATATATTTGCATATATATATTCATATATTTGCATATATATATATTCATATATATATATATGTGTATGTGTGTGTGTGTGTGTGTGTGTGTGTATCTATGAAAAGAGGTTTGTTTGGCTTATGATTCTAGTAGATGGAAGGTTTAAACAACACAGTACCGATGTCCTGTGAGAGTCTCCCGGCTACTTCACAATATATAGCAGAGAAGTAAAAAAAAAAAATGTTGTATGGGTACAAATAGCACCAGGGGAGATACCAGCCTTATGTTAAAACAGCTCACTCATGGGAACTCCACAAATCTCAGAAGACCTTACCTTTAACCGAGAGAGAGCATTAATGTGTTTACGAGAATAACAGTCTCATGACCTTATTCTCTCCCATAGGCCTCACCCCTTCAAAGATCCCCACCACACGCCACTACATTGGGGCCCGAGATTCTAATACATCAAACTTTGCGGGATAAACTGTGTCCCAAACATACCAACTATCAAGGACTTTAAAAGAAATATGTCTTGAGCTAATATATTACCTGTTTACTTTGGAAATATTGACTACTATAGAAGGTATAAGTTGATCCATGGCAGTTATTTATATTATTTGTAGTAATGTCTATGTACCAAATGCTATATCAATTAGAACTAAATTTCTTTTTAACCTTAGACCATTGAGTTGTCATGTAGGGCACGTAAGGAAAAACATCTACCTTCCTGTGTTTCATTAAGAACTTATAATTACTTATAAACCCAAGGTGGAAATAGTATAAATTATGAAAAGACAAAGCTAATAAAGGATCATTTAACACAAAGTGTTATGTAATCTATATGTACCGCTGTCACTCTGGTCAAGATAAGATAAAACTTGGGTATTTAAAAAGGCAACCAGCGCAATGGTTTGTTTGGGATTTCCCTTGCTGAGTTGAGACCCACCAGCCGTGTGTAGTATGTGAGATGGAGCCACGGAATGTTATCCAAGTTGCCAGCCGTCCTCTTCCAGGGTGAGGTGCTTCCCCAAACAATTTTCCATTAGTTGGTTTGACATTGTAGATCACATCTACACTCTCAGTGAGATTATCAGTTAAGAGTTCTTCGTGGTTCTCTTCATGGGGCTGTGGGGTTTATATCAAACCGCTGGTTAAGCTGGACATGATAGCACATACTGATAATCCTTGAAATTGGACACTCAGTCATCCAGTGCTGAGTTGAGCCCACTGCATCCCGCCCCTGGCTTTAGGGATAGAAACCCAATCGGTTTGATTGAAGAGAAGACTGGAAACTTGTGGATTAAGTAATCAAAGAGATTACACAGCTGATCTCAGATGCAGGCTTTCCCTCACCAGGTCTTGGCTCGGAACTGTCTCTTCATAAGCTATTCTTGCTCCAGAAGCACTAGACATAGACGTTGGAAGTCGAATTACCAGAGTTAAAGATCACTGACTACAGTTTAAACTGGGTTAGAATCTCATCCTGTCTCAAACACACTTGCCAATGTAACCTTAGGCAACTCACTGTGGCACGGTTATTTCATCTGCAGGATACAGTTGTGGTGTCTGTGCTGTGGGTTTTTTTTTTTTACACTGTATCAACTGCACTACACTCAAAATTATTACCAATATCATTACCACTGTACAAATCAACCATCTTAAACTGTGTATTAGGAAGAGGCTGTTGTAAGTCAATGCTTAGAAAAAGCCTGCTTTTCTGTGCATGAAATATTAAAGACAATTCTAGAAAAGGCTCGGAAAGCATGGAGAACTATGGACGGAGGCCATTTTAGAAGATGTTGGCCAAGGTCACAATGTTGAAAGAGGCATGTGAGGTTCAGAAATAAAAGAACACATCACAAAACATGATTTGTCACTGAATTTGTTATCAATACTGATTGAACAGACTAAAGTATTGTGCGTTCTCTGTAGATACCACCTTACAGAAGGAAAATCAGGAAGGAAGTCCACCCCCAAGCCAGAGTCAGGAACCTCTGAAACCCATGGAGAATGTATCACGACCCATTCATAACCCATTAGTTTTAAAAACTAACTTCGAAGAAGAAGAGGAGGAAGAGGAAGAAGAGGAACAAAATGGTTAGTACCCCTTTTCTTGGATTGCAGTACACATGTCAAAACCCACAGTATTTTCTACAAACTCCTCAACTATGAGAGGCTTAAAATGCAACATATAAACCAGATTTTGTTGAGAAAATACAAATATCATCAAAGAAACGAGTTTTGGTTTCTAATTTATAATATGTCTACGTGTGCTTGTGTTTCTTTGGACCGAGAGTTTTTGCCGTATGATGGCTGGGAGCCGGATGCCATGTTTAAGTGCATGGGCTCACAGACAGTCTCATAGGAGACAACTGCTGGGCTGCTGGTGTACATACGTCTATTTCCCTTCACGTTTACTCTTTTGAGTTTTAAGCATCCAGATAGTAGCTTGTAATTTATAAAGTACTGCAATCTGCATCATGCCTGATATCGGTAGAGAAGTATGTGCAGATGTGGTCCTTTACTTTCCTCTCACATCATCACAGCACAATTGAGCCTTTCAGATAAACAACCACCTCCCCCCCCAAAAAAAACCCCAAATTTACTTTGTCTCTGCCCTGGAATGCATCTTTCTGTGGGTACCAACCGCTATAGTTTCTGTGCTTAGGGATGCACAAAATTCTTCACTGTTCTTTTTGCTAGGTATAGTTTCTTCCTCGTCTGTGCCCACAGGTTCTAGCCCCCAGCTTCTCAGCAAGTCTGTGTTTTCTGCTTCTCATTTTAGCACACAGAGCATAAAATATATAATTTCTCTTAGATGATTCTTTCAAATACTAAACACAAAAGCATTTTGAAATATGAGTTTGCACATTTTTTTAAGTTCAAACATTTGATAAAGAGCAGTCTGTCCATGAAAATAGTACTTGGGATTTTTCTTTCTGATTTATAAATTTTCAGATTATTTAGATTTGGGACAATTTAATTTAAAAAAACTATATCCTATAGATGCTTCTAGTTTATGGACAAAGACCCCCGAAGAAATTGAAGAGAAAAGAGCAATAAAGGAGATGTGTTATAAATCTGGTAAGAAATCAAACATTTGTGGAATTTCCCATGCTCGGTTTTGCCCCGCATCCTAACCGTTCTCTTCTCACGGGAGTTTAGGTGAATACTATCGATTCCATGCTCCTCCAGATATCTCGTCATCAAAAAGCACAGCTTCTACAGTGGAAAAAGAGTTAGAAAAGCCTTTGGAAACTGGCAGTGAGTTGCAAGAAGGTAAGAAACGAGACGATAGCATTCAAAGTGAAATAATAAGAGATATTTAGTGAGTAGACCTTGAATTATTTGGTGCAGTGTACACAAGAACAGGGTTACATGATAAATAATACATCTGGTTTGAGAGTGAGAGGGAAGCTTCTTACTGGATGACCCAAATGTCCTATGAAAGGATGCTGCTAATGTTATGATGTTTCGGTGAATGCACTCCGCAGACACAAGGAATGCTCACACTCCAGACAGCAGTTCTGTAAATAATTTGCCTTTCTGTGTCTGCAGTATGCCTTTCTGTGAAATATTACTTACTGTTTTATTTTTAACGGAAGGGATAACCCAGACCAGGATGGACAAAAGTGGGGTGGCAATCTGATATCAGTGGCAGAATGCCGGTCTGTCTGTTGAATGAGTGTCTTTTGTGTATCAAACAGTCTTAAGGCGGTTTTGATGGACAAGTCCGACGCTCACTCTTTCATGATGCATTTTCTTTAAGCAGGTCCGAGTTTGCTTCTGGTCAGCACCTTGTCCTTGAAGGCAAGACAGAGAGCATCGAATTGTGTATAGAAAAGCAGGGACCTGAAGAAAAGTCCATAAGTGTTAAAAGTTTAAATAGGGTTTCCTGGTTTCAAGCGAGCTTGTGCACATATTGTAGCAATAGAAGAGAATTTAATTGCTCCCTGATCCTCTCTAGGGCAGGAAGGGGGGCACATGAGAGAGGAGCTAGCAGAGAGTAGGGAGAACAATGACAAGGGATGAGGAGGCTGAGGACGAGCATCTGTATCTCCTGCCTCTATGCGGCAAGTTGTTTAAATGGCTGACAGAAGGTGGCAGCAAAAGACCATCAGAAGGCGGAGCATCCTGGACCCCCGTACTAAACAGATGCGAGAAACCTTAAAACAAGCAAACAAAAACGAAAGACAAAGCTACCAGTCAAAAATTAAAAATGGAAGAGTATTAAACAAATGACGTGTACATTTGGATACATATAAATATTGCCTTGTATTTCTTCCAAAACGTTAATTCCTGATATCCCTGTTTACTTAGATCAGTGGTTCTCAATCTTCCTAATGCTCCAACCCTTTAATGTAGTTCGTCACACTGTGGTGACCCCCAACCATAAAAGTTTTGTTGCTGCATTATTATAATCATAATTTTGCTGCTAATATGAATTGCTTTGTAAATACTTGTGTTTTCTCATGGCATTAAGTGACCCCCGTGAAAGGGTTGTTTGACTCCAAAGGAATCAATATTTTATTACTTCTGGAGTTTTACTATTAGAATAAATATGAACACTACTGTTAACGATATTCTGAACTGCTGCAAGCACAGATATCACATTCTTTGCTTTTACATAACTATCGCACAAATATTAAGATTAGGAAATTTCCTGTGAAACAGTGAAGCACGATTAATAAAAGTTCGGGGAGAGAAATTGGGGTTCAACCTGAAGATCTGAAAAACAAAGCAGCCAGCCACTGGCTCTTACCTCTACCTCAGTCTGAAATGGCGATCCTGCCTCCAAGAATCTCAGAATGAGACTGTGTCTGAGAGCTGTCTCCTCCTGTTTTATAATCCTCCCTAGGGCTGGGATTAAAGACATGCACCACCTGGTTTCTATGGCAACTAGTGTGGTTACTGGGATTAAAGGTGTGCGTTCCCACTGCCTGGCTGTAAGGCTGACCAGTGGGGTTGTGTTAGTCTCTGATCTTCAGGCAAGTTTTATTTATTAAAATACAAATGAAATGCCACAAAAAAGAGTGTTATTGTTTATGGGTTCCCTCCATGAATTTCATCAAGTATGTTACTGATACCCATAAAGTGAATTGATTATTTCTTTGTGTCCTAACCAATCTAGAAGCTCACGCTGCTTTAGACTGCTGCATCTCTTTTCATTCTGATGTCAACAGCTTGTTTTCAAAGTAGATTTTTTGAATATGTACAACGAAAATTAAGAGAATAATTTAATTATCAAGTACCAGTAATAATGACTCTAACACTGTTTGCTAAATTAATCATGAAGAGATGGAATCAAGAGAACCATTTCAAATTCATTACAATAAAACACCAAATGAACAAAATGTATTATGCTCACACAATAAGTGTAAGATTGCTTAAACCTCCCCTTGCCATTTAGTTGCCAATCAAAATAGGAGGATGAACTTCTGTTTTTCATCATTTACAAAATTAGCTTGAAATAAGTGCACTTATATATTGTTCACCAGCTCATGATGGCAATCATGTATATGTTAATGTTCCGGCTGCTTAACTCTCACCACGAAAGCTGTCACAGTCTGATTTACAGTGTGAAGACTGCTGGAGTGACTTTTTGTTTCTTCCCTCTCTAGGGGATGGTCTTACAGTTCCAACAAAGTTCAGCCTCTTTGAAAGGTCGGGTGAGGCAAAAACATCATTGGATAGGAAACCAAGGACTGACATTGCTGCGTTTGAAAATGGAGGTGAGCTAGATGTCCCTGAAAGAGGTACATTTTACAGCTGTAGTTAGTGAGTCCTATTCAGCTTAAACATGTGAAGCATTACTTTTAATTTCATCACATTAATGAATTTAGTGAAGCATGCTACTCTGAGGTATATAGCTCGGGAAAAAATCCGCATGCCTATACGACTATGGAGTCATCGTGTCATGAACCTATTGGCTACCTTGATGTCCTCTTTTGTCAAATTGTTCTGTTGTATTTCAATACCACTTATGTCAGCTTTTTCTTATAAGTCACTAAGGGGCTAGCAAGGGTAATCGTCATCTCTCATTGATACCCATACTCTGACCTCTGCCCCCACAGTTTAGTTTTACATTTTTGTTTAAGTGGAAATGTGCAGTTTGGACTCCTTCAGGTTGAGTATTTTAGTTTAATATTTAAGTTGAATTGTATGAGACATATCCACATTGTTGATGTTTGCAGTAGCTCTCCCCCCCCCCTCTCTCTCTCTCTCTCACACACACACACACACACATATGCATGCAGGTATGGATGCATCAATACAACCTGCAGAGTCTTCTTCCTGTTGCTCATATAGACATGTCTTTAGGATTGAACCCTTGGAATTAGATAACCCATCACAGGCCTGCTTTCTGGAGAGGCCTGAATCTTCCTCCCTCTCTTAGTATTTGTCTAATTAGTAGTCATTATTTGCCTGAAGTTCTTCATCTAGGTGGAGTCTTGTAAGAGTGTCTCCATCTGTGTTGATACGCCCACTGGTATTGTCATTGTGCAGGCCTTGTTTAGGCAACTTTGTTGTTGGTGTTTCCTGAGTGCAGTTTTGCTATCACATATAGAAAGATTGCTAGCAAATTTCCTGGTCCTCTTACTCGTTACATACTTCTATGATGTTGTCTGAACCTTAGGTACAAAAGTTATGCTAGAGATGTATCTGGGGCTGGGTCTTCCACCGTAAGTTGTTCTCAGCATCTTGACCAGTGTGCCTTTCCACAATGGTCACTGTTTGCTGTAAAAAGAAGCTTCTTTGATGAGAGGTAAAAGCTATACTTATCTGGGTCTAATGATGTCTTAGGATTCAGTCAGGAGCTGCAATGTTTTGGAAAAGTGTAATGAGTAGGTTCCATGAGCTCAACAGTCATAGGTAGTTGGCTAGGATTTCAGCACCAGGCATGAATTCCCTCTTATGGGCAGGACTTAAGTCCAATTAGAGGATTCATCACTCCAAGATGTAAGAGTCACTATTTCGCACCCTGGGGATGTCTTGTTGTGTGACGTTTTCACAGATTATTTCGTAACTAGTTTTTAATGTTCATTTTATTTTTGTTACACTGGGGAATGAGATTTACCTAGAGCCTTGTCCATGCTAGGCAATAGCTCCTCCACTGAGCTATGGCCTCATCTGAATATTATTTTCAGAGGAGGTTATTAAGGGGCTCAAGAGATGGTTCAGTAGGTAAATTGTCTGGCAGGTATGGATGAGTTATGATCAGCACAACCTACAAGTCATACTACATATCATACATGGTATCATCATGTGTCTGAAATCTAAGTGCTTCCACAGCTGTATGGGGGCTGTAGAGAGGCGAATCCTTGGAAATTGGCAGGTTAGCTAGCCTGGCAACTGTAATAGCAAACAAGAAATACTACATCAAATTTTCTGGGAGGCAAAGAGCAACACCAGAAATTGTCCTTTGCTCTTTACTGTAGCATAGGCATGCACACATGCACACACACTCACAGGCACACACATACAGACACATGCAAACATGCACACACACATACAAATACATAGATATATACATGCACATACACAAATGCCTGTACCTGCACATGTATGCATAAACACATCACACATACACATAAAAATGATAATTTAAAACATTTTTGCTTAATATAATACATTTTATGGTGAAGGTACTATCAAGTTTATTTGTAGTATTTAAAACTTACATGTATATTTATCTTGAAAAACATAGAAGAAAGACCTTTAAGGAAAAAAAAGGTTTTCATATTTCAAATGAAGAAAAGATAAGTTATATTTACTATGACTATCTCTAAAGATCCCTATGTTAGAGGGAAATTAATTTGGTTGAATATGTGAATTTTCCTGAAATTATCTGTATGTCAGCTTAAACACTGGTCACTCAAATAATATAGCTAATACACATGCACTAAACTAAGCATCTCTGATAGAATATGTGGAGATATGGGGACAGCATCATCGGAGACATGTTTGAACAAAAGCGGACACCAGAGATATTTTGAAGATAATTATCATATTGAAAGGGCATCATGTGCCTCTTGTTACTATTGCTGCCCCTGACTGTAAAGTTTGATTCTAGGGGGTGACTGCTATGCTCCACAGAGGATCATATTTCTTGGCGTGGATGAAAGTGAAGCATTAGCTGAAGTGAAAGAAACCACCTCCAAATGTTCAAATGTCAAAGGTAATGAGTCTTGTGTTAAAATTTGACCCTCTGTACTTTGGGCAGATAAATAAAATGAGCATCATAGTTGTTATGGAAACCACATGTAATTGAAAAGGTACATCAGAAAGTACTGAATAGGACACCAAAGCCCCAAGGCTCTGCATTGGCTGTGCACTTAATTGTTTTAAGTTTTATAGCCTGTTTCTTAGTCTGGAAAGTTAGTCTGTTGGACAAGGACATTCCAAGGTCGAGTCTTTCAGCCATAAAGTGATCAAATTCCTTAAATGGCAGTACAAAGACCTCTCAAGTTTTTTGTTTTAGCAACTTAAAACAGAATGACTGAGTTTCCGGAGAAACATTGATCAGGCGCATCACCAGATTCATTCTGGTGATGCCATACCCTTTATACAGTAATTGCTAATTACAAACAACCTGTGGCTACTCCAGAGATACAATGCCTACTCTAAAGCTTAGTGATACTCTATCTGTCCCCAGCTGGGTGTGCTCCTGTAGACAGACAGGAAGGAAAAGAGGTTTGTGTCAAGTTATTTAGTGGAAAATGACATGTAAATCTGTCTCCTATTCAGAGCTAACATTTTCTCAATTTCATCAAAGAAATGCTTAGGGGAAAATACCTCAGCTATATTAATTTGGACGCTACTAGCTATGTGTGAGTACCTAAATTTAATTGTCATGAATAAAGTTCTAAATTCAGTTTTTCAACTGCACTAGCCCCAACGCCAAGTAGTAAATACATATGTGTGGGTAGTGGTTGCTATGTGAAACAGCGCAGATTTAGAACTCATAATTGTGGATGTTTTATTGAATAGTCCCTCTGCCAAGCACAGAGCAAATGAATGTGATCCCATTAAAAGTATCTTGAGAACTTAAATGGACTCATTCCCTATAGAAAATACAATGTACTTAAAATCTTCAAGGAGATGTTAAAACACTGAAATCTCACTTGTGCATGAAAATGATAGCTATAGTTTTAGCATTTTTAAACTTTCACCCGTACTTGAGGTACGGTGTGGCAATTAGACAATTTTAACCATGCATTCTAGAAAGTGACATACATACATAGTAGGTATGCCCATTGGAAGCGTTTCTCTTACTAACTTTGACATTTTTTTTCTTTATTTGCTTTAGAAGAAAGCAAGGACAGCCTACACCCAAAGCGTACCCTAACCACTCGCCTAGTCCCTACAACGCATGTGCTAAATGCTACAGAGAATATCAACGTGAAGTGCAGAGAGAGTCCCTCTTCAAGTAAGGCCGTGGTCACATCACTTTTAGACCTTGCATTTGGTTGCCTTCGTAGGGATATGTTTTTCTTATCCGCAAGAGAATTTGACAAGGAAAAAAGAAAGAAAAGGAAAAAGCGTGGTTTGAAAAGTCCGCCATTTGAAGTAGTAAATAAACAATATTTCCCTCTTAAATTCAGAGTACAGATTATGATATAGGCCTTAACAAATTATATCCACCAGGTTGAGGTACATATTAACGTAATAGTAAGCTGCCCATGCAAAAAGTCATTAGTCCAGCATGTTAGCTTTCTCCCATTGTGGAACATAATGGCAGCTTTGCAATCATAATTGTTGTGGTTCATTTTTTTTTATTATTTGGTTTTCCTGGGCATTGGTGCTTTGAGCCACTGCTTTGATGGAATCTGCCTTGTTCATTCTCTCCTTCCCCCGTTTCTGGTTTTGTTTGCTGAACTGCTGTTAATATTCTTGGTTCCCAGGCACTGAAGGAGAACCACAATAACTTCCCTTAGGAAACTCTTGTTACTGGTACCCGTTATAACTTTGGATGTTATATCTGAGATGTGGGAGTTTGGGAGTGATGTGTGGTGAGGAGACATGTTTTATCGTTTAATGTCTAGGGCTTAAATGTTAGGGCTTAAAATTTAAGCGAAACTTGAAGGCTAAGGCAAACACGGATTTATTGTCTTACTAATGGAAAGCTACTGTAATCCGAACACTGGTACTGTTTTCCCTTGTAGTCATGTGCGAACAGCAGAATGCCTCTACAAAACTGGTTTAAGAATCCCCTTGGAAAGTCTTGAAAAACTGAGAATGCATGTAGAAACTTTGCTATGAGTATATTCACATAGCATGGGAGACGAAAAAGACTGGAAGCTTATACTTTCTCTTAGTCGGCCTTGCTGTGCCAAACTATCTGAGTATTCAACCTTGTTACACTTTAAAAAGGATAAGGTGCTTTAATTTAATAAACGTGTTTTATGTATTAACCAAACTCACTAAGAAATAGTAGTTTTGGGCTTAAAAAGTACAACAAGATTTATTTTGAGGATAACAATTATGACCTTAAGATAGCGTTATGCTGGGGTTTGTTATTGTGATTGGAGTGCACTTTTCTGTTATTTTAAGGAGCCCACGCATTCCTTTGGAGAACAATAAAACACTTTAAAAGGAAAGCAACTTATCAAAGGTTTTTTTTTTCTCATTAATGTATTTCCAAGAGGGATTTTTTTTGACACTTAAAAACCAGTCACTCTTTGTTCCAATAGCTAGTCTTAGAGCGGCATTCTTTTACTTGATGTGAGAATGCACAGATATGTAATTATCACCTCAGTAATTTTCAGATAAAAGCATCTCTGAAAAACTGTAAAAAAATTTGTATCTTCTCCAAGCGAATGATGTCCAGCCAGTGAGGAAGCCTCATTTTAAAGGTGTGAAGAAAAGAAAATGGATTTATGATGAACCGAAGAACTTCCCTGGCTCTGGAATGCGGAGAGGTAGAATATCCAAGTGTTTGGTATTTCTAATTATAATTCTCACAGAGATTAAATATCAAATATTTCCTACGCCAAGGAAAAATCATGGCCATGATTTAAAAGTTACCCCAGTTCTCTGCATGGCATGATTTAGCTTAGATTTTTTTCTATTTTGCTGCCCCATGCTTTATATGCAGTATATTTTATGAAGGTGTAGCTGGCTTGTCTCATCCCTCATCTCTACTCTTTTGGTTTACAGCAGTACACACCCCAAATCCCAAACATAAGATGAGTTACCACCATCAGAATAAAAACCGAAATGCTGAGAACGCCTCCTACATGCATGTCCAAAGAGATTCAGTAAGAACTGTCACACTGAACGCCCCTCCCCGAAGCAGGCCCACAACTGGGTCCTACAACAAAGCCGATATCAACAAGGAACCCAAACTCAACCTCTGCCCAGGTGAGGGTCTTTACTGATGTGGTTCACTCCTGACTGCACTTGGCCTTAGTGTGGATAGCTGATCTTTGCTCCTCCCCCTCACTGCTGTCCTCAACACTAACCAGAGGACCGCATCCAGGAGGAGTCAGGCGCATGATTTAAAGGACATGGAACAATACTCATGCTTGGATGCTGATGAACTGGCAGTGCATCTCCTTAGAGACTTGCCTCCCTGCACAGCTCTTTGTTTACCCTGGGTAGTTTCATTTCACGCGGGAGGATTATTTTTACGTGGTTGACATTTTCTTGTTCCACTAAGTGCACGGTTCAATTATGTCTGTCAGATTCCCACCCTGTCTTTTCCTGAGGACATCATGATTACTTTCTTGAAAGGGTTAGTTTGAGGGTTAACTGCAATATTTCTGACAACCTCTCTCCCACCAAGACCTTCTAAATCATTTCATCTTGCAATAGGCAAAGGCATGGTGTATGTCAGGAAGTACACGGCCACAGGGGAGAATTTCTTTTTCTTCCGGCTTTAGATGAATTTTGCTCTTTGGAAGTTGGGTTTCAGTTCTCTTGACTTAACAAAATGTCATTCAGCTCTCTGTAATTCACGTCGGAGCTTTGTATTCACAGTGTAGGTGAGTTCCAATTGTCCAGAACTTTTGGAAGCATAGGCAAAGACTATCTCTCTTCAACAATTGAAGTAGATATTTCATTTAACTGTGTTAGGCTGTAATGGTGTATGGATTTGTATAAGCAAAGAAGTATGCACTCAGAAGAAACTTGTTTTAATGGTATTGCCATGTTATTATACTATTTATTATTTTTGCCGTAATACTGCTGTGGCTATGAGAACTTCAATGTATACTAGCACCGTGTATTGCCAAAGTCTAGATTTGTATGAACTGAATGTGTTAGCCACTACACTGGACACTGTTGTGTCTCATTCATGCAAGTATAAACACACAAAAATGACACAAAAAGAAAATTCTTGATATGAGCCACACACTGAGAACTATAGAAATGTGATGATAACAAGGGAGCAGAGAAAAACAAGTCCTTATAGATGACTTAGTCTCTCTCTCTCTCTCTCTCTCTTTCTCTCTCTTTCTTCTTTGTGTGTGTGTGTGTGTGTGTGTGTGTACCTGCTTTGGTTTCCTGGGGCCCTCAACTCGTGATTTCAGTGGCCACTGTTTTCACAGAGGGCAATTCCTGGAAGCACATGTGCCTTGTTGTCTTTAAAATAAAATTTAAAAGATATTTACAAAGTCAGTTATGTATTGTCTGAATCTTTAATTTTCTTTTATTTTTTTGAGATTGTATAATATAATTATATCATCTCTCCCCTCCTCTCCTCCCTCCAAACCCCCTCCTGCAAGCTCCTCTTTGCTCTCTCTCAAACTCATGACCTCTCCAAATGTGAGTAAGACAGTGTGTTAAATCACAGATGAAAGATTGTGAAATGCTATATGTAGACATTGTTCTTCTAGATTAGTCTCATAGGATAGAGCTTCATTTGAGGAAATGAACAGTAGATTAAGAGATTATTCGCTGGTCACGTAAGTGAATTTAATAAACTCACTGGTATTCCTGTTGCCTTAGCTTTCAAATGGTAGAGAAAACGCGTGGAGGGTAATTCTTACTGCTGAGATTTTTATAGCTGTGCCATGCTCTCGGCATATAGTTGCTGAATTCAGCAATATTTGCTAGCAGTCTCCTTTTTTTTTTGTTTTCTCAGATAAACATATGTCAACAACATATAATGGTTCAGCCTGGCGAAGAAGAATTCCTTTTACAAAAACATATTCAAAAACGGAAAAGATATATCCAGGTAATTACTCACTGGTGACTTCAATGTGTCGGGTAGTCCTGGAAATAAATGACAAATTCTTAAGTCAAGAAACAGATTTAAAAGCACTTAAAATGAAAAAAAATCAAGATCACTTAATTATAGAGAATATCTGGGGAATTAGTAGTCCCCTGACACAGTGACAAGTCAATATTATTTTGTTTCATGGTGTTCAGTTTTACCTGTTTGTGTTATCAGAAAACATTTTGATGCTGTTTTTTCCTGTTGATCAAATACAGCAATTGCAATAATTACATATGTTAAGCTAGTCTTTGTTATAATACAGTGAAAGTGTATAAAATCATATTTAGTATAAATAAGATATGCTCTCTTGATGTACTTACATAGAGAGATGTAAGCTGGTCTAGGCTAGCAGTCCATAAATCTCCAAGGAGGCATCAAGTGACTGTATTCTCCCCCTTGTTATACACTATGCTCACTGAGGGAACAGGAAGATTGGAAATCTCTGGTTAGATGTTCCTACATCTAACTGAATCTTTTGCTGGGCAGGTTGATGTCTTTCTTTGCTTAGAAATGAGTTGCAATGAATACGAATTATTTTTTCAGATAACTGAATCTTTCAGAACACATAATTCAGATAGGGAACTTGTATCCAAATAAATATCCTAGCAATTTAAAGATATTCTGATTCCTTAAGTTTTTATACCAGGATCTTCCAGAAGGTCCATATGAAGACTAGATAATTTGTTTTCTCCAAAATAAGTGTCTCATACGAGACTTGTAAAAACCTCATTTGACTTCAACTGTGTGTCAGTACCCAGAAGCGGTACAATTATATACTGGAGACAGTACTTAATTCAACTTCCCCTCATTTTGCAAACCAAATTATGCTGCAAGAGAAGGTAGATACATTATTGTTTAACTGACTATATTTTCTCTTAACTTTGGCTCAATTGTTACATGTGATCAAACATAATTTGAGAGGGAAGAGAGGAGAGAGAAAACAAAAGTGAAGACACAATGAAACTCCTTGAAGGAATTTGGCATTTCTAAGTTCCAGCTTTTCTTGCTATGGTTTCCATCTGAGAGGAATGCATTTGGAATGTTGAGGAGTGTTCTTTGCCCTAATCCTGTGAAAATGGTTGATTTTGCAACCCAGTGGCTCCCTTCCCCATATGAAACAGTTAGGTAGCAGCAGTGGAAATATTTGGGGCATGTCAAAGTACTTCAGGATGTAAGTATGTACCACCTATGTGTAGCATAGAATCTACACATCCGTGCAGGGCTCTATTGTCCTTCTCAGGTGAAGAGCAGGGATAAAAGCTCTACAAAGAATGACTCAGGGTCCTGGGAATAGGGGACAGGCAGGCCTTGTCTCACATGAAAGGCTGAAGACAGGTTCTTGAGAATTCTGTCGAGGTTACATAGGTGGGCATCACAGTCCTGTGGGGCATCGCTGGAAGACGGCCATTGTGTGTGAGAGAGAAAGATCACGGAGTGAATGCATGAAGTAGTCTGGCCATAAGTGAAGGAATGAACTTTGGGAAAATATCTGCTTCTTGTTGAGTTCTGCTGGGGTCAGAGTGGCACTTAGCTGTGACCTCAACAGATGGCCTCTGAGAAAGTCATAAGCAGATACCAGTCCAGCATCCAGGGAGCAAACCCTTGCTCCTGAAAGTATGATCTGAGGGACAGCCACAGTGTTGTCCTCAAGAGCGCATTAGAAATGTGGAGTCGCTATCTCCTACCTGCTGTGGCCGAATGCCATCTTACCAACACTGCCAGGTGATTTGGGTGAGCGTCCAGGTTCGTGAAACCCCAGGCAGATTAAGTGGCTGAAGAACCAGCTACATCGGTCTGTTGAAAGTTTGTATTCTCGCTTTGGCAGCCACATGGCTGCCATTTTCCTTGCCCCATCCCAGGAATTAGGACCAGCAGCACAGAGTCTGGGTGGAGGAGCAAAACCTCAAGAGAACCCTTTAAATGTGACTGAATTGTGAAGGCAAAGTGAATTCAACTGAATTTGTGTACAAAGGTCTATTACTTCAGGAAAAATGAGGACTAATATTTTACATACCATAAAAGGCTTCATAAAATGAGTAGTATTTTATAAGCCGCAAGTTTGTTCTCGTACATGTTTTTGATTGAGAAACTGGTTACTCCCAAATTCAGCCTTTCCGGTAGCTGTTGTCATCCCCCGAATGAAAAAGAGAAAGATTAGCTTGTGTTTCTTCCCACACATATTCTTGCTAGGGCGCAGAACAGCCATTGTGACATTTCCCAGTGGACAGATGGATGCTGAAGGGAAGGAACAGAAGGCACGAGCTGCCACTTGCCTGTTCCTCTGAGGCTCCTGCAGCCAAGACCGAGGAAATGTAAATGGACCCGAGAAGTCTTTTGGGAAAATGTTGCAGGATGGTATGGGTGTAGTGGGAGGAGAGAGGAAAGAGCTGGTCGCATAGGAGGATTAGGGGCATTGGAGACACTCTCAGTGCCAGTCTTCCCTGTGGCCACATGTTCATTCTGATAGGGCAAACATGAAAGTGTCTGTCTTCATATCATAAACTGTTCATTTCATTCATTCTTGGTGTCTCTTTTAAATGCAGATTTATATGTAGTATTAAGTCAATCTCTCACCAACCCTCCATCTAAAATGCAATGTTCGAAAAGCATCAAAAAAGAAATCTAGGAAGCCTGAATGACATTTTGAAAACTTAATAAAACACTAAGCTTGGTTTTGATTTTCCCTTTCGCTTTCATGGTAGTTAACAACAGAAATATGAATTCATGAAACAAAACATGAAAAGGAAATGAAATATTTTGTGTATTTTGTTACTAGAGCCAAGAAGAAATGGGAGCAAGTAAACTTGGAGGTTGAAAGAAGAGAAAAATGAGAAAAGAGAAAAGTGCCAGCCATCACCTGATTTACAAGCAAAAATGAAAATTCAAAGAATGAGATATTCAAGTACTCCATAGGATATAGTGGTAGTCAACGATGATAAAATGCAAATTCTGAAAATAAGATGCAGGAAGAACATTGTGCTTGTTCAAAACTGATAAAATGCAAATTGCAAACAGCTGCCTGTTTATGTATGTATGTCTGGGATTCATTCAATACATTGCCACAAACATTTAATAAAATTTCAAAGTTTGACCATTAAAATCATTCTTTAATCGTAAGCAAGCTAGATTGTACAGAGCGAAGGGTAAACTCTGTTTCGATCTCTGCTGTTTGTGATGGTTTCCATGGCAAACAATTCAGACCTTTTCTTAGGTTTGAAGCAGGGCTCTCAAGAGTAACTCATAAGGCAAACATGAATTAATTCAACAATGTCCTAGTTGGCAGTTGGCGAGAAATACCTCAGAGGAATTTTAATCTAAATATCCATTCATGTATCAGAGAGAGAGAGAGAGAGAGAAGGAGGAGGAGGAGGAGGAGGAGGAGGAGGAGGAGAGAAAGTTGGTCTATCATGCAGGGAAGTTGCTAAAGAGTGTCTTTTAATTGGCAATTACAAGACTTCTCTGCTAAGAGGTGCCACACTCAAAACCGAAGAGTGAACATTTTCCTGTCACAAAGACAAAAATTATATGACCATAATGGAGCGAAGGAGGTTCCTTTAAAAAGAATAGTGAACTAATTTATTTCTCAGAAGTTCCAAGGCCTCAGTGACTCCAGAAATTCAGACACAAGGGAGATGCCAAGCAAGTGGTGGTTCAAGTCTTCAGTCAGACACCCAGTAGGCAGAGGCAGGCCGGTCTCTAAGTTCAAGGTCAATCTTGTCTACAAAGTGTCAGGGCCACACAGTGAGACCTAATCTCAAAAACAAAACCAAGTGAGGCCTCATCTGGAAACTCCTTTATTATCTTTCCATTCTAGGATTGTAGATTTTTAATAATAAACTTGTAAATTAATATTTGAAATTTTACTCACAATTACCCATTTTCCATATGACCAAAGCAAAACCATGAAGGTTTAGTTTTAAAACTTAAAGAATAAGTATTAACTCAACATAAGGCTTTTTTTTTTTAAAAAAATAAAGTACTCTAGCATTTATACTTCCATACTAGGATATTTTATATTTTCACAAGTTTTCTGATGAAGAGTTGCCTCTTAATAGTTGTAGGCAAGAGCATTATTTTTGAAAGTATTTTACTTGAAACATTTTACATCACACAGCTCCCATTTGCAAAGTGATAAATTCCAGTTCTGCTCTAGTGCGCTGACTTCAATAACAGTGGGTGTATTTCTTTTGTTCTAATGAGCAGAGCATAAAAAATGAAGATGATGCAGATATATGTATTGATGAGGCAGATTTGAGAAGTGTGTCTGAAAACAGCTCAACCGTAAAGCTGCCTAGTTGGAACTTGATGAGAGGACATCATATGCTCATTTAAATAGCAAACTCATTTTGTTATAAGTAATAACTAATGGCCAAATATGGTCTTATTGATATATGAATATTAGAATATGATTTTCTAATGTTGGGTCTTACCCATGCATTCTAGAGAAGGGGAGTGTAGATTGGGGAAGGAAATAGACAAGAGAAAGAGTCAGGAGGATTTACAGTGAATACTTTTGCAAAAATCAAAATAGTTCTGAGCTTATTACTGTCAGTCCTTACATACCCTAAATAAAAGGGGAGGGCACAAGACTCCCATGATACAAAGAGCAAACCTAGCATAATTACCTCCTTACATCTCAAAACACCTGGTAACCACACCCGAAGTTGACAGACCTTTGAAGAGTAAGGCATCCAGTAGTCACACCTTTGATCAAACATCTTGTTGTTCAAATTTGAGGAGCAAGAATAAACCTGAACTCTTAGACCTTTAGTCAAGATGGAATGGATTCAAAATTGTGGGCTCCAACATTCTAAATAACTCGTACGTCAAAGATGAAACAATAAAATTGTTATTATGTTTGGTAATGGATATTAATAGTTCTACTTAGCAAATTAGTGGAATGCAGCTAACTCTCAATAAACCCAGAAAAAAAGGAATCTCTTAAATTAATGATAAGTCTCTAAAATTCTACAACAAATATCTTCATTGTCAGTGATAAGGAGTTCTCCACTTGGAGATAAAAAAGGAGTTCTCTGTTATGGCCTCAGCTGTCTTGATAGTATTCGTAATGGATAGAGTAAGATGAGAACAAAATCCCATTAACAATTGAAATTAAGAGGAAGTTTTCATTGTTCTTAGGTGATATTATTTTCTATCTAGAAATGCCAAAATATTTAAAAATTATCAGGTTTATCATGTGAGATTAATAAATTTTGCATAGTAGAGTGATATAAAAATCCAATTGCCATTTTTTGTTTGTCTGTTTTTTATTTTTCAGAACTTAATTTGATAATGCTATTTTTCTTCTTTTTCCCTCCCAAACACTCCCACATACACACTCTTCTTCAAATTCATGGCTTCTTTATTCATTGTTGTGGCACACCACATATGTATTTATATACACACATATATTCCTAAATATAAACTGTTCAGTCCATATAGTGTTACTTATATATATATGTTTTCAGTGTTGACCATCTGGTGCTAGATAACAAATTGGTGTAGTATGTCCTGAGGAAGACCACCCCTCTGCTCCTAGCTTTCCTCAGTTGCTTGTAGTTTTTATGTGTAGGACTGACTTTATGGGATTTTCCCCATCCAGTTTGGTGTGTCCATTAGTGCAATCCTCCTCACGTTATGTTTGGGTGATCATGTTGGCAAGACTTTATGGGTATAGCATTTTTATAAACTAGCACACATGTTTAAAATAAGCAACACTGGTGAAAACTGATAATTTTTTTTAAAATCAACAACTATTTAAGGAGCAAAAGTAAATGATTACAAAACAGTGCATTCTGCTACTAAAAAAGATTAATTACTGTCATTTGTGTCATCACAAATGTATCTATAGAACATTGTGTGACATGAAATAAGCCAGACACAGAACACAGATACCACATTTTATCTTTCATGTGGGGACACTGATCTCAATTTTGGATGGCAGCTGTTAGTAGTTGGCAATGGGAGAGCAGGGGTGAAGAAATTTTGGATCAAAGGCACCAAAATTCAAATAGAAGGAATAGGTTCTAGTACTCTGCAGCATAAGATGACAGATAAGGTTCACAATTACATAGGTTATGAGAGTACAAGCTGCTTTGTAAAGAAATATTGTAAAGAATTAACTGGAAGCTTGCTAGTTAATTCATCAGGTAAAGGTCCTTGCCTCCAGGCCTTGTGACTTAAATTTTTACTCAGGGGACCAAATGCTTGAGGGATAGAACTGTCAAGTCATTCGTGATTAGACTAGTGAACATTGCATTGATTGAAATATCACACTCTAGTTCTTTAATATATGCAGTTGTAAACTATGTCTATCAAAGATGCTAATTGTCTATCAACTGAATTGTTCAATATTATACCCATCAAAATCTTCTTTTTTCTCCCCTCAAGAAATTTAAATTTAAAACTTATTCTACAGTACATATGAAATCCTTGAGTGTCCAGAATATGTTAATTAATAACAAAGAAGCTAGATTAAGATACAGGTTTGCTCTGAAGTGCAAAAGTGATCTTCAAAGTAAAGTTAAATTTTCATTTGTTACTGGATAGAGTAGGCACTGCTATAGTATTTGAGACGACATTAAAGAACAATATATAAAACACCTTACATGAACTTTCATGCCTGTATAAGGTGTTACAAAGCAGGGGAAGCATCGTGAATAAAGCAGAAAGGAGAGATTGTTAATTAAATATGGAAAAATTTGCTGCCTCATTGTGGGGGAATGAAGACAATGGATCCTTAAACCTCAACAACAACAAAAAAAACCGCAACAAAAAATGGATTTTCAGATGAATCAAGTACTTATGTAACAAGTAAAACTGAAATTTATAAATGTTCTTTGTTGGAGGTGTATCTGAGTGAGAACAAGTTTGTAAATGGACCCCTGAACAAAATTTTGATGAACTTAAGTTTACAGTTATGCTTGCCAATATTTGAGTAAAAGGAAAGTAAAACCTGTTTGAGGGTTTGTTTTCCCCCTAAATTCTCTTGTGTTCACTCAAGGGACCCAGCTGACTTGTTTTCAGTTCTAGTCTTTGGGTATATTGATGCTATCATCAAGAAAGGCTCAGTACACACAACCTTCCCACTGAAAATAATTTTTTTTTTTGCCACCAGCTATGATTTGGCCTGAAAATACGAGTTCCAGGTTTGCAGTTTCTTTGGATTTCTAATTATTTTGTCACAAGTTGGTGTTTCTATTGCCCAGGCAAAAAAATAAATAAAAGAAATAGCATTTAGTTTGCTCCTGCCACAAAGGCAAACGGAGAATTGGTACTATCTGTGAGGTGATTAAAACAGACCATCCCAGGAAGGCAGCGAGAACTCTGTGTTCCAGTTCCATCTGCTTTGAGTGGCTTTTTCTCCACAGTGTGTGTGCATGTACACATGTATGTGTACGTGTGTGTGATTGTGCATGTATGTGTGTATGTATGTGTGTGCAGATAACTGAGTTTTTTAATTAATTAATTAATTAATTTGTTTGTTTGTTTATAAAAATTTCCACTTCCTCCCCTTCTCCCCATACTCTTCCATAACCCCCACT